TAGTACTCATCTAAACAAATTAGGACTTATTTAGTATAAGCACATGTCCCGTATTACGTTACCCCGTCTATTTTTGACAAATTAATCCCGCTTCTGATACGTAAATCACGCGAAGCAAGTGCACATTTTTTTTTATAATTGCCACACCCAATGGCATCCAATCACGCATATTTCGAATATAAATCCGACCCAATTTATCATACTTCTATGCATTTCTCAGTTTCTGATTGTTCATAACTTTTACTGCGTAATTATTTTCGATTCAAAATAAAATTTAAATTGATTTTAACATTCAATCAACTTTCGTCTAAATTCTTCAGCGAATAAAAACATTTTTTATGCCGGAAACAATAAAATAATAGGGAAATCATACAGAAAAGAATGGCTTAGATTTTGTTTGAGTTACTTGCTTTTATTCTTGGTTCCCATCTAATATTTCTATATTTAATTCAATGTAGCCGACTTAGTGTTTCTGAGTACGAGGTAAAAAACGCGACATCGGAATAAAAACAATGCTATGCGAACATATGGAAGCACTGTTTATAAGTTCTAGCGTTGACTCGGACGCGACTGGAAATATTTGGAGTTTCAAAACAGCCTAAGAGGTCGAAATATCCTGTCAGTTGAATAGTTTTGAGCATCTCTGGGGGCATACAGCTATCATCCATAAGAGACCGCGGACCAGTTGACAAAATATGTTGTGGCCAGGCCTGGGCAACGTATGGCCCGCCGGCCGCATTTGGTCCCCGAAAGCTGTTTATGAGTTAATTCAAAAATATTTACCTATGCGTACAAACATGGATGCGATCGGTATTAAAAACAATTATAAGTTAATTTTGAATTAATTCATCCAAATGTTCAAATTACCAATTCAAATAACACCCAAGTTTTCCTCTTTCGTATAACTTATTCAGGAACTTTTGCACCCGATGTATGGTTTTCAACTATGACTTTATGTTACGTCATAATATCTCGGCTGCTGTAAGGAATAAAAGACAAATGGCAGCATTTGGCTCCCGCATTTTACAACAAAACCACAATGACCGAAAAAAGAGTAAGAATGGTCAAATAAATATTTACACATTTAAAGCCGAAAATCCAAAACTTCACAATAAACAAAGTTGGAAAACCTACTGGTATTAACGAGTCAAATTTTCAGCTCGATGGGAAGCACCCATATGTACGCGAGAAAACCTTTTGGCATTAAACAAGCAGTGATCTGAACTTCTGAAATATTTTGGAAATATATACTTTAATGATCGTGCCCAATTATGATGAGCTTGCCATTTCTTGCAAAAGATTTAAAATTTCTTGCAATAGGCTGTTTGTGTCGAATTGATCATGTTTTACATTGTTTGAACGCTCTGTTTCGAAAAATATGACAACATATATTATACAGTGTTATAATGATAACTTGTGGCCCGCGAACAATTGATTTTGTTTGTTGCGGCCCTCCAGTTCATTTGAGTTGTGCAGGCCCGGTCGTGACTAAACTTTATATGAATATGTCATAACATTTTCAAATCCAATTACTCCACCATCCTAGCATTGTTGCTGGAGTAGAGCCTTGTTCAAAGGGGAAGGTATAGTTTAACAATTAAAATAGAAAGTGATGTAGCTGTACATTTTACTTTGATAACCAAATTTATTTTCACCAAAATGGAAATTTTCTCGTTGTCGAATTTTAGTACAAAGTGGAAGTTAATTTTAAGGAGAATTATTATTGTGATAGTTCACAAGTTTATATAAATGTTATTTTATTCCAAATTAAGCTGATTTTAACCGATCAAAATCTTCAATTTGGTTATTCTAAATAAAAATGAGGACCAATTAGCATGTCTTACACCCTTTATTTCTTTAGATTGTTTTTGTTAGAAATTTCTATTTGTTTGTACAGTGATCTTGCTTACGTTATTAATATACAAATAAAGACATAAGTAAACAGCGGATATTGATAACTTATCAAATTATATTTTGGTATTCGTGAATTGGCTAATATACCAAATTAGCATTTTTATCACATGTCATCAGATAACATTTTTGATCGGAACAAGCGTATGTGTAAACAATCATCAAGACTATCGATTCATCTCTCTAGTTAGGTGAGCGAAACAGCGCACTGACCAACGTTTCTAAATTGTATCCATTTTCCTTCGTTCACGAAATTGCTTTTTACTAAAGTTGATCCCACCCAGATTTATAATATATATTATAATTTTACTATCATTGGATATACGCTGGGACGCATAAACCTGTGTTGCCAGACCTTAATTTAGCTGTGCCTTTGCAAGGATCGTGTGTGGGTCCGATATTTAAGAGCAAGGACCGTGTGTGGGTCCGGTATTTTAAAGCCGTGGTTTCCAACCTACTATGGCTTGTGGCCCATTTTTGGAGCGTTTTAGCACTCATGGCCCCTGTTCATAATTCCAGTGATATTTGAAGTGGTATTTTGATTGGTATAGATTCCAAATCCCATAGTTTTCAAACAAATCATACTCAACAAAGTGGAAACACCTTGTGAAATAACCTTATCAAGCAATGAAAAAGTGAAATCAGTCGTTTGCGCCGAGCATTGTGGCCCCCTTTAACTGCCGCTTCAGAGCTTGAGAACCGTCTGTAGTTCAAAGAATCGGATCATAGATATCGTCAAAGAAGTGAGATTGATTTTCCTGATCATTTTGCTCAAAGTAAGGTCTCCCACACTCACTTAGAGGTAAAGGGAACTCACTTCTGAACAATCGACCGCTGAATATCAGATCTATTAAATAGGGATAGCGTTTATCATTTGTGTACTTATTTGGCAGACATGGATGATAATACTAACGACAACAAGTTGAGGAATCATGAATACTATTGTTATACATGCCTTTACTATATGTTCATATTATACATGAATGAACCTGGGATGACTATAACTGTATATCAGACTGATTATTTATTTTGTATGTTTGAGTTCACCATTCGTCATAGTATGAGTGTATATATTATATAAAAATTATTAGATTGTTTTGGTCGATCACCTGGAAATTTGTTGTGTATATTCTTTGAGATAAACGATATGGTGATGACGTAATCGATAAACGATAAAAACTGTAATTTCCGTAGAAGTTATCTTAATGAAGAGTCAGTCGAGTCGAGTTGATAATTAAATCGAAAGTAAGCCTAGGCGATGTATCTTGCCTCCACGTATCGTGTGGTCCTCCTTACACCTAATATATTATTATAAGGATGGTAAATCTTTTGTTTCGAATTAGAGAGATTTGTTTACTTTGTTTCGTGATTTTGTTGAAGATAATCATTATTTACCAAGCTTGTCAGTGCTTAAATTGTACATCGCTAATTTGGCCCATCCATGGTTATGGTGAAATGCTGTATTTCTGCTTCATCTAACCGTATTACGTAATTTCGTAAACGGTGGTCTATAGCCTTCATCGTCGTCATCGTTTCTGCCCATCACTCATTTTACGTTCGACATTGCATGTTTGTTTGTGTTGGAACAGACTTATTGCACTTAAAGCAGGTAATTAATACCTTTCGCACCTCACAGTAACCGCATTCATAGATAGAGATCAATAAATGAAAACATGGTTTACTTCTTATGTAAACTAAACTTTTTTCTTCGCACAAAAATTGTGGAACGAACGTGCTCTTCTATTCGTAAACCTCTAACGATATACTTTCAATTTGCGGTATTCTAAAGTTGTGTATGACGAACCAAAATACCAAATTTTGATGATGTTTTCGCTGTAATATTTTGGGCTATTTTATGGAGCTTTTTGTGAAGTTCAGCGGGTCACAGGTCGGTCATATGTAACTCTGTAAAAGAATTATGGTCGCCACAATTCCTTCTAAAATTGCGATATGATACGAGATGGATATCGTTGTTTATCACTATCTTATGCCATGTCGAGGTACATGTATTCGAATGTACAAGTGGATAAATTGTAGAAAACATCAATTTAACAAATGAATGTGGTACAATATAATTCAGATCGCCGTCGAGTACAGAATCTTAATCAACTTTGTTCATGAATTTACATCTAAAAGAGTACTCCCGTAGTGTGTGTACCAGGTTAGGGTTATTCCGATTTTTCTTTTTTATTTCTATTACAAGTTTGGGGACTGTCTGTGTTAGCCAAGTGCGCATAGGCTTCCATCCGTTTATACAACTTGATGTAAAGTAGCCGAACAAAATTAGTTGCCTGCATATTGGTACAGTCACTTCTGGAGCGCCTCTAAAAGTGCGCTCGCTAATTTTGTCTCGACCATTACAATCTGGTACAGCGAGCTTTGCTTATTTTTATAAATAAAAGTGCTTCAGCATGTAAATTAAGAAGTTTCCATATCACAAAATTAGAAAGATATACTTCAGCGCGATGGCTCAATGATTGAAGCATTTGACTCGACCATGTTGGCGCTACAGGTCAAGCCCAAATGCCCACTTTTTTCAGTGTGAAATAAATGGTCCTGTTGCTGATGATGCTGGTTATGTATCAATTGAATTATTGAACTGGTCCTCTGTGATTTCCACCTTGCCATCCAGTGTCGAAAAAGTTATTTTTATTTTTTTTGTTTTTCTATTCCTTTGATCTTGGGTGGTGTTGGGAGAATAACAACTGATCTATAAATCGATAATAAACCGTCAGTTGTGTGAAATCAAAATTATTCCGTTTGGCCAAAATCCTGATTTAAACTACTGATAATGGCGCCAATTTTAAGTTTAAATCAAAGACGGTAAATGTATAAAGTGCATATTTTATTTGTGTTTTATTTATGATCCACGTATGGAGGAAATTGCACAAACACATCTTTTTACCGATAACCCGAAATAACGAAACTACCTGGTTACCGCGTAGACCACACCCAAAATTATTTGTAGCACAATTTTAATATAAACAAGCACTTTGCTTACAAAGCATACATTGATGGCTACTTAATCAATCTTGGTCTATCAGCGTATGTAATACGTTGTTTATTGTTATTATATTTGCCATTTACAGTTCAATCTGACATGCTGGCTGCCATTCCCCCAGCTACCGCTGACTCTTCTGCGACATCTGACGGAAGGCAAGATATAACATTTTCGGTCCCAGCAGAAGATGGCGGCAAACAGACGTAAGTGAGTTAACAAATTTTTGGAGAACTGGTAGTATCACTCATTAGACGCAAATCACTATGTGCTTTTATTTAGTTAAATTTTTCGACTTTGTTACACTATTATACCAAACATTGCTTTGGATTCGGATTCAAAGTTTTGAATATTTTTTTTTGTTTTAGTTACAAATTTTGGGTTCCATTACATTTGAACCCACGTACATTTGAACCCATGACAATTGCACCTGCATACTATTGCACCTATGGAATTTTTTTTGTTGTACAGATAGTTGAACCCATACTAACCCTAACCCATGGGTTTCATCACCCGCATATTGATTGAACCCGCGGATATAGACATGAGTTCAAATGTACGGTCACCCAAATTTTGTTTTACAAATCGCTATAATCCTTAATCAGCAGTCGGATATCGATACGGTGTATTGAAGGAGCATAATATAACGAGAAAACGGTTGAGATATACTCACTTATTTGCTGCCAATCTTAAACTTTGTACTGCGCAGTAAAATACACCAGAGGGCACTAGTGGTTCACCAAATGGAGGAATTGTTCCTCAGATTTGGCATAAACATTAATGTTGTATTCATGTGTTGTATACATTATGTCCACGAATTAATTATTCGCCCACTCGTCGGCAACTTGCGTGTATGGTATAACAGTTGCGTTAAATACTTTTATTTATAAGAGAAGTAGCAATATCGTATTTCTTCCCATACAGAGATAGATCAGATAAAGATATTTTTGGCATTGCCGATACGATATTGAAAGCATGGCTACTTGCATATCAACGGTGGCATGCGCGGAGCCTCTTGGTCCACCTTTTAAAAAGTAAATATATATTGAAAATCAGCGATATTTCTGTGCTTTCAATATAGAATATTTTCAATTACCATAATTCTTATATGAATTTATCATGCGTGGTTGAACAATTTTCTGGGATTGTCTGGTGTGCGATAACATGTATATGACATTTTTAACTGTAATTTTGTTTTGGCCTTTGGTCCAACAGACCGCCAACACTTATACGCATGTGTCACTGCATATGTATAAATTATATATAACTCTATTGTTTATACTTTATTTCGTTAATGTTCAGAACGTTCGCCGAATCTGAAAAAAGTCCGAGGCAAGACAAGGAAAGTGCGATAAACATCATTAAAACTGCAAGAACGACATCTGTGTCACCAACAATAAAAACACAAAATGTCAAACCATATAAGCAAGGTTAATACATACCTGTCACTCATAACGTTTTAATGCATTTGGAATATATTGTAAATGTAGAAAAAAATACCATAGATTGCAGTAAGATATGTTTCGAAGCGATTACAATATTAGACCTCAAGGAAGAGAATGTCTGATTTGCTTTACATCTGTCACATTAGTATATTGTCACCATTATATTTTCTGGTTTATTTGTTGACTTTATGTGAATGATTCAATATAAAAACAATCGAAAATGATCCAATGCGAAATAATCTATTCTAAAGCCCACAAAGCATATTGAAACACACTTCATTCCCCCTTTGAAGCTTTTTGAATTCAAGGTTAAAGGGTACATCATTAACAGAACATCTTTTCTCTTAAATACCATTAAAAGCATTATTATCTTTCGATTGTAACTAAATTTTGTATTTCAGCGGAATCGGCTCAAACTGGACCCGGTCCTGACTTCGAAAGAGTTATGTTTAATCTTGGTGGAAGAAGTCCGTTGGTTGCTCATTACCTGCATATGAAGCAGTTGAGAGACAAACAAATCGTTGGAAAACAAATGAAACGAACTGAAATAATGCAGCTTCCATATCCTTTTCTAATATATATGCGGAATAAAATTCTGTTATGTAGACTACATTGTAGAGCTATGGCTTGCAGTTCATCGCCCTGAAATATTTATTTTGACTTTGACTGACTATTTCATATATATCCGTACCGTAAAGACGTAGTATGTATGTATTTCTCGTTTCGCCTCGCACGGGGTATAATACATTCTGTTTTTTTTTTAATTTTATTATGTATTAGTGGCGACTTGTTTGGAGTCTTGTTAAGAGCGCTAACGAGCTAAAACACGTGTATCTCACGAATTTGAAAAAATTGTGACGTCACGACATTAAAACATCAATAACTATTTACCAATAAAATGTGTTAGCGGCCTCATTTTTTATCATGATCACGAAAATTCAATACAAACTATTTTACGAAAATGGGGATTCTCAAGTACGAACAATAGCGTAAACCAACTTCTGGAGTGCCATAATAGACGTCTACGGATAAAAAAATATTATCTGTAATGTAGAAATGGTCTCTAATAAATTAATATTTCTCATGAAAATCGCGCGCAAAAATTGCTTTGAAGCAGGATGATACAGGTGTTGTCTATCTTTTTTCTAACTTTTTTTCCATTAAATCTGTTGGAATGAAGACTCGAATATTCATTCATATGAAGGAAATGAAAATGTTTTCAAGCAAAACCTACAGTCCCTGGAAATCATGGACACGGGTTGGGAACTGCTGGCGTAGAAAAAAGTTCGTTTTGCTCGAAAATCTGTAGCAAAAAACTCATCTATTGTTTTTTAATAATGTTCTTAGTGCGATTTTTACTAGATCATGTTATGAAAAATATTATCACGCTGGTAATCTTTAAATAATCCAATATTCAAAGAACAACCAAAATCGATTTGCGTAATCAGATTCTCCAAATATAGAACCTTCGAAGGTGGAGTGTAATGAACTAGATAGTATGCTGTAATAAAAAATCTATAGCATCCATGAAGGTCATTTACGTATATAACGTTCAATTTTTGTCAACGGGCTTGTAAATTCTATGTACGTCCCAGATTAAAATTTTTTTCCATAAATTTTTCATTATCTGATGGGGGGGCTACCTTCATATTACTATGTCAATGGATCACCATAATTAGTTAATTGAATCGTGGAGTAATGAAGTTTCATAACATTTTTGTTGCTACGTTGGGTAAAAAAACTATGTTTTACCTTCTCATCTATCATTGTGCTTGGTACTTACATGTCTAGTCATGTCTCTTTATGGTCATTCATTATACTAGATATGGCCAAATATAAATATAAATTATTAGTCAATATTTTGATGGGCACATTGGAGTAATGAATTAGCCCGAAAATGTTACCATTTCGATGTTAGCCGTCTATCATCGTTTTGTTTATTTAGTAGTCAACCCAAAGAAAGGTCCATCTTCCAAACCATCTTCGCTTGGCTAACACAGACAGTCCCCGAACTCGTAATCGAACTAAAATAAGGAAAATCGGAATAAAATTATGGCCTAACCCTACCTGGTACACACACTACAGAAATGCTTTATTTAAAATAGCAATATTTCTGATATAGTTTGGACGAAATTATTTGTCATAGCTAGCTTCAGCAAATTGGTAAGCCGAAACCAAAGATTCGACTGTTGAAACAAAAGATGCTGTTCATTATCTATGAATTACTGTTTGTTCAGAGACATGTTATGAGTAACAATATGTGAACGCTAAACAATGCTTTTTCATTTTAAATAGAAAGCGCAAAATATAAAAAATTGAATTCAAACTTCTTCGTTTATTTGTTCTTAATATTTCATCTCTCAACACGGCTTCAGCACCTACGTTCCAGGATGTGATCCGACATTCCAAGAAAACCGTAAAAGATTTACATACTCAACGAGACAGGTGCTATTTATATTATACCATTTTCTCTTTCAATATCAATCATGGACAACCATTGATGTATCTGCCGTGACTCGTTTCAGGTTATCTCCAGGGACTTGATATAGGTCATATAACTCATTCTGATATACTTGTGCGCCAGAAATATAGTTATATTTTGGCCTTTTCTGTTTCTGGCGGAAATTACAAAGGAATATGGCCTGGTTTCATCGGACTTTGAATCATTTTCAAAATAACGTATAACATTTTTTTTATAAACATTTACAATGTGACACCAGTCACTCAAAACAGTTATCAGTTATTTCATTCTAAAGATATCCGTAAATTCAATGTTGGGGGCACGATGGCCCAGCGGGGAAGCGGTAGCGGTGTTAGCATGGCAGGTTACATACTTTAGGGTCAAATATCATTACCACCCGCGGTATAATACATTGCATAGGTCAGCAGTTCCCAAAGGGTGCGCCGCGACCATTTGCTAAGTGCACCGCGAAAATTAACAGAATTGTGGTAAACATATCTAACATATGATTGAATATTTTACATATTGTATTTAATATTAATGTTTTATTGTTTCTTATTTTAAATGCTGTGTATATGAATCAATAAATTCATTCTACTTTTCTATGTCGTTTACTTTTTGTTACGTAATGTCTGCCTCTGTTGTTACGTAACAATAGAGATAAACACTACTTGCTGCAATTTCGCAGACTGCAGTTTATTTATCTGCTGAACCGAGTTTTAAGCAAACATGAGTGATTATTTTGGATTTCCAAGGAAAATCAGGCGGAGAAAGAGTTGACCTTTTGCCTGTATTCTTTATCTTTATTATACTACATGTTTACAAACTTTAATAGGCATAAAGTACACATTAACGATCACAAAATTGGGTTTTATTCAAAGTCAGCAATTTTTTTTAAATTAAATTTAGTTGCGCATGAGTTATTTTTCCTGATAGTTTTGCGCCGCACGGACGAAAAGTTTCTAAACCGCTGGTATAGGTGATATCGAACCGAATAGATTCCGGTCATTACAAAAATAATATCCCCTTACTTATCGTTAGATATCAGTGGGAGTTCGTACAGGGTCTTGTTTGAAGAAAAGAGGGTGAACAATTCAATATCTATAAATGGTTAATATTGTTTTCCGAATTTATCCGTAAATTCAAGGAATTACAGTCGAATAATAGTGAACGGTTGCCTTTACAATATTCTATTTGGGAGCGAATTGAAAGACCAAAAATGGAAGAATACATCGAGTCATGGGGTGGTACGAACGGGAGCCAGGCATGCCAGAACACGATTTTTAGGAATCTTCTTCTTCTTCGTCGATTTAACCAGAACGACATAAGCTTTTTCGAATGTTAGTGTTGGAATTCACAAGTATACAGAATTTTGAATATTTAATGTCGTTATCTTATTCGTATACATTTTTATACAACTCTTAATTAAAGCCTTGCAACCCGAACAACCTGCCACTGATTAGACAGGACCGGAATCTTTTTGGTTCGCCGAAGTTTTTACATCTTGCGTGAGACGGTGGGCATGGGATCAGAATCCGATATTTCCAATCCGCGATACTATCACAGTTGAGCTTAGGCCATTGCGCTCACGTATATTTTAAATGTGAACATACTGATATTTTTACATTAGAATGATGGCTATCACTGAAGAGGAAAGATTACGACAAGAAAAACTCCGAAAAATAATTGCATTGGATACAAAGAAAGCGAAAGATATCTTGAGCGATCCACTGGAAATCAAAATGCGAAGTGATCGCGTTATGGACCAAGCGGTGATTTTTTTTCGTTTATTGTTTCTGTGTTAATAATCTAATAATATGTTATTAGAATGCTGGATGTACGCTTTTTGTGAATTTTTTGATCATTATACAATTAGTGGTATTAGCTTACTAATCAGTAGCATAAATATTTCGCTGCAGTGAAACCGAATGGACTTATGTCAGATTCTGAGGGTCATGTGAGGAAATCATATTTTTGTAATTAGCATATCTGTACAATAAAACCTCGAAATTGACATTGGGCATTACTAAAACAAAGAATAAAAAAGTACAGCTTTGAATAATAGCAGAAGATTAAAAAAAAATCCATTTCCGAAAAACGTGACTGCAGTGAATTTTAAAGCAACTCAAACAGTTGCAAACGGGATGTTTTCTTTAACACTCTAGCACTGAAAATACCAGCACTTCATACACAGAACAATTTTGAAACATTAGTTGAGAGTTATGTTCGCCCAACAATCGTTTCAAATTAGCATGCACTTTTTGTAAGCAATCATTTAGGCGCGTTTAAAATGGCCATAATCTGTCTGCTTAGGCATGAGCTGAACAATATCTTAAACATTTTAAGCGAATTTGCTCAAAACAGGTGTACCCAATATGGAATGATGTTTTGAACTTCTCCCTACCCTTTAACAGAGGTCAATTTGGTTCATATTTTTTTTCGTATAATACGACATTTTGAGAATAATTTGTGATTTGAATTTTATGTCTTGTTTTTGTTACAAAATACCTCTAATTACTGATTTTCAAACTATTCGAAAAAGTAATTAATTACTGAATTTGAAATATCTATCTAATTATTTAAGCGCAATTCTTCACCATACCCAGTCAGTGTCCATCTAGAAAATTTGAAATCGAAATATTTAAAAATTATGTTTTTATGTTTTGATAAGGCGGTTTTCCTCGTTGATGTTTCTGTGAGATTTGTCTTTTTTACGCTAAAATTTTTACAAGTAAAATCGAAATTAATTAAAAAAAATGAGAGCAATTTATTCGCAGCAACGCTTCCATACGCGTAATTGACTATTTCTCCAATAGATTATCAGCGCAGAGAAATTCTCATCCATCCCAACAAAATTAATTTTTTCCATGAAAATAAAAACATACTCCATATGTTGTCAAAAATAAATTGAACGCACTGGCCTGTCGATTGCGCACTTGTTCAACCATATCCGGACCACAGGTTAGAGACATTTTGTTCGAGTTTTGATCGGACATTTGAAATCCTACCTTTCCACATCATTATTCAAGTCATTTTGCATCATTTTAATAATTTTATTGAAATATCACGATTAATATTAACGACCTCATCATAAATGCCGAAATATTTGACCTTTAACTGGAGTCAATATGAATTTTTGAGTATTTTGACTGAAATGTTTTCCGATAATAGAATATTCCTATAATTTGGTTATGGTGTTTGAAAAATAAATCAAAATGAAGATAATAACCAAAATTATGGTTTTTAACGGAAATAATACGGTTTTGTAAAATTTGTTATGTGTCCTGAGTTTTTACGCAATTAATGTTCTTAAATATATTACTATCCAATTATTGTATAAGCACAGCGTTTTATTGAAAAAATTGAAGAAATTGCGAATTATCTTCAGAAAACTTATTGCTGCAATTAAACTTACTCTGTTATATATAATACGACACAAGTGCAGCGATCGCTAACTAATCATTTGGGCTCTAAACACATCAAGCGACGAAACAAGATCCATTTTGGCTAACTTTTTTTGTCGCTTACTTGCTTTCACAAATATTCATAAAACTATACCCTGTTTTTCTCGCAATATTAAATAAAGAATTTTGTTCAACATACTATTGAAATTAATATTGGGAAAACAAACGAGTGGATAACTTGCAATTGAATATCTAATTTTATCATTTTGTGTTTGTATATTCTTCTCTAGCGATTCATTAATCTTTCCAAATTACTGAATAATGTTAAATAAATTATAAAAATATTGCCACTGATGTTCCTGCGACTGTTATCCTGGGCCAAAGAAGTTTTAAACTGGGACCTTCCATTGGTTTCAAATTGTACGGATTTGTTCACGATCTTTTGTTGATAGAAAAATCCTCCAAGTGGAATGACCCGTATATTTGATATGTGGGATTATGCACATTAAATTCATAATTCATTTGCCCGCGTTTAAACTTAATCTGTCATTGGCATTATTTCGATTTTGGGGTTTGAAAATTTTAAAAAAATCATCTATTTAACTGTATCCGGGTCGTATGCTTGTATGAGAGAAATGGAATGATGTCCATTCCATTCTTCATGGTATGACACGCGACAATTCACCAAGCAATTTTAAGTCCTGAAATACTGTCGACCATTTGACATAGCCACTGCAATGTAATCCGCTCCAGTTCCCCAAGAAGCCATGACTTGAATTGAGATGTCTTCCATGACTCCGATGATGACTTTCAATAACTTAGACGAGTCAAGTCAAATTTTTATGGTAATTTTTAAAGTTTGAGTAGTGGCTCTGAAAGTTCTACTTTGTCTCCCCTAGTCGCGATAAGTTATTTATAGTATAACTCTAAATGGGATCGATGTTACAATATAAGATATGTTTAGAATAATATTCCATATTTTGGATATATACTAAATTTTATTAAATGGAAGCGTAAAGTTATTGGACACAAAGTGTATATATAGATCGTTTTGTTATTATTTCTTGTCGGTATTTTTCTTCTAATGGTTATGAAAAAAATCGCTTTTCTTTATCCACTACTGGACCAATTGCTCTCTTGTATTTAAACCCATTTTTTTTTTGTTGTTGTAATTTCTGCATTGAAATCCAATTAGGACTACATAATGGAATTATCTTGTACCTTAACCTTTTGTAAATAGTTTTCAATGTCTACCAAATAGCTGTCATGGTCATATTTTTCAAAATCAACATTTTATGCCATGTCGTTTGAGACATTTTACTTCTATGGGACTCAAGCGAGAAAAACCATATATCGATTTTATGCCGTTGCGATGTCAAACCAAACATGGATAATCCACATATTTGTGACATATAATAGGTATTTAAATCCTTATATGACATTTGTGATATTGTGTATATAAACAATACAAAGTAACCGAACAAATTTTGTTGATTAAAAATAACGTGAACTGTATTTTCAAACATTGGTGAACGATATGCAGATTTTATGTTCTGTTTATTATGGCCGCTCGAAGCAGAAAAATTTAGTTTACCAAACTTAATTCCGATATCAAAATTTTCTGAAAGGGAAATATGGTTCATTATCGCCATATATTTTTCAGTCGACTAATGCGGTCTCAATGCACAAATTACGCTTCAATTAACATTTTCACCCAAATGAGGAAAAACAACGGATAGTCGCGTATAGAAACAATCAGAAATTTGTATATAGGGTTTGACCTGATTAGTGATAACACCATGTCCTCGCATGTCAGGGTAGACCTATCATCGATCGTAACATCTGTCTTAAATTTAACGAAATATACTAAACTCGAAAAGTTCCAGCCTTCAATACAGTATATATAAATTGCAAAAGCTTTGATACGATCGACGATGTGGCGAATCATCAACCTATTAAATTTTCTTGACGTTTATTCTATCCTTACAGATCGGTGGGGGATTGCATCGTCCGTCGTCGTATGGAAGAATAAAGTCAGCTCATACCGATCAAGATTTTTATTTGCAAGAAGATCCGTTGTCAGATCCCGAAGTTGTTATCTAGAATTGCTGTTTTTATTTTTGAGGAATTTTACTGTGTCATTTTTTTCGTGCTTTGGGATTATAAATCTACAAATAAATTTTTCCTTTTTTTTATTCTTTTACAATTTCTTTACGATATTATTTTTATTAGTTTTGCTTTTAGGCGTAGACGTATGGCATAAATAGAAGAGACTGGCAAAAACAATTGGGTAAACCAATAACAAACTTAGACGCTAGTTAAAGTACTCGTCTAAAATCGTACATTTTGCATAAGTTGTGATAATTTGTTTTTGCGAAAATGGCATTCATAGATTCGTTGGGTTAATTTTGAACGTCCAACCAACATCGACTGCGAGTATGACTCAGACGACGATTCAAATAATTCGATTAGGACTTCAGCTCCCGACTATGAATAACCAAGCTTCCACTACGAAAATTGGCGCTCCATAAGTGTATGTACCAAAATAGAGGTAACTAATTTTGTTCGCCTACTTTACACCAAATTGTGTAAAGGAACTGAAACGTATGGGCATGGGGTATATTCACTTGGCTAACACAGACAGTCCCCGAACTTGTAATAGAACTAAAATAAGGAAAATTGAAATAAAATTATGGCCTAACCCTAACCTGGTACATATACTACGGGAATACCCGGAAATTTATGTCTTCGCAGACTCTTTTCTTATTTATCACATTAGGGTATTATTTTGTTTTTATTTCACATTGTTATGAAAGCTTTTCATTTAATTAATTAATACTAAGCTTAGGTAATACCAACTGCTAAGTTTCAAATGGATGCGCTTCTGGACTTCATAGACATATTATGTCATAATTTGTCAAGAACAATTAGCGTTGCTTTCATTTACGACGAAGCATTATTAATTCATGTAGAAAATGTTTTGTGAAAACATGTTAGTGACTTGGAGTCATTTGTATTACTTAACCCATTAAATTTAAATTAGCTGTCGCAACTGTCCGCTCATTTTGTTACCAAAGGAGATTGGATAATACATAACGGAAACCGCCTAGTCAAAGTAATTAGGTCGATGCCATCGCGACTTATTTGCATTCTAAAACAAGAAGAATGGAAGCTTTAATTCACATCTATTTGTATATACATACTGTATCCATAAAATTGACCATTATGATAATATAGGATAGGCAGTTTTGAGTACCAATATCATCGACTATTCTAAAATCGTTTCAAATTATATTATTGAGGCGCGACCCATAACTGGTTTGGATGGAAATCGATTGTCATTGAAATATGACGTCATAAATTTGTTTTACGTCATATTTTATTGAAATTATTTGAAAAATACCACATCGAAAATTTTGGTATTTTAAATCTCGCGATCCATTACATTTGGCAATATCGGATCGACATAATTTCGATTCGTGTAATCATCTCTTACAAACTCGAATAGGAGCATAATATTAAGTCATTAACCTTTCCAATATGAAACTTTTCTATCACTCACCTTTACGGCGGTGAAAAAGCTATCCGTTTAGACTTTCTGGATCCGAAAAGCAGAATTTAAATAAAAGTTTCAGTCGATTTTATGAATGCCGCTGTAGAAGTGAATGAGGTATCAGGTCAAAGCGGCGTTGTTTTATCATAGCATTGGGAGAAACGGTTGCACTTAACTAACCAGCAAATTACATTTAGGGTCGCTATGATCCCTAACATATGAGGTACGTTCTTAATTATTTATCAACTAGACAAAGTGCAGGAAAACATATCGCCTAAAGGGGAATAAGTTCAAAAATTTGCATAAACCAGAAGCTCCTAATTGAATCAATATAAATCACTGATGTATGTGCGTTAACGAATCAAAAGTAATGTCATGAGCTGGAAGATTCAGATTCCATAATTTACTTAACTATGATTTTCAACACATCTATCCGACGTTTTTTACGTCTTCATGTAAGGATCGTTTTAAGATGATTTTGATTCGAGTGTTTGCTCTTGTGTATGCGCACCTAATTTAGGCGGCATTTTCCGTTACATAACCGTGAAAAAATTCGAAAACATAATTTTTGTTTTCAGTTATTTTCAACACATGTATATATATATATATATATATATCAAAAAATTGTCTTCTAGTATAATGAAAAATTGGTATCTGACACGCGGAAAAATGAAAAAAATCATGAAATCATCATTTAATTTACACGAAAATGTAGCTGAGGGATGCGTGGAAATAATAACACATATTTATGTTTTGATAACATGTACGAATAACTGGCAGAAAACATTGCTTTTTGTATACCAAACGGAAAAATTGACGCAAAATAATTTGTTGGGCCTAATTTTTCTTCGAAAAAGCGCGTTGCAACTGCAACAAACTTTGCTGTTCGAGATCCTAGAAAATATTGAAATGATCCTTTTGAAAGAGATTGTTGTTTTCATTCTAGCAATAACAAAAATAGCAGCCCAAAAGCCCTCTACATAACAGGGAGGCCAATGCGTATGAGATCAAATATGCACCCTCATTCTCTCGTTTATTATATTCAATTACACTGCTCTTGGCAGGAAAAATTGTAATGTACGTCAAGGATTAGGACTGCAAAATCCGATGTATAACATCGTCAATTGCAAAAGTAATATTATTTTCCCCTTATCTTCCATATATATATAGCAGGAAAAATTGTAATGTACGTCAAGGATTAAGACTGCAAAATCCGATGTATAACATCGTCAATTGCAAAATATTATTTTCCCCTTATCTTCCATATATATTGTGAAACATGTAATAAGTTGTGTCAGAGTTAACTGTAAGCTACAATCATCTATCTATATACCCAAGATATTCAAAATGAGTTTGTGACGGGATAGATTTACAGTGAACCACACAGGACAATTTTGTATACATTTGATGCTCTGAAGCAGGCTCAAACGTTAACTCTTTTGTTCCGTATAACATATATATTCGTACTACCAACCTTGGTCATAATAGTTATTTTCGGACTATTTTACGTTTATGTTCATGTTTTGTGAAGTATTCCGCACTAACTAAATCATTTTGAGCATCCAACTATGATCCGTGCTTGATCTGTCAACATTTTGTTTTTTTGTAAATTTTTTATTTTACTACTAAGTGAATTTTATTTGTGTAGGTATTTCAAAGCTTAGAGATACACGAAAGTATTTGTCAATGCTTCAAAAATAAGTCATTTGAACGAGCGGGAAACAATTTCGCGCACATAATAAACAAACAAAGATTCCAGACAACTATCGTGGACATGCTCTCACATATCATTGATTATTTCGCGTTTCGCTTCGCTTGCGAAGCTGAGTCTGGTTTTTCTTCAAAGGTGACGTAACTCTCTTTCAGAAGAGCGCTTGGAATTTCGTTTCTTTGTAACACGTGTTCATCGAAGCGATAAGAGTGCGAAACGTTCTCTCGAAAATTTTTGAAATTTCTCTCTTCTTACACGCGTAGGGTCGAACGGTTTCGCTTACGTCACTTGGGCGCGTTTTAGTAGGAAGACGCGAAAATAAGCTTTTTAAAGAGATATTGGGGGTGTTCCTTGTACGTTTGGTTAACTGGTCATTACATATTATAAAATGGTACATAAAGTCGATTGTATACAGCGGAAAAAAAGGGTTAAGATGACCCGGTCAATCTAACACCATCAACCTTCACATGCCGAAGAGGGTAATGTGTTCTACATAAGCTAAAGCTATAAAAAAAAATATCTATTTGCTAAATTTATACAAAAGCCCGTCCCCGATGCATGACTAAGTTGAATTACTACCGCTTAGTTTCGCAATACTCTCACGGGATTTGAAACGCGATTTGGGATAAGTGGTGATTTGCGAAATTTTCACAATGTTTGAATTTCAAATAGATCGTTTCTCACTCAAAAATTGGCTGCTGGGATTACGCTGTATTTCGATTTTTTCCGTTCTGCATCTTTCGCTAATACGTAAACAAGCAAATGGAAAATCAATAGTAATTACAACAGTGAGACTGCGTTGTCAATATATGCCTGTACCAGTGCGTCATTTGTATTACGTCATTTATGAATATTATTGTGGAATATCATATTGAATCTTTAACAAATATGCAACAGGAGGTCTTGGAATTATTTAATTTCTCTAGCATAAAAATTGGCGCTCTAGAAGTATGTGTACCAATATTATATGGAGGTAACTAATTTTGTTCGCCCACTTTACATCAAGTTGTGTAAAGTGACTGTAGCCTATGTGCATGGGTATATTCACTTTGCTAACACAGACAGTCCCCGAACTCGTAATAGAACTAAAATAAGGAAAATCGGAATAAAATAATGGCCTAACCCCAACCTGGTACACATAATACGGCTAATCTGCTAGCGATAAATCAAGAAGCTGATTATATATAATGCGCCACAATGGATAGCGAAAATTTTTCCTGTAAGAATATTTGAAGGTATATATAATTTTGTTGCTATTGTTGAAACAATCGAATAACTTATGTTAAGCGATTCCATATTATATATTTATTTGGTGACAGCACATTTGAACCCATACATTTGCACCCGTATTTCCGCGGGTTCAATCTATATGCAGGTGCTAAAATCCATGCGTTAGGGTTATCATGGGTCAAATACCCGTAGGTACAAATTTCCATAGATGCAATAGTATGCAGGTGCAATTGTCGTGGGTTTAAATTACGAGTTCAAATGTACGTGGGCTCAAATGTAGTGGAACCATTCATTGATGATCGAAAACATTCACGATCATTATAATCTTCTTTTAATCGCGCCAATTGGTCGACATTATCCAACGATTAAAGGTAGTTTGCTGTGGTCATTTGGTCATTTTCAGTCAATATTCATTAAATATTAATATGTTGCTTATTTACTTACTACTTGAGTTGGATTGAATGTATTCTGGCCGTTTAGGTATACTTTTGTCTTTAATAATTTAATATATAAACATCTTGATACTTGAAAGCTATTTATTTCTTCTCCATCATACTTGGAATATGTATTTTACGCGTGCTATTCCCTATACTCTTATAGTGACTAAGCATTTGTTCGGCGGTCTCCTTTTTTCTATATTTTACCTTTTTTCTTTTGTACGTCGATTACGCTTATAAGTCCGTGTTTTCAGTCTACCTCATCGCTTCCGAAGGAGTTCCGAGAGAGTGAGAATATTAGGAATATAATAGTGACTGCCTCTGTGAGATTGATTTTTCAAAAGGTTCCATCGTATCTCCTGTTGTGCCATCGCCGCGTATGATATAAATAGTAGTAGAATATTACTTAAATCAACTTTTAGGCATTTTGTATAAAATTGTCTGTACATACGACATATCTTTTTAAGCTGACTCAATCATTCGTTGTTTCTGGCGAAACATATATATATAAATATATTGTGGAAGTCTCATGTTAGCGATATAATTTTGCAATAATTGTGGCCTCTTGTTCGACAATGCAAGTTACCCACTCGATCCACTGATCATAGTGTGATGTTGTAGTTCTAGAACTCGGATTCAAAAGCTTAGACTTGTTTCATGACTTTTTCCAATTCAATTTTCCCAAACATTGGTTCAAAATATGAACGCACATTTTGTGTGTAATATTTACCAATTCACTTCAGAGCCAGACTTTTACCGAGATCGACCCTGGTACTGAAAAGCCACGGCTGTCCTTGGATGCTAGTCTGTTCAATCCATGGGAGAAAAAGGGCGATTAGATGGTTCTCTTACCGACAGAGCAAATAAGAGTTGAAAGTGTAAGTTTAGTTTGATATACAAATAAATCAGAAATCAAATGTACCTAATTAAGAACAAATTCATTCCTAATAAAATTTGATCTAGAGGTGAATTTATATTTTCAAAAATATATGCTCTAATTTAACATAAGCAAGAAGAGAAAACATGAAGACGACATTTTTAAGAAGAATCACTTCATTCATTCTTCTAATTACAGGTATTCATCTTCTTATTTCTTGTTTATTCTTATCTATAGATCAACTTCAGATACCGACGTGACAATTTTTCCTGAATTCCATCATTTCGTCGATGCTATACATCGATATATGCGACAGTTTGCACCAATTAGGTGCTATAGACCATTTGTTCACACCAGTGAAAAATCGAGGATTTAAATTTTTTTTTTTTTTCACAGGTTGCCTAGGATATCCATCCAAATTAGAAAATGAATTTTCTGCGTCTAATATGGTAAGATTATATTTATAACGTTTTGGTAAACAAATTTCATTCTTCTCATAATTATTTCTTCTAAAATTTTTCTAATTTAATATATTTTTCACGCCTTCCGACCATTTTGTTTCACTATCAATCAAGATCACAGATTCACCCTCGAAGCTTCCATATACTATGTACATTTCACTTTTGGCTGTTTATTACTTGCGCGCTCTAGAACGTAGATCATCATCTGGTGTCGATATCGAAAATATAATATGTTTTCTTCTCATGTTATGCATCGCAAGCAATACACTTAAAAATATTTTTTATTTTCTTCTCGATTTGGAGAAAATTCTGATACAACTAAGATAAGATTTTCTACCTGATTCTTTTTCCAAAGATATGTATGGTTGCTTGGATAATCGCTTGCAATATTCGATCCCACATTCGAGCCGTATCTGCAAATAGGATATTCGACACCACAACAGTACAACTTTGTTGGAATATGAATCGTTTAAACTATAAGTCTAATGAAATACAGTACAAATTTGTACTATGTCACTATTCTTGTTATTCGCATAAAAAATGCTAAAATATTTAAAAAACTAAAATTAAATATCAACTGTAAGAATTTTAAACTCACATTATTCATCGCGTTAACATACCTATTCATAATTTTAAAATCCTATTTTGCTGTTCCGATAAACAAATCAGTACAGAATATACGAACAATGAGATTGAAAATAACAACGTTATTTTCTTCACTTATTGCATTATTTCATGAATACGATCGTGAGATTATTAGTGATTATTCAAATTTGAACGCATAATTACGGTTCAGCAAGGACTGTAGTCGACATAGATCAGGAAAAGGGTAAATTTTTATTTGTCGCGCCGTGATGTTCTAATACAATACTCGATCCAACCGAATGATTGAATCATTTTCTCATATTCAAGATTTATAAAAGAACTAACCATAGATAAAATTGTATATAGCGGCTTTTTATAAACAGCAATATTGGAACAATGGTAAAACTGGAATAATCTGTCAACGATTTTCCATTAGTTTACAATTTAACGAACATTTCACTTTTTGAGCGACGGAGTTATGGCTTCCGATCTATTCTTATAATTACATTCGCGTTGTTTTTCCCATACGTGTACGCCCATTGTTTCATCACGGTCGAGGGCCAACGCGAATACACCCCCCGCGTGTCAGTGAAGGAATGATTTATAAATTTGTGCGTGACATTGTATATTCATATCGACCGATATCCTAAGTAAACATCATTTCATATGCAAAATACAAAACGTTTAAAAGTAATACACCAGGCGAACAAACTACTTACTATTCGTTTATGCGCACAGACGCGGAGTGATACAAAGCAATAAATTCCATTGCAAAGTAAACATTATTGATTTTTAATTTTCTCTGTTTAAAAAGCATTTTGTTTTACTGACAAAATAATATTGCAATATAATATTCTGCATTAAAGTGTACATTTATAATAAACAACTGATAATGGTTGTTTCCGTTTTAATAAAAATTTATTAGGGAGTGAATTTTGATAATACAACAGATTATGAGGAATAATTACAATAAGATAAGAAGCCAATAAAAAGTACCATATGTTATTATACAAAACAAACGATCGATATTGGAAAAATATTTACAACAATTAGGACCAATAAAATTTAAAAGTCGGTTCAAACCAGATCAGAAAAATTCACGTTTCACTCCATAAAGCTATTCAGCATTGAAACATATTTCAACCTAGATTTAATTTTCAACAATAGATTAAATATTGTTAATCAGGACTTATGCGAAATAGAAAAACTTCCCAATACTAGACTAGTTCTAAATATATCATATTGTATACGATTCTGGCCTATTCCTCTTCTAAATTTTAGGTCTTGCCAGATGTTGGCATTAGTTTTAGTCATCTAGTTCCCCAAGGTACATTAAAGGTAGAAATGTGTTTCATTCCAACCAGTCACGTCCATTCAATTTGGCTTATTTTATTCGGTAGTATCATAGACATTGTTGCAATTTTACTTAATTTTCGAAGTGGTTTATTCTTTATCTTATTTGCAATATAACCTGATACTGTTCCATCTTTATTTATGCAGTTTATTTGATACCCGAATATTTTGTGTTTGAAAAAGATATTGTTTCATTTCACCGATGCAATATCAGAATTATTACAATTTTTTAAACACCATTTTTACAAATTACGCTAATGAAGTAGAATTATTCATTCCATCATAAATTATGTTGATTTTACTATCCAGAATGATGACTCCGTGTTGCGGGCAAGACTCGGCGAATTGAATGCAGAATTTATGGATAAAGCTGCGGACGCAGATAACGGTAAGAATTTAAATATGTGGAGTAACCATTGTGAAATAAATAGCTTCCATATTTTTGTAGAAAAAAAATTTGGAATATCTAGAGGTATTTCTAAAAAGTTAGGCATTGACATATTGTGACTGCAATATTTGAAATTACGTCTAAAACTAAAAATTAGTGAGTAACAAGTGATTCCGAAAAAAAAAAATGTTTTCTGATTCTTGCAAACACCGGGCATATTTATTCGTCAAAGCATTACATAATAACCGATAATTGTTTGGTTACATTTTTAATTCGACAACTTTGCAATGTGCTTGTATATTGTTACAATATTTTAGTTCCTGCTTCACTTGTACGATCTTCGCTTATAAAAATATACAAATTGGCGAGTGTGCTGAAAATCTTTTGTATGTACCTCACCTATAGATTTTCTCGCATACTTTGATTTTCTGTTTGTGGCATCAAAAGCGTGTTAATTCTATGGAAAGTATACAGTCCAAAAATTGTTATTTTATTTTAAATTCAACATTCATTTATTCAGTTTGACACTTGGATGCCTGATGGACAAGTAGGAATTACGTGACAAAAATATTATAGCCACCAAACGAATCTATTTTAAAAATGAACTACATGCCGCGTATAGGCCAGAATGATTTGTATATTATAATATTCAGTGCAACGGCGATTCAAAATAAATTGCGTACAATGATTGATAATTGGAATAATCACCTGTGCGTAATTTGCGTAACTTTACGTGAAAACAAAATTACTCAAGTATTTCACACCGGACGCATCATCGTTAAATAGCCGACATTTCTTGTCAGCAAAACAAAAAAACAAAAAAATACAACTGTTTACTTTAAACAATAAAATTTAGACTGCATTATTTATTTATGTTAGGGCCTTTGGGTCGGGTTATGCAGTCACAATTTGTTTTAGTTTTCGAAATAATTTCGTGACCGAAAATTCCGCCCATGTATTTGCGTATTGTCCACGTAAATGAAAAAGTATGGAAAACTACAAAGGGAGTCTGAGTTTCTCAATAGCGTAACATTTCGTTGTTTATCATAACATGGACAAAAATAAGTACGTAATGGTTCCGTGGAGACCTCCAATGCACTCGTGTCATAAAATGGACTTCTAATTTGATTCTGTCGTCGAAACAATATTTCGGCATCCTGTCACAATCAATTATTCATTCTTAAGTTAAAAGAAAAACATTTGTTGAAATAATGTTCGCCCTACTTTTAGGTTTATTCGCCTTTACTTTAGGTTCATTATCGTTTCGTAGCTTTATTCAATTTGCACTGTTGCGGAAATACATAATTTTGAATTTTGTTAGTCATTTTTCTCAAAGAAGAAATTACTTAACAAAATAATATTTTACTCCCCCGTTTTCACGGCCTATTTCTCAAAATTCCCGGAACGCAGTATTTCATAAATTTCATTTAAAACTAAGTAGATTTGAGGTTAACATGGAAATAATTCGGGAATAGGGATCGATATAGACCCCTATCGCCAATAACCAACTATTCGGTTGACATACAAGGCGACGCATTCATCTGGAGTTGTGGTGATGATAGTTGAGTGGTACTTAGCCATGTAGCATGCAAAAAGGCCTGTATTTTCGTAAATCGACTACTTCAAATAATCCACTTAAGTGATGCGCTAAATATATATATATATACATAGCAAGCATATTACATTTTGTTTTTGTGTTTTCCTTTCATATTTTTTATTACAACTATTATGAACACTCGGAATTTTTTCTCAAGCTATAAAATGGTGTCTATATTCACTAATACTTAAAACATTTTTCGAAGACATGTCCGATGAGAATACAGACTTGGATTCTCAGATGGCAGAAATCGACACAGAAGAACATGAAGACGTCGACAGAATGATCGAACAAAAAGTCATTGAAGCTATACTGAAAAGGTCGCTAAGAGGATTGTACCGTAAAGAAACAGAAGCAGAAAGTCGCAACAAGCGTAGCCAAGACCCTGGAAGATTAAATCGTGACATTCCCGACTACGAAGAAGACATGTATTCCCTCCGGGCTGTTCCATTTCTTTTCAAAAAGCGATCGTACGATGATTGGGATAGAGATTTCGACGATTCTTTGGGTTTCCTTTTCAAACGTTCGCAACAAAACCGTGCACAGAAGTTGGCATCAGAATTTGACGACGAAAAGCGCGCAGAATTTTCACCTTTATTCAAGAGACGAGGGGTTCCATTTCTTTTTCGGAAGGAAATTGAAAAACCGTTTCTGGTCAGTCGTCTGCTCCATACTATAAAGGGCGACGAAAGAAACATCGACGATGACTCAGACGAGGTTTCGGCGCGGGATCTAGATTACTTGTTCAAACAATCCGCCTCTGCATCTCGACAACCAAATGAAAAGTCATTCAATGCAGTCGAAGACATGAACAAGCGCTACGAGATGTCCGCTCTGTTTTGAGATTTCAAATGTATTTTGTTATCTATCCGCTATGTATTGTAATATAAAGTCACATCTAGTTCAGGCTCAGTCCTGCATTCCAACATACGACTGTTTATTTGTAAGAATGGATGCTCAACTTCTTTCTTCATTGATTTTGTATTTTTTCTCAAGAATACTTTTAGTTGTCAATACGTATAGCACAACATGGATTGCTCATAAATTTTAAATTATATATCGATTTCTTGCAATAAAAATACTCAGAAGTAAGAAAATAGAATCTGGCGATCGAATTCAGTAGCGATTCTAAGTGACATGATAGATACGGATTGATTTTGTTTCCCAAATAAAAGAAAACTTTACGATCCTTCAGTTTCGCTCGATACTGATACTTCGACTTCATCTTTAAATGTCAACTATTTCATTAGGTCTCCGATATAACAGGATACTTATTTTATATAATGATTGATGGTCACTTAATTCTTGTCATCGGTGTGGTGATGTATATTATTTTAAACCCGATTAGTTCATTTTGCTTTAGTTCGAGCGATCATGTTCTTGCGAACAAAGTCTTATGCATTATGGTTGCTGGGGTGATTGATAAATCAAATTGGTTGTAGGCTAATGGAGATAATGTGCATGTATGAATTGATTCGTGTTTTTCAAATTCAGCAACAGTAACAAACAGTCGGAAACGAAATATTAGTCCAATTTTTACAAAATGTTTAGACAGAAGTGAAGCGATTATAGAGAAAACACTCTCAGCTGTTAAGTCTTCGAGACCACAGGTCAAATGATTCATCCGAAATACCGATTACAGATTCAATTTCAAATCCAACAGTCGAATCTAAGCATGTAGTCAGCAAATGAATAAAAAACAATACGAACCCTCGCCCAGTCTCACTTTTTTCATTATTTTCAAATCTGCAAATTTTCAGTATGACGTTGATATTCTTAAAAGAAAATGAAAGCTACGTGCTTACGTAAAATGAAAGTAAGTAAAATACAGTTGATTCAGCCAATCGAACTAGTACAGCCTCGCCGAAGTTCATTCTAGCAAAAGGACATTTTTGAAAATATTAATCTTATTCGCTTTGCAATGTGGTATTTCTCCGCTCGAATTCCATGTTCGTAAATATTACTGAATGGGTCAATTTTTCCATTCCGGAACTTCCGACTGAAATTCATCGTTAAAACCAACTTCCAGGTCATTGTAAAATTCTTGAATATGCTTGCTCTAGTCTATGGCACTAGTATCAACTTGTTGCAAGCTTGAAAATCGGAATAATTCTCATCTAGGTTAATTTCACTGATACACCACGAGCCTATTTTTGAACTCAGACAGTGCCGATTCCACTTTTATCAGATAGATTTCATCTCCATGAAGAGAAAAATTCATTTCAAAAAATTTATAGAATATGTTTGCCAAGTAAACGATGTCGTATTTTACTAATATAATATCGTTCTCGAGATTCGGATATTTAACAACATTATCAAAAAGGTAGTAAAATCAGTCAGTCGGTAGTTTATTTTTTCACAAAATCAAAAATACAGTTGGTTTGAACATTGAATTGGGGAAAACATAAAAATGGCATTCCAAAGTGAAGGTAGGCGCAAAAAACAATGCCGGTTATCGAGTAGTGACATCTTACTTTGGTGTGGAGTAGTAAGCGCTCAAATGCCTCATCATTCAGATCAATGCAAATGACCCAGAAGAATCCAGTGAATAATTCAACTTATTATTTTGTAATCTAGTCATATTCAATATACACACACGCACAAATGTACCAATATCTTGCGGTGTCTCATACATGTCGTGTCTCACAGACTCTCACTTGTTTTCTTTACTTATTGGGTGGTAAATGACTCAGATGACCGTAAAAGGTCGTATCGTTACCTCCCAGTCATACCGGAAAACTTATGTTCCACTTATTTTGTTAACAAATATATTTTATAATATGTGTTTTCTGGTTGACGAAATAATAAAATTTCTCGATCTCTCTCAAGTCAGACGTACGCTTACCATACGTCCTGGTTTAGTGGGACAGTCCCGAATTTGACGAGCTGTCTCGGCGTCCCGTCCGGTAGACTCAAATGTCCCGGTCATATAGTATGGCAGTCATGAATAATTTTTTATTTAATATGCATACAATTTTTTATGTTAATCGAGGCAGTTCATTTATCTCAGATTTTGCGACTCTCTTCAATAGTTAGGTCTATTACTAGGGACTAGTAACTAGGAGGACTACTGGGAGAGAACTACTATTGTTAGTTCCTAATTATTATATATAGTCTTCATTATGTTCAATACGTCAATTTAGCATCCAACGTTAGCTGTAACTGTAAGTTGATCATTCAAATCAATCAATTTTATTCGGTCACTCTGATACAAACAAAACACAAAACAACAAAGGGACAAACAAAATACAGAGGACCTGGAGGACGGGCATAACTTAATAAAAAAAAGTTAAATACGTACAAGTACGTGCCCGTCCCCCAAAAACAGAATAAAACAAAAACACGATGTAACATCGGGCAACAACTTATAAATTCAAATTAAAATGTGAGACGTGTATGTGCTTTTCCTATACAGATATATGGATTAAAACACTCGCTGAGGAAAAATAGGTGATGTTGTGGGCCTACTTCAATTATATTGCAAAAATAACACAGTGACAAAATTTTTTTTTACTAAAAAAACAAGCTTGGTAAATGGATTGGATGTTCCATAGCAGTCTATGCACAAATCATGCGGATTAGGGTATTGGGTTCTTTTGTCGTTTTCGGTTGGTTCACTTTAAAATCATTGTATCCGTTTCCAATGCTTCCAACATTAATATCGAATTTTCCACGCACGACCCACATTCAGCCATTCCAACAGGTGCAGTGATTCCCATCTTTTCTACGCTCTGTTCCATCATACACGACTAGATTCATAAAAAGATTCGAAACCTCGCAATATACCCGTAACAAATCGTCACCATTCCAACTTTAAATCCAATCTTTTATCCATAAACTTCTTTTAATTCTAGTGGATGGGCTTTTGCTCATGTTGATAATGCGCGATACAGATTACAGATACCGAAACATACAACGCGTAGCATCCACTAGTCTTTCAAGCTGAACACGTCCGCACCCGACGACGGTCGGAACGGAGTTCAAAATGCCCGAAAACGAAAGTGCACGTTCACATTACGGGCCGTTCATATAATTAGCGCATTAAAATGCATAAAAAACTCCAAAGCAGCTAGTGATCTTATACGGTATTAGCATACAGGGTAGTATGGCTTTACTTACATGTGATTGCGCACAAAAGAACATAATTACTACCAGTGTTCGTATACAGTATACATTATAATTATACAATATGTACCAATCTATAATATCATATTACCTAGGGTTACCATATTTTTTGTGACTTCTTAAAGCTGGGATTGGGACGCCTCAAAAAGACAACGACCCCCTAAGCTGTGATTTTTTGCAACTTTACATTTTCCGATTTTACTACATAGGCCTACATTCCTATATTTCAAAGCGTGTCTTTGGTTGACCATATTGTTTATCGAAAATTTCTTGCGGCATATCTTTCTGTCGAAATATCTGGGTTCAGTTCGGAAAATAGAAAGGGAATTGACGGTACGATACCGGTTTACAAATAATTCGAATTTGGACTAACTAATTATATATTGGTTTTACATTGCGATACGTCTGCTATCAATGAGAATCAGCGGAAAACATAGGCATTCACCTCCAGTAAGTAGGCTAGCGTTGCGCAACACAGAAACAACATTAACGAGAACATGTTCGTGTATTATTGCTGGATGGCTGAACGCAAAAAGCGGGACATTTTGGCTGACTTGTCTGGACGGCGGGACAACACGCCAAAAAGCGGGACTGTCCCGCCTAAAGGGGACGTATGGTAAGTCTAATTATTACCCCACAACAGCTGGTGGTTGATAACACGAGAAATATGCTGGCTGGAAATTCTCTCTTTCGGTGAACTATTTTGGATAGCTACTGCAATGCACTGGTCACAAACTAACCAAATTAACGCTTGGTGGAAACTATAAAAACTGCAGGGGAGCGTAGTTCTTAATAAATGTCCAATATGCGCCAATCTATGTTCATAATACCCCACTCCAAGCTCATCGTGTATTACATGAGAAATGTGATGGCTTAAAAATCTCTCTCCAGTCCCATTATGTTGGTGGGCTTGAATTCGAACACGATCTGGGACCACAATGGTGCATTCTATGGTAATTTAGCGACATACGCCGTTTAACTAGCAACGAGTCAGCATCACCATCTAACGAACTGTGGACTTCAAATTTGAAGATAAATAATAAAACCACTTTGGTGACATGCGTATCTAAAGAGTAATTATAGATATACTAGTTACATTATGTCTAATTTTATTTTGAAAATTAATTTTGTAACTTCCATTCTCGACAACAGTAGCGTATCTACAGGGGGCGGAAGGGGCAGCCGCCTTGGGTAGCACGTCTGTGGGGGACAGTCAGAACGAAAGTGTGGAGTTCGCGTTATTTACACATGTTTTTCTCGATGTATTTTCATTTAATAATAGCTGACATTATGTGTTTAAGTCTTGTGTGACTGACTGTGGTGATGGTGAGTCAACAATGGATGTTTTCTCTACCATCAAACAATCATTTCTATTCAAAATATTCAACCCTGTTATTGAAAAGTACCGGTAGAAAAGTTTAGCCGTGTCTATTTACAGCTGTTTTGGACTAATTTTTGATTACCGCTATTTAAACAAGATGAGAAAGACAGTATAATTCATTGGGTTCCATTATCTTTGCACCCACGTATATTGAACCCAGGACAATTTCATCTGTATTACTTTTGCACCATATGAACAATTGCATCCGCAGATTTTAGCACCTGTATACAGATCGCACCCATGGACATTTGCACCCACGTACGTTTGAACCCACGTACATTTGCACCCACAGACATTTGAAACCATGAACATTCGTACCTATGTACTTTTGCACCCACGGACATTTGCACCTGCAGAAATTTGCACCAGTGCACATTTGCACCCGCGTACGTTTGAATCCACGTACATTTGCACCCACAGGCATTTAAACCCACAGACTTTTGCACCCACTGACATTTTCACCTATGTACTTTTGCACCCACGAACATATAAACCTACAGACATTTGCACCCACGGACATTTGCACCTATGTACTTTTGCACCCACGGACATTTAAACCCACAGACATTTGCACCCACGGACATTTGCACCCGCGTACATTTGCACCAATGTACAATTGAACCCGCGTACATTTACAGTCTATGAACATTGCACTAATGTACAATTGAACCCGCGTACATTTACAGTCATGAACATTTGCACCAATGTACAATTGAACCCGCGTACACTTGCTCTTATGAACATTTGCACCCATGGATATTTGCATCTATGGACACTTGCACTCATGGAATTTTGGACCCGTAAACATTTACACCCATTGATATCAGTCTTTGAAGTAGAGAGGTTCTATTGCCATTTGTACCGAATTAGGGACACCCTAATGTTTCATTTTGTAATGAAAGCAAACTCAAAATGTCCATGAAAGCAAGTGTCTGTGAGTGTAAATGTACGTTGGTGCAAATATCCGCGGGTTCAAATGTCCGTAGGTAAAAATGCCCAGGGTGCAAATGTCCATAGGTGCAAATGTCCGCGGGGGTCAAATGTACATGGGTGCAAATGTCCATGGTTGCCAAAGTTCGTGGGTGCAAATGCCCGCGGTTGCACATGTACTGAGTGCAAATGTTCGTGGGTGCAAATGTGCATGGGTGCTAATGTCCGCGGGTGCAATCTATATGCGGATGATAACATCTATGGGTGGAAATGTAAGGGTGCAAATGTTCTTGCTTCATTGGTTGAGCTTGGCATGTTTTTCCAACTTTGTGCATTGCATATTGTTTATTATAAACAATCGGCTACTCAATTGCTAGTTGCGAACGATCTTTCTCAAAGTTGAAACAGATAAAAACGTCATAATTTGTGGTCTTCGATTTTAAATTAGTGCCTGTCAAGTTTATTTTTGATTAGCATCAAATACGGGTTTTGAGTAATCAAAAAAACGAAAGGGTATTTTTTTCAATTATGGAATGTTCACCGTGTTCAATAAAACAAAATAAGTGAAATGTCCAATTTCCGTCAAAAGCAAATAATTTACACTTTTGAATACCCTTTGGAAAAATGTTTTTTAATTAGGTTATAATTATAAATTACATATCTCCCATTGATCCCATTCGAAAAAATATTCGATTCGATTCTGAAATCATCAGGTAATTCCGAGAAGTGTTTTTCGTGAAATATGCCATCCAAAAAACGAACTTGGTCTGTTGACTATGTACATTGTACACTGAACAGCATGGCTTTACTTTCTCAACTAAACGCGACTCCAATGCGAAATGATATGAGGGTTGTTCAGTCTGAAACGAAGCCACGTATCTCTTCGTCATCGAATAAGCAGCAGAAGTGTCACTAATAAATCTAATGAATGAATAAATTTACTATTTGTTGCAATATATTAAGCTACAACTAATGGCGCAACCGGGGGTTCTTTTGGTAGTTGATACTCTCTTGACAATGCAAGTCCTTCAAATTTAAGCCGAAAAAATAACCTATGCTCAACAGTAAGGCTGCGAATTCATATTCTATCAATTGAAGACGGGCAAATTTTCTATAAATTTGTACAAAATCAGCTTACCCTTAATAAGTTCAGGTTGCGCTCTTGGTTCAAAAATTTGGACTTGCGGAATAACACAGGGGCTCGGCAGGCCCACAAAGGTTACGAAACACTGCTCTACCCAATGGTATATTCTATTTTTTCCCTCCAACCCCAGAAAATTTAAAGTAATTCGATTGTATAGTGAAAAAAAATCAATTTTTGCAAAATTTATTACAAGATTGTGTGTAAATGACATTCGGTACAATTTTTAAACATTTGGCTGGAATTTTGCTGGCGTTGCGGTGGCGCACCTGCACCTGGTACTTCCTTCAATCTTTCCAGTATTGTTGTCTAGTAGCAGTATCGATGGTGGCAGAGTTAGGGAAGTTGATTTAATTTGAAATACGAAATTTATAATCGAAAAAATTGTCTATGGAATAAAATTTAACAAAAAAAGAGTTGGGGGTGGCCCTATAAATGTTGAAATAAAATTCGAAATTATTGCTACTGTCTGCTGGTCTGGCAGTGCCAGTACCCGTACCGCAACGCTGTACCGCATCTTTCTGTCTGTTTGATATGTTATGTTCTAAAGCATGTTTTCATTATGGTTGCAGTGCCTTCATTCAGTCTGCGTCTTGAGTCTGGACATAAACTATTGAGTTGCTATGTTTTGGGATTCACAGAGAACTGGGCTCCCTGGAAAGCAACCTCAACGGGGCATTCTTAGATCAGCACTCAAGGTGAGCTAGATTTGTTGATATAATCTATTTTGCTATTAGTTGCTGTATAAGTTTGGTTTCATTCAACTAGTCTATTGCTGCATTAAACTGTTAAAGACTGAACATACCGGTATTATCCTTTCTAACACAAATAAAGAAAATAAGAGTTCGTTAATTCTGTAATTCTTAATAATCCAATATTTATTTTTAGAAAACATCAAGACCTCAACCTAGTTACCATATTCGAAAACCATATATTCAAAAAGAAGAAGAAGATGACAATGAAGAATTGTTAGTCTTTGGATACGCTTGCAAAATATTCCCACCTGACGATCATGCTAAAAATATTGCTCGGCTGAATCATCTCATCCCTTGGAACGGAGATGAAAACTTACAGCTGATGATTGACAGGTGACTGCAGACTATTCCAGTTTTTTATGCTGGTTGATGCTGACATGCCATCATATTGACAAGCTTATTGTGTAGTCTATTAGCCTTAGGGGAAAAAATAAAAATTCAAATAAGAATTCACTTCAAATAAACTACTTATGTTTTTTTAATCGAAGAATCTGTAGAATAAAAATTCACTGAAAAAAATTTGGATTGATGATTACAAATTGTTTGGATGTTTCCTGAACTGCAAATTTTTTTTGAGGTGTTAGATTTATTTGGTTTCTACTGCTGACAAATCTAGGGTATTATATGAAACTAAACTGGTTTGGAAGCAACTAAATTTTGATTTCAGTGAGCACATTTAAGCATGTATTGTAATGAATTCTACAATCAGAATAAGTTATCGATTAGTTAAATTTAATAAAACTATACAAGGAAGCAGCATATGTACCGGTGAGTGAAATCTCAAGATCAAATAAGAAGAATTTTTGAAGCTACTATCGAGAAATTAGTAGTAATTAATGTTCTTACTAATGCATTTGTATTGTGTCATTTACTTAACTTTTCCAAGTTTCTGTTTTTATCTCAGAGTCAGAATATCGAATGAGACAACGAATAAAAGATATAAATTTGTCATCGAGTGAAGTACAGGAAATTTATGAACGAATAGGTGTCTGCAGGCGTCTTATGTGTTTCACTTTAAAATTTTTTCTAATTCACCAAAAAATTGTAAATTGCCGGACTCAATCTTAATACATTGAAGAATAATTCGGCCAAATAGTAATACACTAATCATCCATTAGAAAATATAAAACAAAGCATTTAATTTCGATGTGAAGGTAGGTACGTTAACGGCAGATTGCTGGAAACCTGATTTCATTATCTATTGAAGCAATGTCATTATTTATTGTAAAAATACGTTTTGCTAATGTTTTATTTTCATAATATTGCCAAACTCTGTTCTTGTATTAATTTTTTTTTATTTTTTTGTTTTATGTTGATGTGAAAAAGATATGACGGAAGAGCATCATTGCATGATCTTTCAGAATTTGATGTAGATTCTTGGAATATTCATTATGAAGTATGTAATCTTCTGTTGTTTCCAAACTATTTTTTAGGAGTGCTTATATATGATAACAAATTACTATAGAGTCTAGATTGAATTTCATTTTTAATTGTCTTATTTAATTTATCCCAAGTTTCAGATCTATGATAATTAGCTGGTTCAATTAGATACATTATTATTTCGAAACTTTTCATGTAGCTTTGGTGTTGCTTGCTACTGTTCTTTTGTTTAGTTCTTCTTTCAACTTGAGATAAGTGATTGTTGGCATCAAACTTACATACTATATATATTAACTATGCTTCAGTATGAATATATATCAAGTATCTCATGACAAGTAACTATATTATGTACTATGTATCATTGACCTCACTTTAACTACTACATCTACACAATGTGTAAATCCTTGTTTTGTTTTTCCTATATACCTAGTTAGATGATTTTTTTTTACAATGTACTTTCATGTACTCTATATTCTAGTCACCATGCTAAATCGGAATTAGTGGTATTAGTGTAATACATTTTTTTGGAGTATGTTTGCAGTCTGTAGCTTGCTTGGCACTGGTATTTGTATTCTATTGTTCTAACCCAGTTAAACCATACTTGATATTGGTGATGGTGTAAATATGGTTGTTTATTTTGTTTGTATCATGTTCAGAAATCTGAGGAGGATGCAAGGATTGAACAACTGTGTGATCAAGAGAGATACATGGCATTATATACTGATATTGCAGAAGAGAAGATCAGACATGGTAAAATGCTCGATTAAATGTTTTTATGATGAAATCCATTTTAGCAGTTTGTTTAATCTCACTCTATCACAAATTTTTGATAAAACAAATCTTGTTCGAGCTTATAAAGCCATTTGACTTGATGTTTCAAATTTACGCCATCTAGATCTAAATTTTTTTATTCAAATTTATTTTGTATGCGCAAGGTTTTGCACAACCAGCCACTGCTAGAGAATCTTTCTCGTTTTGAACCCATGATTTTAACCATCATAGTTAAGTTATCTTTATATGATGTATATATAGGGTGTCCATAAAGTCTTCAAATTTTTAAAATTGTAAAGGGAAATTATCGATACCATATACGCTATAGTTTTGTCTCTCATAGATGTATTAAATGAAATAAAAATACTTAAACAATTACTGATTAAAAACAACAAACATGGATAAGATATATTGAGAACTGACTTAATAACAAAATTGAAACTGTAAAGGGACTTTATGGACATCCGGTATATTTTGAGAGATGCTAACAGTAACTATTTTTGCTAATGTAATCCCGGAGATTTAATTCTCATATTTCTGCTTTTCTTGAATGTAGCAAATTTTTTATTGAACCTTATGTATTTTTCAGACATAGTGTTTTTTAAATTAAAATATTATTTTACAGAGGAAGAATTGAAGAGACTCCATGCATCCATTGCAGGAGAAGAGACTTCAAGTTTTAAGGAAGTTGGATTTAACTATGATTCACAACAAGCACCCATTGCTCCCAAAGCAGAAAATCCTGCAGTTCAAGAAAAAGCAGAAGTGGAAGACGAACATGAAGAAAAACCATTTATGGCACCTTCAGCTCTTGCTGTTCCATCAGACATGGAAATTGTACGTTTTAAACTTTTAATATTATAGTAAACTTCATTTGATATGAATCGAATTTTAGCGAGCTATAGTTTGTGAGACATAATTCTATGTTGCGTTTTGAAGGCTTCAGCCCAAAAGAATGAGACTTGAAAAATAAAATGATCTGAGAAAATCAGGAAAACATCAATTTAATTTAACTCCTAACACTTCATTGGGCGCCCCAGAAGTATGTGTGCCAATATGGATGGAGGCAACTAATTTTGTTCGCCTACTTTACATCAAGTTGTGTAAAGGGACTGAAACCTATGGGCAGGGGTATATTCATTTGGCTAACACAGACAGTCCCCGAACTCGTAATGGAACTAGAATAAGCTAAAACGGAATAAAATTATGGTCTAATCCTGCCCTGGTACACATACTACCGGAGTACCCTTTATTAAAAAATTCCCGTAAATATCGCTTCAAACTTTGATTAGAAAACCAGTTTAAAAAGCATTTATATCGTTATGAATTTTTTAAACGAAACTTTTCGGAATTTTAGAATTCGCCCAATTGTTTTGAAACGATCAATAAAATAAAATTCACTACTTAATTAACTGACTGAAATCACACTGATGAAATAAAATATGAACAATATTATAATTACATGCTAACAAATTTCTGTCAGTAGTAAATTAATATTTATTGGCTGATTTGTGATGCTCTCTAGTCTCTACCAAACGGGTATCATATAAAATAGTGTGAGACTAATAACTTGTCATATTTTTGTTTCAGCCCCCCACTGTAAAAATGCATGCAATCATCGAAAAAACGGCGAACTTTGTCAGCAATCAAGGTGCACAAATGGAAATAGTACTGAAGGCGAAACAAGCAAATAATTCTCAGTTTCTGTTTTTGAATTATGATCATTATTTGAATCCATACTATAAAAATATGGTAAGTGGATTTTAAGTATGATGAATGTGGAAGGGTGATAGCTGATAGATAGATGGATTTATTGATTTGTCAACCAAAATTAAATGAATGAAGCATACAAGCAATAAATACTGGGTTCATGGCGAAGAATAGTATAAGACCATTTGTTCGTATTGGATATATAGCATAGATTGATAACAACATTTTATCAAAGGAATAATTGGTTCAGTCAGTATAATAGGACGGTGGTTTTCAAACTTTTTGATGTAGCGGAACTCTAACATTTCAGACGCCCGAGGAACCCTCGAGCAATTTGATATTTTTATATTTGATTATATCATTATATTTGTTATCAAAAAGGTCTTTGGAAGAACATTAGTGAAACACATTCATTATATTATACCTCTGTCTGTATCTGATTATTTAAACAATGTGCATATAAAAAATAAACACTTTTGAATTTGAACTAGCAGAACCCCTGGACTGTAAGGATGGAATCTTAGGGTTACACTGAAGACTTTTTGAAAACCACTGTGATGGGGTCTAGAAAATGAATAAAATTATTTGAAGAATACCAAGCTTAACAAATGTTGTAAAAGTACCACCTACATACTATGTTCTGTTAATAAATAATAACAACTTGTGTGAAATTTCAATGGTATTTGGGAGCCATGTTCAATACTCTGATACGGATTGTCAAAAATCGAATAGGCCTATTCTACTCTACTGAATACATTCTGAATTATTACTTATAATAGAAAATATTTTTAAGATATTGGTTGAGAGTTGGGTCACTTCTAATCTTGGGTTGTTTGGGTATTTTGGTTTTAAATTAAAGATATTTAGTATAACAGTATTTCTGGTACAAAGTACTGTTTTTTTCAGGTGAAAAGAATAAAAGAAGGTAAATATCGACCGGGTATGAAAGATGAACATGATAAAAAAGAGATTGAAGAAGAGGTGGGTTCTCTTTATATGAATTCCGAGCTGTTTTGAATTTTTTATATCTATGGTGAAATAAGAGCAAGGCTTCGCATTATCAGCCTCAGAAGCTATTTTAATGTGAAAGAACCGGAATCCTGGTTCGGCATCATTTATCTAATTTATTTTACTCTGGTTGAGGTGGTGGTCATGGGATTTGAACCCAAGATTTTAACCATCATAGTTGGTCTAACGCTTCAACCATTAGGCCACCCACCGCACCCACTTTTAAAGCTGAATTCCCGGATACCAAAACTTGATCTGAAACATTTATATTGCATATTGACTATCTATTTGTCGAATTATTGCTTAACAGTGTGTTGTATTTTGTGGGGAGAGAATTTCAAAAAACAAACAAACATTTCCATTTCTAAATAAAGTAATAATCGACTTCTGCCTTATTTTAGACACAAATATCATGAACTAGGCATTTTCAACGATTCTTTGACAAGTAACACAAGTATATGGAGATTGTCTTAACGAAAAGAGATTTTATTCTTAATTTATATTATCGGTATTTAGGAATATTTAAATTGATTTATTCAAATTATACAATTACTCTTCAAGTTCAATAAATATTCGGAAATGCCACTCTAAAGTACTACCAAAAATCATACCATGTACGGAATTTTTTTAAGGAATCTGAATCAGATAGCGATAATGAAGGGGGATATCTCCATCCAAGTTTATTTGCAAGTTCAAGTGCGGCGAATAAAAAAAGGGAAGAAGAAAATAAAGAGAAATTTAAGGTTGGTTTCAAGTTATGGCTCAATTTTGTCTCATACTTGTATGAAATAGGACAATAATAATTTTTTTAGCATAGATTCTGGGGCGCTGCAGAAGTGTGTGTACCAATATGAAAGTAACTGATTCGCCTACTTTACATCAAGTTGTGTATAGGGACTGAAACCTATGGGCAGGAGGTATATTCACTCGGCTGACGCAGACAGTCCCCGAACTTGTAATAGAAATTAAATAGGGGAAATCAGAATAATATTATGGCCTATCCCCAACCTGGTGCACACACTATCGGAGTACCGATTGTTGTGCAACTGGAACGGTGTGTTAATGACAATTAGATTCTAATCCATTAGAAGGACCAAATTCAGTTAATGAGCTATGGCAGGGGTGGGCGCACCACGGCTTGCGAGACTCTTTTTGTGGCTCTTCTCGCTAACATAAATTATTATCAAAATTTTAACTACTAACTTAATGTGAAATTTTTTAATTTAATAAAAGTTGTAAAAAAGTTTTCGTCAATGATTAGGACAAATTATGTTTTAGTATGAAAATCGCTGTAGCGTTGAATTTGGGTCAGTCAAGTCAGCAAATCTTTCGTCACAATGGTCAATGTTTATTGATGCGTTGGCTTTGGCGGTATTGCAGCTTGATTGCGGTTAGTTAGTCTAAGTTACTGTGCGATATGTCATCAATTGAGAAACGAAAGTACGAAGATAAAAACAAGGTTGTCAAGTCAGAATGGGAAGAAGAATACACATTTACCAGTCAGGAGAATAAACCTTTGTGCTTAAGCTGTCATAAGCTACTAAGTCAGAATGATGTCAGCAATTATAAACAGCACCGTGAAACGAATCATGAAAACTGCTTACGAGACTACCCTCGTAAATCACTTATAAGGAAACACAAACTAAATGAGCTCAAATTGTGCATATATTTGAGCACAAGAAAGTTTTGCAGACCTGAAGATAGTTTTGGACCAATTATTGAATATTTTGAGAACAAATTTTAGGAATTTTATCGAAATTATGTAGCACTGAGTCTTAGCCCTTATCACATTGCAACAGCTGATATCTGATCTGAAACAAGTTTTGAATTTTAAGCACTTGGTTTCGTGAACAAAAGTGAATTTACCATTTAATATAATTCTGATTTTAACCTACACTGTTTCAATTTAAATTACTTTTTTGTGCTTCTGTTAAGGCAATACAAAAAGTTGATCCAAATCATCCATTGGCAAAGTTAATTGAGAAAGGAAGAAAAGCAAATGCATTGAAACAATATACTATGATGAAGAATGCTGTTCAAAACTATAACCCAGGTATATTAGTAATGATGATATAACTATGGTAATGGTTATCGGGTATGCCAAAAACTGAAATATTAACTATTCTATTCTGAATTGGGTTCAGCAGAAAATTTTACACAAACATTTCAAATTCAAAAAAAATTAAATTCGTAATGCAGAATGTATGATATAAACAATGTTCTGATTAGTAATTATTATTCTCATTTTACAGTCTATGATAGAGTTGAATTTTTATGAGTTTCTCAAAATGACCACGTTAATTTAAAAGTGCCAATATTTCGATATTGTTCCTAAAATCAAGGATTAACTTCATTAAATATAACCACTTTTGAATTATTCGATACGTTTTGTCCATATTCATTTTATATCCATATTTGTTTTTGCTATATAATTCCAAACCTTACTATATTTTTATTAAAAAATATCATCGTTCATATCCCAGGTGCTGAAGATGCTTTGGAACCTCCACCCTTGCCTCAGTTTTTGGAAAATGAAGACAGTCGTTCTTCAAGTACTACGAGTAGTCCTGTGCCAACTCAAGAACATGACGCAATACACCACAGTATGACACCGCAGGAAGCAGCAATGGTTATTGTTCCACCACCTCCAGATATACAACCTATGGTTGACAGTATAGCTAAGTATGTATCAAAGAATGCTGCCTTTTATTGGTTGTGTGTATCTTCACCATGTTCTTCATGCTATGCTATTTTATTCAGCAGAATCTGTCTAGTATTATATAAATGTGTTCTGTACCCCAGCCCTTCAAATTGAGCTCATGCCTACATTTTATCATGGAAGTACAAAAGTTATCTTTGTTGAATCCATGGACCATGATGTAATTGTGTTTAAATGTAATATTGTATTAAATATATATTAGAACCAGGGATGGCCAATTCGAATAAAGTATTCGAATGTATTCGAATATCTCGTCATTCGAATATCGGAATTCACGTTCATAAGAATATCGGATATTTGTGTGACGTCACACATTTTCGACGCCGCTTTCAAGACGTTTCCGTTGAATGAAAACATTCTCGATAGAAACTTGCGCGTGATTGTTTTCATCACTCATCAGCGTAACGTGTTATTTTGGCCCGTAAACGCTTTGCTTTTACGATTGTGTTATTTACTCTAAAACGAAAATTTTCCACAAATTTGTTCCACGATAACGATAACATTTATTTTATATTTGTACGCGCACGAATCGCAAAAACGCAAAAACGAAAATTTTCCACAAATTTGTTCCACGATAACGATAACATTTATTTTATTTTTGTACGCGCACGAATTGTGAATCTGGTAAATACGTTCATCGGCGGCGAGTTTCTAAAGACAACGCAACTTTTTGATTGAAAAGCGGCAATTTAGAATACTGAAAATAAAACCGTAAACAATATAAGTTTTATTGAGGCCCGCGAAAATTTAAAAAACTCTTTTCTAGGCAGTGAAAATCGCAAAATTTCGTGTGCCTCTGGCACACATGTTTGGTCGGCGTTTAGAAACATATCGTCACTAATTGAGGGCGGGATTTGCCTGATTATCCATTACTTTAAATTGCCGTCGAATATTTTCATGTTAACACGATACAAGGTTTGAAACGCGACTTTTTCCCGGGTTGTGAGGATGTATATAATATAATTAATCTAAAGTATATTCAATCAATTTTATTGTGATGAAATAAATTTTACTCTGAGATATTACAGCATATTTATGGATTTCTCGAACAGTTTTATCTAAAAATAATCAGAGTGGCAGCATTTCGATCGAGCGGAGTCACTGTTAACAAGTACATCTAAATATTTGACGAATTCGCAAAATACGGATCAAAACAATATTTAATCGGACAGTTTACCTCACGTTTTTATTTTTATGACCGCGGATTGCAATGGTATATAAGAGTGGTGAGGATTTTATTTTGTTGACGCAACCGCAGGTTAAATTGAAGACAATTAAATTAATAAAGCAAGACATTTTAAATATGCCCGTGTCGGTCACGAATTCATCACTTTGCACAACAGAAAAATATATATTCGTTGTTATATTATTTGTTGTTAAAAGTCGAGGTGGCATAATCGCGGCGATGAATATGTATTTTTAATTTACTGCTAAACTTTATATGTATATTCATTGTGTGAAATGAATTATACTCTACACTTAACAGGATTTTATATAATTATTTGAGATTTTTCTAACGGCGATAACGAGTTGGCAAGATTGCAAAAATACGTATTAAAATTAAATACATCAGGCAGTTTATCTCGTAATTTTAGGTCACAGATCGCCGTGGACCAAATAGTAATGTTTTTTTTTGGCGTAAGAAGAAGTAACCGTGAGTTACGTTGGACATATTAAATTAATATATAAAGATATTTTAGAATCTCGTAGTTGTCGTGGATGGAATATTTTACGTAACAGAATGATCATTATACGCTGAAAAGACGGCGGTGGGTGTTACAGGCGGCAATGGGAATTTCCGATTTCGAAAATCCTGGCTGCGCGCTGGCAGTGGTGGTCAGCTATTCTCTACTAATTTATTTCTAATTCCAAACACAACATTATGTTACACATAATAACAATATACTGGTAGGTAGTAGAATACCTCAGGCCTAAATATTAGAATTTTTAGAGGCATAATGGATTTTCGATTGTTGTTGCCTGTATTGCCAATAAATTTTATTACTCTCAGAAAATATACACAATTATCTGAATACAAGTAGTATTTTTGACAATAGACTTGACTATTATCGTAATATCATGGTACCAATGATAGAAAGCGTCAGACAACTCCTTTGCTATTATTTCATATGGTCATTTGTACAAAGTGAATAATGTTAATAAACTGACTGTGTCACAAGCAGGGATGGCCAATACCGAATAGTTCACTATTTCGAATACATTCGAAATTATTATTTTCGAATATGAAATTTCGAATACTTCGAAAATAAAATCCAGTAATAGAATCTAAGTGTATGAAGGAATTTTCATACAATAAACAATGGAATAACTTCTATCTACAACCTGGCTATATTACCAGGCATTTCATGTTTGCAGATTATTGCGATATATATTTTATATAACATGAGTTGTGGTAATTAACAGAATTAAAATAATACGACAAGGCATTTTAAATAGTGGTATCGGTGATGGATTTGAATGCTTGCGCAACACAAAATCATCCTAGTAAAACACCCATACTTTTAAATACCAACCATTATCCAAATTATTTGTCAAAAAGCGGGATAAAGTATGAGTTCTTTTTCAGACTCGTGACAATTTTTTCGTGAGTACAAAAATACGAATCAAAAAGTAATTATATTCGGGAACTTTACCACACATTTTAAGTCCGCAGATCGCCGTTGTATGTTTGTGTAATAATACTTTTATTATTTCATAAATACGAAAATAGGGTTCAAAAACTATTTATAATCGGGTAGTTTACCACACATTCAATGTCCACAGATCACCGTTGTTTTTTGTAAATACGAAAATAGGAATCAAAAATTAATATCAATCGCGAGTTTGCCTCACAATTTATGTCCACAGAATGCCGTGATATTGTGCCCGAATATAATTAATTTTTGATTCTTATTTTCGTACTCACGAAAAAATTGTCGGAAGTCGGAACAAGTCGGAAAAATAATTTATACTTTATTACACATTCAAGTCCACAAATCGCCGTTGTATTTTTGAGGTATAATAGTTTTAATATTTTGTAAATACGAATCCGAAATTAATTATAATTGGACAGTTTACCACACATTTCATGCCCACAAATACCCGTGGTATTTGGTATTAATACTTTCATTATCGATACTTCTGACCATCATTATCAAAATTATTTGCCAGAAAGCGGGTGAAAGTATTTTTCTAATAAATCAACTTGTTTCCCAACTTGTGACAATTTATTGGATATCGTAACAATTACGGCTATGAATACCCTATTTCCCGGCTAATAAGTCTACATGGCAAATAGGACGATGTATATTTTTAGCACTCAAAAAAGGGGGTTTTCCATATAGGCCTCCAAGAAGACGGGTAGAAAAATTGTTCCCTGTTGTTCAGTAATGCTAATATGCGCTAATAATAATGTTTAGAACCAGATCACGTTTGTTTAGTAGAATCATACTCACAGAATTAAATATTTTTAACAATAAAGCGGTAATTTTAAGTTAAAAATCACAATCATTTTGAACAATCTATAATTTTATTGGGTCAGAACAGAACCAGATCGTGTTTGTTTGGTAGAACCATACTCACGGAATTATCCATTCTCAACAATGAAGCGGTAAATTTAAATTATAAAGCGGCAATCATTTTGGACAACCTATCAACCCGAATGTTGAAATAATTTTGGAATGTGATAAGTACCACGCGGTACGTCCACGGGTTATTTCACAGCTGTGTTTCATATCCCTGTCGTTTTCTGCTGAATCGGCAAAACGAAAGGGTCGTAAATCACTTACTTTATCTCGGTGGCCGTGTTTTCTCTTTGTAACGATAACCGGCCTACCATTAAATATCATGATTGGCAGACCCATAAGAACCAAATATAAGGTTAACACAAATTATGCTTGACAAGACTAATGCGAAAAATAAGCAGGCCACATAGAAATAAAATAAACATACTTTCTCAATAAGGCGCCCCTCCCCTCAAAAAATCAAGCCAAAATTGGGTCTAGAAAAGCGACTTATTAGCCGGGAAATACGGTGATTGTCGATTTTTCGACTAATGGAAATGATTTTGTGAATTAAAAGACGAATGTCGGCAATGTCCACCAACGCAAACGTGCAAATGTGTCGCAACACTATGCGACGTACATTCGCGCTGAATATAAACAATCAAAATGCCGATTCTATTTCATCGTCATTGGAATACGTGAGAAAGCGTAAAAAGTCGTTTGAAGATTCCGGTAAAACGAAACACCGTGTTTACGGTGAAAAGTGACTACTATTCGTAATTATTCGGAAATGAGCCGAAAAGGTATTCGAATACTTTGATATTCGAATAATTTCGAATATTCGATTCGTTTTGGACAACCCTGGTCACAAGTTGCTATTATTTTTTATTGATAGCTATAAACTATCAATTACTTTGTGTACATATACTGTTGGTTTGTGGCTTCATTCTGATATTTCTATTGAAGCTTATTTCCTAATTTACTGGGTTTTAATCAACTAAAACAAAAATGTGTTATTTTCGATTTTAGAATGTATTCGGAATTCCAGATTCGAAAACATTATTTTAGAATGTATTCGGAATAGTTTAGTATTCGGAAATGGCCATCCCTGAAATTTAGAACATATTTACACATTAGCAATATTGAATATATGATTCCTAATTTTGCATAAACGAAAATGAATGCTGTCATCAATCATGGTTATGGTGGATTGGTGGTATTCTCTCGCTCTTTGGGTGAATATGAAAATCCCACTCATCTTATTGTTTTAATATTTTATTATCAAAATTGTACCGTATTAGCATCTAATCATGGCAAGGACAATTTCAAATTATGACAACGAAAAGTTTTTTTTGCACATAAATGATCTTAACACAATTTTTTTGGCTAATATTGGGGCACAAATTAGGAATCACCGACTGACCTAATGAATTGTTTTCATTGTTTATAGCTGTTGTTTTTTTAAAATATTTTCATGACTTCAGTATAGTTAAAAAAATATAGCAGGATGTATCGGCGATGTGGCGCATCGTGCTACGCAAATCCTGTCTTATCCTTTGATAGATATACTATGTTACGAATTTTGTTAATTTACCCTCGCATTGCAGACAAATTGCAGAGGAAGGGGATGCTGTGGAATTGAGACTGAAATCACAGAACGATCCAATGTTAGCATTTCTACTTCCATCTCACGAACTTCATCCTTACTACACATTTCGTAAAACTTACATCAGAGAACAAATCAAAGCTCAACAGAGATTATTACTTCAACAACAGCAAACTGCTGCTGAGGTCAGTATGATATTGTGATTGGATTAGGATTTACATATTTATCTTGCGGAGAGGAAAGCCTACATGGTGACTTAATCCGGTTACCAGTCCATGTCGGGTATGGGATTAGTTGACCAGTTATTTGTCATGGATTATTGAGCATGACATGAACCTACGAAACATTCCCACTGGTACCGTTGTGAATTGCCAATATATTAGGACCCAAAATATTGATTCAAAAGATCAGATTTCTGTACAGATCACACAGGATACTGCTGTACTGCAGTTGTTACTTCACCTCAATATCTTTATATTTTACCATTTCTCTCTTGTGATTTGATAAATAGCATCGGGTCTTTTGAATGATTCACCACTAGCTCCTAATATTTGCAGGAGTTTCACGAATAATCTATTCTTCACCAATTTCCACCACAAAGCCTCATTCATTTCATCATTGATATGATAATTATGCAATATATACTTCGAATAATTTACAATTCAGCTCATTCCAATCTTTTCACTACCCTATTTGACAGTTTGATGATAAATTTTTTTAATAAGTGAAACTAATTCAGGCATTTAGTTTGATTTTACCTTGTTAAATTTATGGATATGCACTCTGGAACTGTGGTTTTATTTTTTGTATCATTTTCATATAGTGTTATAATTTGAACAGTCAGAATGGTTGCCTTCTTTCTTTCTTCGCATAGGCTTTCTAAGTTATTAAATACTGGCCTACTGAATAGTTGTTTTGTTCAAAAAAATTTAAACTATGTAGACCAGTGGTTTTTAAATGATGGAGCGCAAACAATTTTTTGAGGGGGCGTGAAGTTCATTAAAAATATAAATATTAATCAGATTTGATCTTGCCTGCTTTATTTTGGATATTTACCTATTTCAAAACGTTTTATTACTTATCGATCTTAAGATCGGTAAGTATGTTGATAGGTATTTGTCTGTCTGTATGTCTGTGTGTTAGATGCACGCGATATCTCACGGAAGCGAGGTTGAATCTGCACCAAATTTTGCATGTGCATTCATCATAGCTCGGATCAGAAGCCTATTGATTTTGGATGGATTATGTGTTTTAATTAGCGAGTTATTAATTAATTAGTAATGGGACACACGGTGTCACTATGGAGTAAGACCACTGTTTTGGGGGATCCCCTAACCTTCGATCGATAAGTCTTCGGTTTCTAACCGATATTCTAGTTTATTACATTATTTAGTTATGTTCCGTTCCATCTACATTTTTTTAACATGTTTTTCAAATAAAACATACTATTGCCTTACTATCTGTTATTTGAGATCCACTGATATAGACCCAACGATAGAATGAAACATAAAATGTACTAATTTTGACAGGAGCCAAGCCAATTTATTACGCCAATAAGTATATATTATTGAATGATTTGCTTCATGTCTAGTTTGAATTTTAGAAAACCGTTGATGAATCAGCACAGGTGAAGTCTGCACCAATCAGTTTCTCAATTAAAGTCAAGAAAGAAAATTCATCAAAACCAACGATGATTCAGAACAGATTACAAGCACTAGGTGGAGATGATGAAGATGAATTGGAAGAAGGGGATGACAAAGGAAATAATGAAGAAAATAGGGAAGCTGGAAAAGAAAATGAAAATAAAGAAAACGAAAATGGTATGATACAGAGTGTTAATGCTGAAATTGAATTGTTCAAAATTCTTACAGTTTATCCTCGCATATAAAACTAAAAAAAATTTGCCAAAGTAATGGTTGGCTTATACGCGCATAACTCTGATCGCGCTTAAGCTAAATGATGCTAACTTGATTCCAACAGCTACAGGCCTACAGCCTACAATTCGAACCATGCACGATAAGAGCGTGCTGTCACACACATGAAGCAGCGCCTGGTACGCTATGATTGGTTGTCATACACATGATTGCTTGTGTGTTTACGCTATGACAGCAATAACAGTCCATGATTGGTGTAGGTCAGTACAGGATTTTGAGACACTTTGAGTACTTAATGTTATTAATAAAAGTAAAACAACAATAATGGTTATCATTTTCATTAATTTCTTTTCTGCAACCAATTGCTGTGGTAGGTGCGTACGGCATGTAACGATTTGTAGGGTCGGCTTAGATGCGAATTTATATAAATTCATCATTTTATGGGGTCGACTTATATGCGAGGATATTCGGTATGCTGTTGCTTGCTATTATTCTACATTATACAGCGTTTTAACAAATTACGGTAGGTAGATTTTTTTTTTTGTACATATTGCTCCGAATAGGTCTCTGCACAAGCAGCTTGGGTGAGAAGAGACTTTTACATGGCCTTAACGCTTTAACCCCATAGGCCACCACTCATTGGATAAATTCTGAGTGGATTTTGCCGACGATTGAACATATAGGATTTTTAATCTATGGCATGTACAGCAAAGCCAGCCAGAATCTTTAATCATATTGTCGTATCTTGTTACCAAGTCTAGGCTAAGTATGGAAATAGCTGTCCAGATTGTAGTACTTATTTTGCTGAGGGCTTGACTTTGATGGAATCCATAGCCCACAACTGGTATGCCACCATGCAACAGCAAGGAATTCTATTCATTAACGTACAATCACAAATTCACTTTTTGGTTTCAGTGTAGCTATTTACATTTCTCGGTTAATTTTTGAGGCATTTTATATTGATGACTGCAATTTGTTATTGTTGCTTCTACAGAAAACAGTACAACGAATGAAGAAACCACATTGGCAATATTGACGGCAAAAAGAAAGTTTGTTGAAGAACCTGATGATTCTGTAGTTGATGTAGCACCCGGTAATCTTCCTTTTGTTTTTTCTGCTTTGAGTCAAATGTTGCTATTGTTATAAACCGTCACAAGGCTTGAGCCATGAGCCATTAGGACGATTTTTGTCTGTTAGCTTTGGAAATAAAAATCGATTGCCCATGTGATCTATGTTATGAGCAGCGAAATCGGTTAGACTTCCTCCACCATCAAGTCCATGCATCTGAAAAAGCAAAGCACTGGCTAACTAATTCGTGGTTGACCATATGATTAAGCCGTGTTATCGGTTTTCCCTCTCCCCCGGGATAAATATGTAAATCCCATACTCACTTCTCCCATTGTACTACAATGTCATACTGTTCAATATTTTTCTTTATTTTTATACATTTTTTAAACAGTGTTTGAATGTGATATAGAAAAAATTTCATAAAGAGCTCACAGGAGTTTGTTTAAAAATATCAAAAAAGTATTGGTCATACGACAGAAAGGTTTTTATTCCCGTCACCATTGACTGTAATTTTTTATTACTTTCACTCTTCCAATGGTTATAGAAGCCTGTAAAACTTGGATACTTTTACCTAGGGTTAGCATTGTGTCAAGTATGTACATAACATTACATAAACATGACACATGAATATAGTCCTCAAGCTTGGAATGCAGTTTGGAAATAAAGTCCATGCATTTTTGCCATTTTTCTTAACGAAGGTTGATGTGGTTTGGTATAAATAGTTGGTTCATAAGTTCCTGGTCCTGGTACTTTTGTACATGATGTTCCAAATCTTGTTGTTTGAGAACAGAAACTTGATGAAATCTTGTACCTGTGCATAAAACATTGGAGATTTATTAGGTCTAATTTATATTAATTTCCATGTTAGTCGGGTCTGTGCATTCTGGAAAAAACTCATTTAAAAAGGGATTTCAGACTAAAGGTTGACAAAAATTTCTACCTATGGCTGCAGTGTTGGAAGGAATTTTGACTTCATCCTAGTCTCGAACCACCAGAAAACAAAATTTTGTAAACCAATACTTTGGCATATGAAAGTCTTCTTTAATTGTCAGAATGTTTGCGAGGGTTCGCAAAATCACTCTCCACCGTAGGGTGACTCACCCAACCGCTGGTCAGTTATGACTTCCCCCACCATCAAGTCAATGCTAATCTGGACATGTAACGGGACGCCATATGATTGAGCCGTCCCATCGGCTTTCTGCTCTCCCTGGGATAAATGTGTTAAACCTAGTTTAATTTTGAGATTTCATTTCCCACCATCCCCTTAAAAATTCTGAAACCATAATTCCCAAATTTTGAAATTCAAAATTTTGGCTTGGTTATCAATAAAGCATGGCAAACTCTTTTTCCAATTCCACAAGCTCGGTATTGATGACTCTCATACCAAATACACTAACCTGTATGTTGGTTGACATGGATTGTAGGCACCTGGGGGTGGTCCTTCTTTGGGTTTAAAATTCAGGCTTGGAAACCTTGTAGATTGACTTCTGAATGCACTATGTTTTGATGGCATCTTATTCACCGGCGGTCGTATCAAATCGTATTGCCATGGTGGAACTTCAACATCTTTGTCCTGTGGGGAATATTTTTCTGGTTAAATGAGCAAACGAATAACATACCCAAAAAAACTAAATCTATACCTATTCCAATGACTCTTATGCAAATGGTATTTCTGTACCTTGAATCCAGTTGGTGTCCGACTTCTTCCTGAACTCTTGAATGAACTTGCTATTCTTCTGTTTTCGAGATCGCGTAGGAAATCTCTATGTTGATATGCTCCTGGTAATAGTAATTCACCACTTCTGGCTATTCCAGCCTCCTTTGATCTTCCTTGTCCTGAAAAAATTTAAGAAGCTTAATTTTCACTTCGACCTGAAGTATGTAGACATACAAGATATTGGGGTTGCAAATAGTGAATTATATGCAAAATGGAGTGGGCAAGGTTTTTGGACCTGGGGCCAAAAGTTGTGCCCACCTAGGCTGGTGGGCCATGTAAGTGTGATGTAAAAAGTTACATTTTGGGAACAATATTTACAGTGTTACAAAAGCAAAAGTGGAAAACAGTAAGCCTAATGCCAAAACTAAATTTAATCGTAATCTCAACAAATTTTTTGAGCTACCGGTACTTTTAAATAAAACATGAAAATTTGATATTAGTTTGATTGTGGCAGCATCAAGCAAGCCAATCTGAATCACACTACGGGCCGAATTGGGCCCGTAAGCCGTAGTTCGCCCATGTCAGGATTAAACTCTTTAAATAATCTGGAACTTGGCTGTTGATGGATTCCATTTCCATCATTCAATTCCAAAGCAAATTGAAATATATCAATTATATGTACTTATATTTCTTTGAAGAACATTTTCATTCTGATCTCTGCTATTTCATTCCCATGGCTATCTCTCACCTGCAAAATTATAAGAAGCTTGTACTGGATTCATAGCTGCGACATCAAGGAAGTCTCTGCATTTATATGTTCCTGGTACAGGTGTTTCTTTTACTGTCACTCTCCACCATTCTCTCTTGGTTACCGGTTCTTCATATGTTACTCTAGGATCCTTTAGCAATAAAAGTGGTTATTTTTTAATGTGTTTTCCACTGGGCTAATTTTTGAATTTTGGCATACAAATATGGCAGCTTTTGAGCAAGGTCTTAGTATTTTTGTTTTATCTCGCATCAATCGGCATTTACTAGCGAACAATTCTACACTATAATGATTTATACTCTCGATAGCTATGGAACGTTAGTGGTCGCTTGTATCTCCGCACATTCTCCTATATTTTTAGATGAGTGTGCATGACTGTGCTTTGAGCAATTTTCTTATAAAAAATGGAACACCTAATGGTAAAGGCATTGAGAAAGGGAAAGTAGCCTACATATCACTCTCATTTTTTCAACCAATCACAAAAATTTTGAAATATAAAGTTTGATGCTAATCATGATTTCACTGTAAAACTACTAAAAGTTTGACAAAAAGAAGGTATCAGTTATTAACATTCTCATATAACTCACATAACAAAAGGATTTGTTTCAAATTAAGTTCATTTAGACTTATTGAAATTGTTCGTATTCATGCATCCAGAGTTTCATGAATAGATACGATAAGTAACCTTATACGCTACTGGGTTGGTAACTGAAGGATGGATATATTCCATCCTATGGTCTCCATAATCGTAATTATTTTCCTACTTTTCTTCCTTTTGTATATGCAGAGTAGACTCTCTTTTGCAATAACTTGTCAATGTATACTAGTTCATCTTTGTCTTGTACTGGGCTTGTTGCTTTCTTATCCTTCAATTTTGGTCCCGATTTTATCTTTACTTTCTTCGTGCTTTCCCTACTTGTTTTACCTGTCATGCTTGTAGTCTTATTATAAAATAATGATAAGTATTTGTTAAATTAAATCATTTGATGGAAAAAATAGCATTTATTGATTTTGTCTGTGATGTCACAATAGGATTCTATTGAAAGGAATAAAAATCAATTTTATGATATTTTATGGACTCTCTTAAAAAATTCTACCTTTAGATTAGAGTGTACTGTACTGTAGACTGTAAGGATGGTGGTACTGGGTGAACTAAAATAACAGAACCCATGGATTTCTTAATGACTTCTACGAAAATGAAGAAAATTTATTTAACACTTGACCTTCTGTTTGTGTATGAATTTACCCAAAAGCTTCTTTTTGTGTCTCATCCTCTGCACCCAATTGCAGCTACGGCAATCACTAATTTCATCTGTTTACCAGTTCCTAAACGTTTATTGGGCAATTTTCTCAAATCCAAGCTGCTCTATAAGTTTTGATAGGAAGATGATTCCAAAATAGCTTCGTCGTCTGCTGTATGTCTGTTGACATCTCCGTTACTTAATCGTTATTAAGAATAATTGAATTAAAATGTGGAAGATGTTACAAAAGGCTTTATTTACTTGGGTTACGAGATTATGGCCTTGGTAAATATGATTTAATTTTATTACATTGATTTCATGGCGCTCCGGAAGTGTACCAATGAAAGGTAACTAATTTTGTTCGCCCATATTACATCAAGTTGTGTAAAGAAACTGAAACCTATGGGCAGGGGATATATTCACTTGGCTAACACCGACAGTCCCTGAACTTGCAATAGAACTAAAATAAGGAAAATCGGTATAAAATTATGGCCTAACCCTAACCTGGTACACACACTACAGGAGTACCAATTTCACCTCAATTTCATGTCAGTATATTTGTTTGAGCTTTGTCCTTTGGATCACAGATATTATCGCAGATGACAAGATAACTGAGAAGCGACCTCGAAGGAAATTCACCCTAACTCCTCAGCCTCTACCGTCTAATTTCACTGTTGTAACTCCAACAGGTGAAAGAGTATCAATCACAGAATTTCGCGAAAAACAAGCGGAAAGACGACAGAAAGCATCTATGTTTTTGCAGAAGAAAAACCAGGTAAATATTTCTTTGATAGTTTTGTTTATATCACATGAGTTCGATTCTTATTCATATTTTTAAAACAGGTGGAAACTCTATTTCGAAATTGTTAATTTGCAAATTTTGTGCGAATTTATACAGGGAAAGAATATTCTGAAATATAATTTTGATGTTGGTTTGAAACATCTAATATTTTCAGTGTACACATATTCAAGTCTATAACATTACCATCTTTATTATAGCACTTCTTATGACGGCCACAGGGAAATCTTCAATTTTTAAAAATATTTGGTTTTACATAGCAAGTAATTATAGTTCCCTTTTGTAATTCATACTTCACATAATTTGGAAAATGAAAAGTCAAGTTATGTTAGTGTCTTGCAACCTTCTTATTGTTGAAGAAATAATTTATTCATTTTTTAGGATTCTGCTGAAGAATTACCAGTTGTTTCATCTTCAGCAAAAGTAACGAATGATATTTTTGATATATTTGAAGATGATGATCCAAGTATCAGTAGTAATACTGTAACAACTACTGACACTGCTACAACAAGTATACCTATTAACGCAGACAACGCCAAAAAATCAGCAGAACCTGATTGGGTATTTTTCTTTTAGTTTAGTACATCAACATTATTTTGGCAATTGAATTACATTCTAAATTATTTTCAGTATGGAATATCACATTTGGCTGTATTATTATGGTTTATACTAGTATACTACTTTGTACATCGGATGTCAGAAAATGTTAAAGTTTTGTTTTCTAACTTATTGCCATGGTTTTATCAGCCTACTGGATACCCATTGCATGGTCCAAAACAATCACGTTCCAAGTGTATATATTTTCAATCTAGAATATTTTATTTTCACTATATCAGATATAACTCGTAGTGATTTTATTTGGATATTTAATTCATTTTACACATCCTAGCGAGTAGTCTTGTGCAGTATTGCAGTGATGTTTTGTGATACTTTTATGTTTTCGAAAAATTGGTACATCAATTGGCGGCAATGTATGAAATATTTTATTTAGAGGCACGATGGTTAGCGACTTAGCATGATGCCCTAGTTTTGTCTGTGTATTTCAAAATAAATTACAGTAAATCAACTATGTGGTTAGCGAATTCTTAACGCTTAGCATGATGCCCTAGTTATATCTTTGTTTTTTAAAATAAATTACAGTAAATCAAGTACGTTTTTTTCATTGATTTTTTCAGGAAGCAGAAGTTTCTAAGGAACCATCAGCTCGAATATCTCCTGCCAAATCAATATCATCATCTTCATCGCGATCACCTACCATGGATAGAAAATCATCACCAGCATTAGAACCTGCAACTGTTCCCACAACTCTGAAAGATTTGATTGCAGCTGCATCACGTTCAAGTACACCATCACACAAGAATAAGAAAAATAAAAAGAGGTTTGTAATGAATGTGTGGAGTTGAGGATAGATTTCACGGGGCTAGTTCACTAAACGTCGTCAAGCACTTCTAGTTTATGTGGCATAACCATTTTCACATATGTGATTTCTAACCCCCACCTAATTACGCCATCCGAAAATTTTGTTACTACAACTGAACATTGACGAAATGAAGCCCGTCAAAGTATGCGGATTGTTGTCCAAAAGACGCAGACGATCACCCGAAATCAAGCAAGCTATTCCTCTCGTTTTCTTATCGTACCGATCCCGATATGAGAGAGATCGCTGGAGTTCGTTATCGTCAGCGAAGATGCCATTTTGGGGCGATCATAGCTTTTCTTTGACAAGCTCTATGACGTGATCGTGACTTTTTAAAACATCAAATTTGTTTATGATTAGGGTAATATATAACATGTATCACAGTGGATTCACTAATATATTTGTTATGAATGAAAGCATTAGTTTCAGATAATCAGGACATTTATATCCAACATTTTGTCCATTGTCAAACACCATTTTTTCTTGCCTCCAGCAACTAATCACCCTCTATTATAATCAAATTTACTTCTCATCAACTGCTATACCACTGAATCGCATCTATGTACATTTATATTTTTGTTGGTTTGATCATTTTATCTTTACCATTGTTTTCAAATTTTTAATCAGGCTCTTTTTAAAAAAAAAAACTTTACTGTTATTTGTGATTCATCTTTCCAATTTCAGGCATAGATCACGTAGCAGATCAAGAAGTACATCAAAGTCAAAATCAAGGTCACGACATTCTTCACCGAGAGATTATTCTGGGAAGCGATGGTCAAGATCAAGAAGTAGAGATAGAGATTATCTCCCATCATCATACAGAAGAGTTCTTGGGTCTTCCAGGTATTTTGAATCATTTTTGTTAGAATGACTCACTTTTCTATTATTTATCACTTTTTTATATAAGGCAAGTAACGAGTTTGGCATGTTTTACTGGAGTCAAAGCTGAGTTGAATTCTCTATCTGCTCTCAGTCGGTGTTGAAATTTTAAATTCCTCGGATAAGCATGGAATTTTTTATACTTTTATCAGTGATAAAAAAGAGGAGGCTTGCATACTTTGAAGTTTTTATTAACAAAATTTAATCAGGAGTCGAAATTTTTTGCAACCCTAAATTAGAGTCCAAAAATGGTACTCCCGTTGTATGTGCACCAAGATGGTGGACTCCGGAACGTAGTATGTATACCAGGTTAAGGTTAGGCCATAATTTCAGGTACAAATACTACGGGAGTCACTTGGCTAGTCCAACAACTCAGAGAGTCAGTAACGGTTGTGAATTTTTTGACTTCACAACCATGTTATTTAGTAAGTTATGAACTCAAAATTGGCCATAATTTGAGAATGCTTCAATATACAACATCAGTTGTCTCATGAGATGCACAGGTAAACATTACATTCTAATTCATGCCATTAAATTGAAATTCTTTTATGAAAACTAGAATTAGCTCACCATTACATTCTCTTTTACTCACAGAGACAATGAGACAAGTTATAGATATAGCAGCCAGCATAGTAGATACAACAAAGATATTGATGATGTACCAAGTGCTTACAAGATAGAAAATCCACAACCTTCATCATATGGTAACGGGAATTCTTCAAGACGTGACAGGTACTTATTAAACTTTTAAATTGCAATACTTTCCACAACCAAAATGGACAATGTTCTGGATGTATTTGCATGATGATTAGATTGGTAATTGTCTTGTTTGATTAGTGGGTGCCACCTTATTTTACTATCAATATTTAATTGTTTAAAAATTTGTCATTGGAATTGAGTTTTGGCCTTGTTTATATGGAATTCATTTGCATTTAAATTCTTATGTAAAATTTTCAAAGCACAGTCGTGAAACTCTACTGAATGCTGATGGTTCTAGAGCTGCGTGAATCTATATTATGACAAAAATTCCAACAAACATTGGTTGATGCATGACATCAACAAACAGTGCTTAACACCCCTGTCATTTAGTCTTAGTAGATTTAAAAATAATGGTTATTGATAATTGATATATCCTATTTGTCTTGTATCATGATGTCATAATTTCATGATTTCGCTGATAAAGTGACCTACATCCATAATTGAGATTTTTTCAAAAAAAAATTTATTGTTCCACAGAGAAATATCGCCTTATTATAAAAGTCGTAAACGGTACAGACAAGAATTAGAAAATGAGGAAGGCAAGAAAAAGCGAAGGTACTTTTGGTAATACTGTATATCAGGGGTCTGGAACCGTTTTGGTCAAGAGAGCCATAAAATATACATATTTTCAATTGCATTTCCGTGCGAGCCATATAACATTTCTTCAATTAATCAGACCTGAAATGTTTACTCGAAAGTCAACACATACAATGTCAATATACATTCAATGTGATTTCTGATGCTGCATGTAGGCGCTGCGGGCCTTGAACGGTTGCTCACCTGCAGCCCAATGTGGAAATCTACGATACTCATCACCCTTTTTCGTTTAGGCATCTCCGTAGTGTTTTTAAAACTATATCGCTTTGTGATGTCACAATATAGGTTCCAGAATCCCCTTGTTTGTCACAATGCCTGTCTAGTAAATATCTTACATAACATAGACATGTGCTGGGCGCGTGTTTTGAAACGTATTGGGAATTTCCTGCCAAATTTGGCTCTAAAAGAGTTTGGGATCTCGTAACAATAGTAAGCTTAGTCTTAGAATATTAGCTTTTCTGGGAGCCATATGCCGTCACCAAAAGAGCCATATATCCATATGCCGTCACCAAAAGAGCCATATATGGCTCGCGAGCCATGGGTTCCCGACCCCTGCTGTATATAAATATTCATACTCTTTGTAGATTTCTGTCTGCGTATGACATAGTCATAGTAAATAGCTGTGTACATTATGATAGTAAGGATAAAAATTTCATATTTATGATGTGATTGTTAACTAAGTTAACAATATTGAGTTTTGTTGAGTTTTTCTACTTTATTTGATATTTGACTGAGAACAATAAACATGAATTGTTCAGGTCAAGAAAATCACCTTCTCATAAATCATCGAAAAAGAAGAAAAGTTCATCAAAATCTAAAAAGAAACATAAAAAGAAGAAATCAAAGAGTAAGAAAAAGAAAGAAAGAGAAACCAGTAGTGAGGAAGGGGAATATGGGTATGAAATCAAAAATTAATATATCGATAATCACAGGGGCTCTAACCCAAATTCACTGAACTTTTCCGGTAAAATGAAAAAAACATATAGGCCTATGTTATTGATTTTTAAACTTATCTTAACTTCTTATTAAAAATATCAATTTTTTCATAATTTTATCCAATAATTATTTTTTCGAAAACTTTAACATTCACCCCTTTGTCCTGAAATCGTCGATTTTCTGTTTCTTTTCGGCATGCATGATCTCATCTCCTAATGAGTTGGCAGTTAATTGGAACTTTTAAATCCCACCCTCCCCTTTGCAATGTCAGCATAGTTTAGTAAACAATCTGGCCAGTACACCAGTCCAAAAATATTCTCAATTATTTGCTTCTATTTCTAGGTCTAATAGCGATGATGATAATGATAGTTCTGATGAAAGTGACAATGTTAGCAAGGTAATTTAGAATAAAATTATATTACCGGTAATTGTTCATAGCTTAAATATTTTTTAATTTTTTAATATATTTGACTCGAAGATATGAATTTCATAAACATATTATTATTTTGAAAGTTAAAAGTAATCAGTAATCATTTGTACACTTGAGAAACTACTTTCGAATTTTCACAGTACATCCTTGTGCAATAAGTATCCATTGCACTATAGGCAATTGGCGTTCCTATCGAAACAGTGTTCACAAATATGTCAAAAATCAAGCATAATTTCGTGGTAAAACTTGGAGACTACATTGCTGGGCGTGTATTCACTTGTCATTATGTGCCCTTTGCATAGAAATGTTTGTCTTATAGTGATATAGATCATGCTGGTTGTGCGCAACACAGGTAATAAAATATGAAAAATAACGAAAAAAACAAAATAGAAGATAAAAAAGGAGTGTAAGACGACCGTTCAGTAATGTACCCCATTGTGCATTAATTAGATTACTAGTATTAATTTGTTCGATTGGAACTGTCCTTTTTCTCTTATTACTCAACTATTTTTTGTTCTTTCAGGTTTATGTTGTTGAGACGAAACCAGTAGTTGACAAAGGTATACTTTGTAATTTTTTGAAATAATACACTGATCCAATTACTACGAATGTAATTGAGTATATTTAGCAATTTATTACAGAGTCTTTATTCTTGCTTTTTGATCTATAGTTTCTGGCTTGACTCATGGTCTATTTTAGGTTGAAATTTTAAGAAGACCATAATAACCCTTGTCTATTTCGAATCAATAATTGGATTCTGGGATGTGATTAGCTAATTTAAAACAATACTATTTAAAAATGTTGTCTTCATAATATAGGAAATTCCTATTTGTGCTACGAAGTTATGATTCATACCAAATTTTACATTATATTCATTGTGTTATTTTTGATGTTTTTTATTCAATCACAGAAGAGGGAGAATTGTCACCTCAACAAGATAAAGAGTTACTTAACGGTTTGTAAAGTACCGCCTTTTCATTAATTAACAATTACACAGTGATATCATAATATAGATATCAATTGCATTTTGCCAATTCAGATTGTTGCTCTTTAGAATTGGTTATAATTTGCATAACAAAATTAGATCAGCATGCATATTTCAAGAGCATAAGTAAGATCTTTTGCAAATTTTCGTATTTTCCTGCTGAATATCTAGAGTACCTCCACTTGACATTTTTGGGTACTCCCATAATATGTGAAGATGGCGGACACCTAAAGGTAGTATGTGTACCAAGTTAGGGTTGGCAATAATTTTATTCCAATTTTACTTTTTTTAGTTTTATTAAGCGTTCGGGGACTAGCCAAGTGACTCCTGTAGTATTTGTACCTAAAAATAATGGCCTTACCCTAACCTGGTACACATACTACGTTCTGGTGTTCACCATCTTGGTTCACATTCTACGAGAGTACCCATTGTTGAACCCCAGACAATTATCATTAGACGACATTTGCATATGCATATGACTGAATCAAGATATATTTTAACATTGACAATATGTATTTCCAGTGCCAGCTTCATCATGATATACCTTTGACGAACATCAGACTGGTTCGAAGGGAAAAGCTTTCTTGACCCCAAACAAAGTATGCTTATTGAAGTTGAAAGCATTTGGAATGATGAAACTTCCCAAGTTTATTTAGTTTCAGTGAGGCAGTGATTTGACAGGTTGTTGTGTTAAAGATAGCAGTGCAAGGAATTGGGGGAAATTCTCATAGTTTGGTGAATTATGTGGTTAATGCCAAGTATGGGCTATAGATGGGGTATATTTCTTGTGTACTTGTTCCACCACGAAAAATGTATTTAAAAAAATTAGTTCTGGTCAGTAAAACTTGAATAAATCTCCCAAAGATCCCTAACAAATTTTTATAACACAATATCTTCACCCTTTAATCAAATTTATTCATGGTATTACTGAATACGATATTTTAATTTTTTTCTAAAAGTAGGTTTAATTTATAGGAGTTAGGTCAAATAAGTATGGTCTATAATTCTTTAATGAACACTGATTGTTCATCCACATCACAAAGCATTAGGTTAGGCGTTTTGAGTGGAAATATTGGTATTTCCTTACTACAGCCAGTCTGTCGCAAATAAATTTTACTTATTCGTTGGGTGACACTAAAATATTCAGTAATGTGATACGCAATATTATGCTACCACGTCCGCATGTACTGTAATTTATGAATGTTTTTCTTGAACGCTTGAGCATACCATGTCTTGTTGTTTCACACAAAAAAATGCATTTCTGCAGTATTATCTCTGCTATCATGTCAAAACCCATACAGGATAAGTTATCAGGTATAGGATTTCTTCGATGATCTTTTACAAATAAGAATCTAATGTTAAAGTTTTTTCTTTTTTCGAATTGTAACTGACTATATAATTTTGATCAATAGTAGAATGACTGGAGGATTATAAATTAATAGGCCATATTGGTCTGACATCACTCTTGGTGGCGTTAATATTTGTTTTGTATGATTTGTTCGACTTTTTGAGTTAATACAACACCGCTCACATACGCGTCGACTGATTCTGTTGTATAGGGGAGAGGGCCGGAATTAATTACCGGATTTAAAACAATGCTCAAGGCTTGCTATGATTGAATTCTTTTTTTCAATGGGTGGATATGCGGAGAGTGCTTGGTAGCATAGAAGTCATGTTGGGGGTGTCAAAATAGGGCTGACGGAATGCCGTCGTTGCGTGTCAAATTGGGGGTAACGAAATACGGTCGGTGCGTGTCAGATTAAGGGTGGCGAAATACGGTCGGTACGTGTCAGATTGAGGGTGACAAAATACAGTCGTTGCGTGGTGTCAGGTTAGCGGTCACGAAATACGCTCGCTGCGAAGTGACCCTAATGATTTGATTTCTGCATGTCAGAATAGAAGCATCACGTTTTGAACTGGACCTATATATTACCAAACAGAGCGTATATTCCGGTAATTTTGTGAAAAATATATATGTATCATAGTTAAAAGTGGTTTCGTATTTAAACTTAATTTACCAAAATTATCTTTTTACTCTTTAGATAGATAATACAGCGATATTGGACGTCTAATACATTTAAAGCAAGTATAGGGGTGACGAAATGCGGTCGTTGTGTGTCAGCTTGGGGGTGACGAAATACGGTCGTCAAGTTAGGGTGGCGAAATACGGTCGGTGCGTGTCAGCTTTAGGGTGACGAAATACGGTCGTTGCGTGTCAGATTGGGGGTAAGGAAATACGGTCGTTGCGCGGTATCAGGTTAGGGGTGACGAAATACGGTCGAGGCGTGTCAGAATGTAAATGGCAAAATATGACTGAGCGTATCAAATAACCGTAAATCTAGCAGTAGGGTGCTGGTACGCAATCAGTGACAGCGAGCAGGATGAAATCAAGGATCACCAACATTTGAATATGAAATTCGCCGAGTATTTATATGTTTATTGTAGCAATTGAGCCTCTGTTAATTACTATCAACCTAAATAAAAATGTGATGGTATACCGGTATTGACGCTAGCAAATATAAAATTAAATCGAAATTATTTATGGAATCGGGCGATGACGAACCCTGAAAAGGAATTGGAAGTTGTAATTCATGAATTGGTGCATGCATCTGGTGTTTTATTGCATGAATGAGGAACCGATCACGGACCAAAATTTCGGAAAAGAGCACGCCGTATTGTAAAAACAGTCAACGCTCAAGGGAACAATCTTCTCTCGGAACTTCGCGCCATAGATGTAACATTCAATGAAAGTCAAATACGGAGACACAGTTCGGAGGCCAACGTTATGAAATACATCTGCATATTTATTATCTTGTAGTACAATGTTGCCTGAAATACGTTTGTGTTCGTCGGGAGCTTTAAAACAATATAAACGAATAACTAATATTTTACAGTTAGTTGAATTTGTTTTAAGAAAATTTCCATGTCCTCAAATAGTGTCAAACAATTTTTTTCTATTTCCAATATTTTATGTTACTTAATTATGCATAGAAATGACATGAAAAAACACATTTTATGTCATCGTGAAAGTGATTGTGATTTAATTTAAATTTGACGTACGACTGGGATCACTCTGCATAGAGAGACTAAAATTAACGAAATCTCTCTACGCAGAGTGATCGAGTCGAATGCCAAATTTAAATTAAATCAAAATCAGCTAATTAACTTCAACTAAACAATGTAAATAGTTCTTAAAGTTTCTTTCAAATTTTTTCGATTATTAGTTTGATTTTTAATGTGAAGGTATGTTTGATATATTATTACGTTTTGCTCTTCAAGTCTTGAACATCTCGAAATAGTAACAGATTTCTCATATTTTAAGTAGAGAGTTTATTTGTTCTGTCAAACAGAAAACAATAACACGACAAAATATAATTGTAAGCAACAAATTCTCGGTATAGACTGTATAGCAACTGGTATCAATACGATCATGTGGACACCGAGATCAGTTACCAGTACCACTCAATATTTATAACGTGAAAGACAATAGCTTTAGATGTGATAGACATCTAGGATGGGATATTGTAGGTTTGTCCGAAATCATCAATAACTTTCAATGGAAGAATAATTTAGTTGGCAAGCGTTTGGGATGATATAAGCATTAATTAAATATACCTCGATATAAATTCAGACAAATTACTTTCTTGATCAATTATGATATTAACGAATTTGATATTTTTGATTGATGACTAAAATAATAAGAGAAGGTTTTCATGTGAGTGTATGGCATTGGTTACTTGAAATATGTAATTGGTGAATGACTCAAAGTAACGTCTTTATACGGGCATTAAAACGTCACTGGCTCACTGCAATAGTCAAGTTGATCGAGTGTTAAAGTTCGGAGCAACAAAGTAGGTATAAAAAAAGCAATCATATCAAAATTGAGCCTAAATGTTTTCGTATGAATAAGGTCTACAAGCATCTTGTAAAATATCAGAAAGAATACCCATGTTAGAATGTAACTTACACTGGTTTTTCATTTATTTAGCTAGGAACCGAATTCTATGAGAATGTCTTTAAGAGATGAAACGCTGTTCAGAAGATGTTGAGTAAGTGAAATGCATTCTTTAGTGCAGGGTGGTCCACCCTTTTTGGCCAAAGGGTCACATTTAGTTCACGAATGATCGCGCAGCCTTGACTAGGGCTGGGCATTTCGAATCGAATATTCGAATCGAATCGAATAGTAAATTATTCGAATCGGTTCAAAGCTAAATTTCGAATTGCCGCCATCTTGTTTTTTTGTTTCCGCCAATGATCGAGGTGAATTCCCCAATTTTTTTTTCATTGAAGTCATATTTTTTCAACGCAATTCTAACATATGACTATTTTCTGTAGTAAGTTATTGTTAAAGCGTTTTTGTTATTGTGTGTGAACGCTCACAATCTATCTGAGTGATGTATTCTATGTCTTCAGTAATTTATTTGTTAGAAGACCAATTACTATAAAAAAAAGTCGCTTGCAATTATATATTTCCAAGTATTCGAGATTCGATTCGATTCGAAAAAAATTATTCGATTCGATTCTGAAATCACAAGATATTCGAAAATGCCCAGCCCTAGCCTTGACATGATGGTTATGTTCTAGTTTTTACTACGCCGACTGCGGATTAATGAAAAAGAAACAAAACCCGCAAACCAAAATTATAAGCACAAGGAAAATACGAAGATACAGTAAAGTCAAAAGTTTTAAAAAACATAAAAAAGCTTTCGATAGCTGGATGGTGCTTCTCGCGCGTTTGAACGACGAGGAATAACTCTTTATTAGAGGTTTCAATAATGGCTCAGATTTATGAAAAACATTGGGATTCGAATAATATCGCGCTGTCTACTCGGAAACCTTAGGCGGGTTGGACGACCCTGCCTTAGTGCCACCCATATATATTCCATCTGATGCATCTAAGGATGTACAAAGTCGAAATGAGAAAAAAAAATTGAAAGAAATGGGTCCAATCAGAAGATTGCACTAGAAATGTTACGGAGAATCTTTTAAATGTTCATGTAAATATGAAATGATAATTGTACGGATATGTGCTATTCGGTGGAACCTTTTAAATTAGTCTGTTAAATTCTAGATTCACTGGATAACATTGGATGCCACATTTGAAATATACAGGGTGGTCACTATAAAAGCAGAAATTTGGAAGCTCGAATGAGATCAGGGATAAAATGCATTCTTAATAATTTCTTGGACTAAGATACTGCTCCGCACAGACGACATTTTCAGCATCCATGAATGTGATATAGCATATGCCTTTAATAATTTCATTAAAGTTATTCTTTGTAAGAATTTAATGTTTGATAAATTTTCTGCTTTTATAGCGACAACCCTGTAATTCGCATAGACAAGCAACAGTAGCAATAAATAAACTGTAAAACAAGCATGATGAGAATGATTGATTGCAGTTGATCCAATGACTCGTTTTTAGGCAGGTATTTCTCGATGACCTCTATTAAAGCCAACATTACGACATATTTAAAGAAAAAGGATATATAGATTCGATTTCATTATGATGACAGAACAGCAGCATGGTTCAACATGGTCATATATATTGCCAAACATAGCGCATATTCAAATAATTTAATGAAAAATATACATGTAGCATAGTTTAAATAAATCATGTAATTAAATTTACTGAAAAATTGAACAAGTATCTTTTTACTTTGATACTGAACGTCTAATACATTTAAAACAAGTATCGGAGAGTATAAAATAAAAAAAATAAAAAACATTTTACGCCACCTCGTGAATTCTTTAGAAATGTAGAAAAATTACAGTTTTGGATGAACGATTTTTCGAAAACCTACTATAAGCATTACAGCATTACAACATATTGGGAAAAAAAAAGAAATCTTTTAGATTCGAATTCACCATGGCAGAATAGTAGTAGCACGTTTTAACTGGCCATATATAATACCAAAAACATAGTGTATATTCCGATAATTTTATGAAAAATATATATTTATCATAGTTAAAAGTGGTTTTGTATTTCAACTAAATTTGCTTGATAATTGAACAATTACCTTTTTCACCATCTCATACACCAATACGGAACGTTTCATACACTTGAAATAAGTTAGGAATGGTATAAAATAACCATAAACATTATATATACGGCCTCTCATGGATTTTATTTTTTATTTTGAATAATTACAGTTTTGGTTGGTCGATTTCTTGAAATCTTGAAAACTTTTTGCTTAATTTGAAATAACAAAAAACAAAAATAATTTCACGTCTTCCCGTAGACTCTTTTCAAAATTTTCAATATATCGTTTTTGAAATGGCTATATCTCGGAAACGTCTCATAAGGGCAGTATTATGACACATTGGAAGAAAAGAAAACCTCTCATAGATTCCATTTCATCATAGTAGAACAGTAGCAGCACGTAATACCAAACACAGCGCTTATCCTTCGATATTTTAACAAGTCAGACGTAAAATATTTTGAATTGGTTTTGTGTTTTATCTAAATCGATCAATGTCAGCGTCATCTCGAGGAAAATAAATTTTTCCAAGAAGCGATTCTCGAAAGCAGCCTCTTTAATGTTACATTTATACGCTATGTTTGGAAATATATACGGCCATGTAAAACGAATGCATCTATATGTTCTATATGTCAAATCTATATGTTTTTATTTTTTTATTTTTTGTCAATGTATCGTAATGCTGACTTTACTGAAAGTTTTCGAAAAATCGCCCATCCAAAACTTTGTGATTTTTTGACATTTCCGAAAGTACCCACGAAGGGACGTTAAATGTTTTTTTCCCCCCTATTTTATACTCTCAGATACTTATTTTAAATGTATTATACGTCCAATATCGCTATATTGTAAGTAAAAGTAAAAAGATAATTGTTCAATTATTAAGCAAATTTAGTTGAACTACAAAACCACTTTTAACTATGATACATATATACTTTTCATAAAATTGCCGGAATATACGCTATGTTTGGTATTATATATGTCCAGTTCAAAACGTGCTGCTACTATTCTGACATGCGGAAATCAAATATTAAAGGTTTCCTCGCAGCGACCGTATTTCGTCACCCCTAACCTGAAACCACGCAGCTACCGCATTTCGTGACCCCCAATCTGACACGCACCGACCGTATTTCGTCACCCCTAACTTGACTCGACGACCCAGTTTCGTCACTTCCATTTTGACAAAATTAAGTTTAAATACAAAACCACGTTTGACTATGATACGTATATATTTTTCATAAAATTAACAGAATATACGCTATGTTTGGTATTATATATGACCAGTTCAAAACGTGATGCTACTATTCTGACATGCGGAAATCAAATCCTAGGGTTTCTTCGCAGCGACCGTATTTCGTCACCCCTAATCTGACACCACGGAACGACCGTATTTCGTCACCCCTAACTTGAGTCGACGACCCTATCTTGTCACTCCCGATTTGATACGCAACGACCGCATTTCGTCAGCCCTATTTTGACACCCCCAATATGACTTTTGTGCTACCACCCCTGTAGAATATGCGGGGCGTTTTGGAGTTGCACTCCGCTCGCTACTAGGGTTTGTTGCATCAGCCGCACTTTGCATCTGATAAAAGCAACAAAGTTTTCTGTACTAATACCGACGCGAAACATCCTTTCAACATAACATACCATCGGCCGTGATATGGTTTTAACCAATTCCTGAAGAGTAGTAAAATACGTCGTAATAGGTAAGTATAAAACGAAGTGTAGTATATGTCATACGTTAGTTACTGAAATGTGTCGTCAGTTTTGAAGTCTAGTTTCGTCGTTCGCTTTCGTGATTCGTCGTGGCCTGGACTTTATGCCAATTTCAGTTGATCACGAAAGCCCACAGTATAGTGAAAGTACCGTACAAAATGGACAACGAAATGGAAAATCCTGTGTGAACAGTTGGTGTGTAGTTTTCTATATTCCCAGATTTTTGAATCCGAAATGTCGTTGGAAGATCTCTATTGCAAAAGTTTTTGTGGCAGCATTTGATGCACGCACCATTTCTGCGAAATGTAAGAAGAAGTTAGTGTAGCGAAACTATATGACTGGACTGGTGCCCTGGGTGAGTTGGTGCCAGAGTTTGTAGGTTTTCGTCGTTGGCAAGGTCGTACTACAAAATTTTAGTTCCGCCGGAATTGCATACTTTCAATGATCGTAAAATAAGTAAAAACTTCCTACCAAAACCCAAAAGTTAGTAATTTTATCAAGTCTTTTTAACAGTCTGTTAAAGAAGACTTGAAACACCAAAATTTTCGTTATCAAAATGTGATGTGGAGCTGCTGCAGACGAAGATTTTTTCACAACCCGAAGTCTGTCAGGCAATCATCTTAACCGCAGAATTTATTGTAAATCTCTCCACATCCATGGTTAGGGCATAAACGAGTGAGAATGTAATATCATTGCTGAATAATACAGCTTTACTCACTCTTGAAAACAATCTTCACTTCCAATACATTGTGTAGAGTGGCAACTACGCACTATAGTTACGTCACCGTCGGTTATTCTTCGGGATACCTGCAATATTGTTTCGAATAAACAATTAATATAATAATCAACAAACAATTATTAACAACGCTACCAATTGCTTTTTTCTCAAATTAAATTTAGTTTATATAATACCAAAATTCCAAACTATCAATTCTTCTTGAATTTTGCTCCCATGTCAAAATATTGAAGTATACGAATGCCATATAAATGATGCTGAATGCTTTTGAAAATTAATAATCAACATTGTTTTGTGATAATTCTATTCGGTTACTATTTTTCATCATCATTTGTCTATTATCAGGATAAATGGTATGTGACTCACCATACACGGACCTTTACACGGAACAATTATCTTATTCTCCCCTGGTTCATCAAAATCATAAGTATCAACATCTTCCGTACAACCATACTCATGGCCAGATTTTGTTATGATTCCAACACATTTATAGCACATTCTGAATTCGGAAGAAAATTCTTGATACATCTGAAACGTAATATATATATGTATCACATAATGTACCAGACTAGTATGTAAAACATAGATGGCTGTCTCATTTTTGTCGTCTCGTCATCTGGTTGTCCTAGGTACATATATGATAGACGGCGATATAGATACTGCGGCAATTCAATTTGTATAATATATTATACTAATGATAAACAATGCGAGATAAATGAAAGATATTATCAGTGACACACACGGTATGGTGTCTTTCGGTAATTCTATTTATAGATCTATCTGCTAGAAAAGCACATTTGTCATTGTCCGAATTGTAACATTTTCTCTCATTCTTAAACTGTTGAAGGAGTCTAGTTCATATTATATGGCTTAACGCTGTCACAAAAGAAAAACTTCGGGACCGGACGAATCTCATAGTGCCACAAGCCTCCTCGATGCCCAATCATTTTCACAAGTTTCGTGCGTATTCTCCCAGGGGAGAGAACTGATAAGTTAATGATAGATTCAATTAAATGGTAAATTCATTGCCAGTAAATAGTTCATTGGGCATCTGGGGTGCCTATTCACGATGGGTAACGCAATCACGCCCTGCTTCCACAAAAAATTAAAACCGGTTAGGTGCCGTGCAACTTATGAATTTCGCCGTGCCAAATTGAATGACATTTTTTTATCAGTATAGATTTACATGATCTACCAGGAAAATTTCGGATCTGTTACTGGAAGCGCATTTCTGCATACATGTACGCACTATTTTAGACATCAAAGCATGAAACGCCACTCAGAAAAATCGATTTAGTTCGGAAACTGTAAGCTGTATTTAACGGATCAGGCATGGACATGAATGAATCGCGCAATGGAGGCCCAATGATCCAAGGCCGTATACTCGATATTTGGCTTATGAATATTGGAAACATGTTGAGATGTTTATCTAATATAAACCGGAGAAATGTTTTCTTTCCCCTTGGGATTTTTAAAATCGCATTGTGTCTGTCACTAAATGTCTGATTTAAGCCTGCCTAATGTCAACTCCTATATTTCCCAAAAATCCTCTCCCAGTCCCCCGAGCGCATGCCAACAGAATTTGCACGGTGGTCCTATTTCTATTCCCGAGGGCAATTTTTACAGTCAAACAGCAAGATGGGAAACGAGATAGCGACCAGAGACCGCCGACTTATCGATATAGCGGCGTGCATCCTTCGCTCTGACTCAGTAGCGACATCGCGTGTCCCATCACTAATTAATTAAAAGCTAATTATACGACATAAATCATCCAAAATGGTCAATGGTTCAATGGTCTCCTAATCTGAGATATGATGAATGCACATGCAAAATTTGGAGCAGATCCAACCTCGCCTTCGTGAGATATCGCGTTCATCTAACAGACAAACAAACTGACATACAGACAGACATACAAATGCCTATCAACATACTTACCGATCTTAAGATCGATAAGTAATAAGTCTACACAACAATGTTAGTATTTATAATACTACACAAGACTGTGGGTTTGAATAAAGTTCCGTGTGAGACCGAGCTATATCCAATATTCTGACCGTGGTCCCTTCCCCGAGTTAACAATACTTTCGCCCCTACTCTGGCTGCGTGTTGGGTAAAAATGAATGACTTTTTAGTTTTAGTTGAAAAACTCGACTTTAACTGTCAAGTTTTAGAAGCGCGTAAATCTGACTTGTACTCTCGAAGTTGGAAATTCAAGATATTCAAAAAGTTTTAATTCAACCTCGGTGCTCGAGATTTGCTCCCGACTCTGAATAGTTATTCAACACGAATCCGACTTCTTTGTTGTTGTCGCTATTTTAGAATTTTGAGGGGTCCTCACGGGTATTCGTTTATTAAAAAGTTGCAGTTTCTCATTTTGAGTCGGACTGCGTATCTTGGGATTTGAAAAAAATGAATTGGACTAAAATACTGCTATATTGGCTTAATGAGTGTTTCTACTTGATACATACAATCTTTAGCATATCTTTCAAAATTTGAGTTGAATTTCCACGAATATTGATGGGATTCCAGGACAACTCCGGTTTGTTTGATTTCCTGCAAAAACAACAAAAAATATTATCTCATAAACCGCTGGCGTCAGAGATTCCAAGTCGAGGTTCTGAGAACACGAAGTGATCTTTCGTGATTCGATATACCTTTTGTTTGAAGTTGAATCATTCTAAACATAACAAATTTTCAGTTATTTTACATGTAGATACCACGATTTTTGCCAATTGAAGCAACCAAAAATAACTAACCAGTATTAAACCATTGATTTTTAATATTATTTTCTGGTCATTTATTGCCATTTGTTGTTATTTGTTGCCAATATTTAGTTCATAGATAACTTGCATTTGCACTGGTGATAAGATGCATCAAGATGCATTTGCTAAACCTTAATATTTGATGATCCTGCATTCCTGCCTGACAGTTGTTGATTGTAAATTTCATAACACGGCTATTGATACGTTATAAGCAAAATAAAGAAGAAAGTCGGTTATGTAATGGCTCTTCACCCTGGTAAATAGTCCGGGTTGAGACAAATACTTTCCGAATTTAAATGTGGCACATGGATTAGTATCTGGCGCTGAAAAATGCGACGTTTTAGTCAAAGAGAGAAAGGGTCTTTGATTACCAAAATATGTTTATTTATGGACTTACTTATGGACAAAAATTTAATAATGTCTTACCATTCTTGAAAGTGATGTAGCAAATATGCGCGCTCCGTCCTTTTTATCATAATTTCTTCGTTTAGTTCTGAAACTTTACCGCTACCTTGGTGAAACAGAAATCATTGATCAAAATCATCTTGGAATTTTGACAAAAAAATTACATTTCGCTATATACACCAACGTGTTTATGTCCCAGACGTTTTTACTCCATTGTTGCAATAATACGGGCGGCTTTCTTATCAAACCTGAATTTACATGTACAAAAATACCTCCCTCCGCATCGCAGTATATTGTAAAACTATGTCAACATGTTTAGAACCAAACTAACCAATATGCCAGCAATCTTTTGCTGATAGCGTTAGCGTATAAACGTTCTCAAAAACAATTTCTTGATATCTGAATGTAATAGTATTTTTAATATAAATGCATACCTTCCCAACCGCTTCCTTCTTGAGCAGATATTAGAGATGAAGAAAGTAGAAAAATCATCAAATATCTCCAAGTCATGATAAATACAGTGCTGGTCACCATTTAATATTTTTCTGCTATCTTTTCTAGCAATCAAGAATTGCTTTCAGTGAATAAACCAAAACTGCTTTACTACGTGTAAAATCAATTTTTTTCGTTCGTTTAATTGTGCCACGCGTCTGCCATTTGCCCTGGATTCAAAGCATCATAATCCCCCATAAATCAAATTATCCTCGCTTATTTATAGACTGCATAAACTGAAATGAACAAAATTCTGTGTAATTATACACGTTTGAGGACACTGGCTAATACTACATTACAGAGTATTTCAATCCTACTCAAAGTTGACATTATTGTGGATGTTTTTATCACATAAAAACAAGCTTCAATAGCGAATACCAAAACACATCACTGGTATTGGTTTTAAAAATCACGTCAATTAATTGAAGCTATAAGCTAAAAATCAATTCTCTCTGACGACATCATTCACTTTTCCATTTCATCATACAAAATCATGACATGCAATCAGTTTCTTCCATATTCCATGTTTGAGCGACTCATCTGGTCATATCGATTTTGCATTATGGCATGCAAACAATGGTTGAAAAAACGTTTTATTCAATTACGATTCACTGCGGTTAGCCAAATTAAACGATTTCATTTATCGAGTAAGGATTCATCGAATAACACCAAGGTCTAATTCCGCAGAGATTTCTCTCTGTCTCAAAATTTGCAAAGAATATGGTATATTTAAAATAAATCAAATTCGAACTTGTTTAGCATCAATGGTAACAACGCGCACCTGACTCTTATCTGACTTTTATTGCGTAAGTTTGTGGAACTAATTTTTTGTTTTTTCATAAATGTAGATACCATTTCTCGCCTCCTTTATTTCTGCGAACAGTTGAGCTTTCTGTGCTGGAGTGATAACATTTTTTCTGGTACTCCCGAAGTACCGAAGTACTCCTTTTTTCTCTTAATATAAATTGAATTATAATTTCGCAGTATGCAACTACCTAGAAATATTTATATTTCCTTACAATTCCATTCACGTGACCTCAGTTCAGAATTGAAAATGCATATCCCGTCCACCAGAAAGCGAAATATTTCGCTCAGAGTATTTTTCGACCCGTGCTCTTTTGAATTTATTTTTATTTCAAATTCTTAATATTTTAAAAATCAACCTTGTAATACTTTCGTTATTTTGTTTTTAAAATCTATTTTTGTTTGTTTTCAAGTACTTTCAGTTTTAGAAAATTAAAATTATATATAATAATTGTCGTTATGTTTTCAATCACGTTTCAATTTTGCTTTCAAACGTCGAAATTGGCAAAAATTAAACCGGTAAAAATTCACAACTAAATCTGATTACTATCGAATTTTTAAGCCCAAATGGACAATGTCAACTCGCAGAAAAACAATAAAAATAATTTTGATCAAACGGTTTTGCAACAGATGTGCTTAAACCGGATAAATCTCACAATATTCAAATTTTTTGTGCTACCAAGCTTGGCAATTTCATCGAATTTTTTTTAGAACCAAGGACTGTAAAGTCTAGTATATTGCTGTCACAGACGAAGTATTTTATCACAATAAGAAAGAAAATTGTATTAGGAATTTTTTTGTATTTTACCTTTAGACATTTATGAAACGCAAACTTTGATTTTTGGTATATATATGTTGCAGTCCTCATAGTAGTCAGACAATCAAGAAACGCTAAAGCCTTGGTGGAAAATAATCCGACAATGAATTTACCAGTTGTAAAAGTAATGGCGTTCTAGCGAAAAACACAATCTTTAACTACTGAAAAGTTCAAAGCAATTGGTCAGTAGTTGAGGAGAAAAGCGATTTTTTTCCATAGGTCCACTTTGTGTCTAATAATCCGTCTTCGTTTTATTTGCTGGAGAGGAAGGGAATTTATGGAATACTATCAAAAGCCAATACTACCGCAACATACTTCTAGCTAGTTAATCTCCTTACCGGAGACTTATTTGAATTTTAAATAATAAGTATAGAGCACAGACAGAATAAATTGTAAGATCTTATACAAAAATACACGAAAATTTCAGCTATGATAAAATGCAAAATTGAAATGTACATTGGGAACTGTTTTTTTCTCTGTCAAAAACATTTTTAATATAATTTATCTTTTTGGAGATTGATCGGCCAAGTACGGATTTATAAAACCATGTACACGCCTCCTCACCACTGAACAGACATTATTGGATTGAACATGCATTAGTTCCAGTCATACGCCTTTAGGGGCACATGCGGTAACTTTTAATGTCATTACGTGAATATTACACTCTAATCCAAAAATATTACTTCGCTAAGCAAATTATTCGGGGCCTAAGTCAAATGGCAATTACACAAAATTCCCTCATCGTAATTTACAGTCATACATCAAAATTTTAATTTCAAATCAGATTTCAAATCAGATTGCGCAAGAACTTCACGTCTGATTATTGCAACGTCATAAATGCCTCGCAATGCCTTGGACTCGGATTGGAGTCGAATTCACTCATTTTAGGTCTAATTTTTAATCATTTCTGTTTTTTATTAATTGATGCCTCCGTTATATGCGTTTTCGGAATATCTCACTTATGACCAAGTCTCAATTTATATATATATATATATACATATTGCTTGTACTCACCTCGATGAGCTAATAAAACACTTTAACACAAGTCATCATCCATTTGGGCGATGTTAAAAATCTTTCCAGATTGGATGTTTATAATATAAAATAAATGGTTCTATGGTTATGGTTCAGCATCACAGGGTGAAAATTCACTTATATTATAGCAATCTAAACCCATACTCCTTTACCACAAAGCGTTATTGCAGCTATAAAAACTTGCTAAACGAAAATGATATTCCCTAACAATTTGTTCCGTGGGTGCTATCAAGACCGTTGTATCAAGTTCACAGCGCTGTCCAATGTACTAATTCATGCTTTGTTTTTCATTTTATTAATCCAATATTATAGTCCACTACAAAATAATTCCTATTACTGGTAGAGTCTTCTATGAATAAATGTTAAGTTTTATAAAAGTTTCCGAGGGTGATTACCAACTCAATTCAAGGCTGCTCGCAATTTTTGTTTTAACGGGTATACCAATAAGCGAGCAATCTATAATTTATTCAATTTTACGACAATATAATTAATATTTTTGGTGGCCAACGCAATGTAGACTATGATGTTATTCATGTTTAAATAATTGATACCACATGTTTAATTTAAAGAAATGTGGAAAACCAGATGACATCTTCTATCATTTCATAGTCATCTAGATCAGAAATATATTTGATTATTCCTATTAATTATCCATAATTCGCAACCACCTAGGAATGAGTACATAATGCATCACAAAGTAGAGGAATTAAACTTGATTAAATATTAATAATAGAATTTAGACATGTATTTATAAGGCTGGCAATGTCAACTGTCTTCAAATTGAGTGATCATTCTGGTTGACTCTCATCAGTTTTGTATTTATTTGCGTAGGCATTGTGGATGGTGTTTCCGTTTTGTGGTGTGAGATTTTTGCCATCAAAAACCATCGATTGATTTTGATTAAAAATACAAAATTAGTATACACGTTCCATTTCTTACGAGTTTTCTAGCATCATCGCATCTCATGAAGCACTCCACATGCAGTATTTCCTCATTGGAGGTAATCTACTAAGGTTTGGAATGACCAGAATCCTATCAAGTTAGACTTCAGATTACACTAATCGAGACTTCCATCCGAACTCACTAGTTCATGACCCCAAAATATTTACGGTACGTACGTTTGTCGTGAAACAACACATCCTACTTGTCAACAAATATACTGCAAAAGATTGGGACGATATGTTTTACGGGTAAACCTTATAAACTAAATTCTAATTTGCCATGAAATTCTATCCTTTAATCAAAGTTCTATAGCTAATGCCTGTCTAACTCAGAACATTTTATCTGCAATTCTGTGCTTTAAATGCGATTTCCTTATCAATAGTGACGCTCCCTAAGAATACCGGTCAACATTTTTATCATCGATTAACTGATTCATTCATAATGTAGGTCGTATCCCCGAAAATAAAATCTATACTGAAAATGAGACCTAGCTTGAATTTAAAAAAAATTTTAATATAAGCCTTCCCCTTAAAATAAGGCCCTGTCAATAACGCGGAATTTTTTATTTTTACCTAGTCGATAGCATGAATTCTCTTACATGTCTTAAATGATTGATAATTTGTGTTTTGCATCTATTTTGAATAAAAAGGTGTTACTTATAATATGGATATCGATTTTCATATTCTGTAGATTTAAAAATCTCGTAATTCTCTACTTTGTAATTTTGTAATTAATAAAATGAAAAAATAAGACAAAATAAGAAAATTGAAATAAGACCCAGTCTTATTTCGGGGAAACAAGGTATGTATCAAATATTGTTTTAACAGAATTCAATTAAAAAATATTACAAATTTTAAAAATTTGCTTCATATCATTATTGTTGAGCAATATTATTTTGATAGATGTAATGTAATTATTTATTTGAATTATTTTATGTGTTTACTGTCAAAAAGAAGAAAATTTGTTTATGTCAGCACATAATCTAGGACTCCTGAATTAAACAACACTGAGACTGAATTTGGTCGAGTGTTAACATATATTCTAACAAATTTCTTGTGTTATTTCATTGTATATAGTTATATACAGTATATTAAGATCATCATTATGGTCAGAGGTTCACATAGCCAAACACTTTTTCACAGTCAGCAAATGCCTGTGTCCATAAGATGATTTTTCGGTGTCAATTCACGTTATTTTTATTGGTAAGAAAACTGTCCAAAGAACAATTAACAATAAACAAAATATATCATTACAATTACAGGCGCTCCAGAACCGTGTGTACCAATATGGAGGTAACTAATTTTGTTCGCCTACTTTACATCCAGTTGTGTGAAGGGACGGAAGCCTATGGGCAGGGGGTATATTCACTTGGCTAACACAGACAGTCCTCGAACTCGTAATAGAACTAAAATAGGAAAAATCGGAATAAAGTTATGGCCTAACCCTAACCTGCGTGGTACACACACTACGGGAGTATCTCATTACAAGCAGGGATAGTAGTTTCTACTACGAGTACTTACCTACCTTGAAACCAACGCTTCTTTCCGACGGCAGTCTATTTCCAAGGTCGATATACAATATGCATAGTCCTGTCGCGAGCAGGTAGCCTATTGTGTGTATTATGAACATTACATTCGCGCCATCTTACGTGTATATATAAATAAAAACAACAGTTGTCGTATTTAGAATATCTATCATGGAAGGGTGTTCGCAGTTTATAAGCACCGTTGACATGTCGGATATACGCGGCGAAAAGTTAATGATATTTGGAAATCTATGTTTTTGAAAATAAATTAATTTAAATAAAATACTTGAATACAAATTTGAGTCTTCCAACATTTAACAACCACTCGTAAAGGAATTGAAGACAAATTAGACAGTGATCTTACAGCCTCATCTAATGATAAGAATACAAAATTATTATATAAATTCTTGCCGCTATGCGCAGGTGAGGTAATTCTTATTCATGGGATATTTCTGTTTTTAAAAACTTGGATATACAGTAGGCCTACATACATTGATGTTCATAGCAAATTCCTCTCTTTCGATATGCAAGTAACTAACGAATTAATTAATGTTTTCAATTATGTATTTTGTTTTGAGTATGATATCATTATTCCTAGAGGGCTAACTATGCCCATTCTTTAGATTTCTCGCTAAGCAAAATCACCGCAGTCATTTTTAAACGTAGGCAGGCAACTTGATACAATGGCAATTTCTGATACAATTGATCATTGATAAATGAAATAACGCTGACCACAGCTATAACAAATCAAATCTTCAGCTATTGTTGTGTTCAATTGCTTTCACTCACATAAAGCCGACAATGCTGGCGACGATATAAAATAAACAAAACGTATAATATTTTCAAGTGTCAGGCAAACAGTTCCGACCGAACTTACCTTGAATCACGAGAAGGGAAAGTTTTGAACCATACGCATCTGACTATTGGCTAGAGATACGCGTAAATAAATCATATATGAATTATGGTTGTAAAATTTTATGTCATCACGCTTCGAAGAAAAAAGAAAATACGATAGGAATTTAGGGAAGGGCAATAGTTTCACATCGTCAGGCCACTAAAGTATTGATAATTGTATCAGTCAGAGTTAAATAAAATCATTCTGCGCAGCCTCGCTCTTCGAATAATTAGTGCAAAAAAATCGCAAACCTATCAATATATATATATTTATATATATACTATTAAAATCATTTAAATGTTGCGTGATTTCATATGAGTTATGCTGCCTGGATACGGAAGGACGCAGGTAAGAAATGATCAAAATTAGGTAATCTTTGTCGTAAATAATCCTAAGAGAAAAGGCTAATGTTAGTCTTTGTAAGATGGTGACTTCCTATTTTTTGGTTTCGATTGTTACAAGACACAACTACCCCCTGAAAACTGGTAGATTCATTTCGGCATACACGCGTTTCAAACACGCTGGGCATGTAATTAACCTTTCTATACATTTGTAAAATGTGTTTTGAAAACAGGAGGAGGTAACATCTATGTGGCAAGGTAGACAAAAGGTTCATTCAATACTTTTGAGCACAATGCCGATGATGTACCGGCGTAAGGTACCCTTAGGTATGATAGGTTATTCTTTGTGCTTACTGAGTTAAATTACAAAGTAAAGGCAGTTAAAGGCTACTTTACTTCTCTGCTTGGCGCGAGGCCATATTTCATTTGTGGAGCAGAATTGAGGCAGAAATGTACAGTTCTGACTTTTATGACGTCATAGAGAAGGTTTATAAATTTATGAATTTGCTATTCCTGCCAAAAATCACAGTTCATAAACTATAAACTAACAGCGGCCAGTTTTTCAACTTGTGGATGATAGTTGATCATAAGGCAAAAGATGTGTAGATGGGGATGCGTCTACAATGACACGGTAAGATTGATTGATAGGCTACGTAACGTAACGTTTGGCTTTTGTTAGTGCATCAAGTTAGGATTCCCTGATTTAATGTTATGATATTCATTGATTGTACGTGTGTGGTTTCATAGTACTGAGTATTCACCATCCGCACTTATATGATTGATTCTTAATGAGTTCGGTAGCTGTGATTCAATGGTATTATTATGAAAATGAATATAAACGTCGATGACCATGAGTCATTGACCATACTGAAAACGTCACTGCGTTATACATTATTCAAAAACAACAAATGAAATTATAATTTGGAACTCAGTAACGTGCTAAAATGTAGGGAGCTGAGGTGGTGACCGCAGCATAGCAACGAATTTCAGCATAATTGTTCGAGCAAACAGAATTATGGCAATGCGAACATACACGGACGCATAAAGACAATATATGATAACGATTGGCACTCCTTTAATTACTTGGGAAAAGTTCAATCCACAATGTCTAATTTTACAATGTTATTTCAGACATTCATGTGCAAGTTTTGTGGAACAAGATTTTGCAATGATTGTCTCAAAGGAGAATTTACCGGATTAATGAGAGAAGCTGGATGCTGCAGAAAATGTAATCAGGTACGATATTACAAATTTATATAGCTTTCAGTGTTTTTGTTTGCCTCCCAAACTTGGTTTAAACCGGTCATAACTATGAAGACATTTCAAGGGACGAGATATTAGTAAATAAAACTAAGGCAAATACTTTTTCTGTAACAGTGGCAGGCCTAAAAACAGCGCATATCCTAGTTTTCGAATTAAATTACGACATTATTTGTTGTAAGTAAACTGCTTGTCTGAGGAAGTCTGACTTTGGTCGGACGAAACGTTACAGAAATACATTTGTGTTAGTGTGCAGCAGGACTCTTTACTTGGATAGTCTAGTTAGATAGAGAACCTAATACCAGGACAAAGTTGAACACGTTCAGCCTCGGACTAAATTTCATTTGATTCATATTTTATTACATTCTTGCAGTACAAATGTGTGGGAAAACGTGTGGAATATGTCCCTGGGAAAGGTCCTTCAGAAGAAACCAAAGAGAAATATGCCGCCTGGAAGGAAAAACAAGGTAAAGGGAAGAAGAAAGGAAAAAAGAAAGGTGGTAAGAAGGGGAAGAAAAAGGGGGGAAAGAAGAAAAAGAAACGAAAGTAGATTTCCCGCGTAAGAACAAACAAATGGAGCGTGACAGCAACAATAGAGAACGCCGCCCCGTTGACATGCCAACCAAGAGTTACAACAATGAACATTCCGATACGCGCTTATGCTATGTTGGTGCTTCGACGGCTAAGCGTGGGCCTAAAACCTCAGACGTAACTTGTGCAGCGACAAGCCTACGAAGGCGCTAACAGCAAGAACAGAAACATTTCTTTAGTAATTCTAGCTTTTTATTTTACAAACATTTTAGAGCAATTCATAATAAAGTGCAATGAAATAAAAGTATGAAAACTGGTCCGGAGTAACTGTATGATTGAGCTACAAATTTATCATATCGACCTTCTCAAAAAACTGTGAATCATCCAACCACAAGTTGAAGTTCTGTATAACCCACTTTCGATTCTCAGTGCCCATTGTACAGAGGCACACCAGCATCCCTGCCAGGAACATCTCAGGTCATCTTATCCTAGGAAAATCCTTATAACAAACAGTTCCTCTACTCAGTCCCAAAGTTTAATGAGGCCATCCCACCCGCAGGTTATGACTTTAGAAGTTTCATGAGGATGCCATAAACATCCGATACAGACTTTATCATGAGCTCGAAATTTACTGAATAGTTTTGTAGTTTTCCAATCCCAGATAAAAACTTTACCGTCCCCATCACCAGAAACAACATAAGACAAATCAGGAGAAAAATCCATTTGACAAGCATAACCGGCAACCTAAAATAAGAGAAAAATTGAATTAGATAGAGGGTGAAATTTAACAGCACTTCGATGTTGTTGAACAAACAAACGTGATTACTTTCCATTGAAAGTTGTTTGCACTGCAGGGGTTTGACATGTTGATATATTTATTGTACATATTAAGTCATTAATTTGTAACTTCCAATTTCATGGCGACTCATTAAATATTTGATAGTTAACTACAAATATTTAACGAGTTGCCAAAATATCATGAAGACAAATACCATGAGCTTTGTTTCACTTCAATTATCAGGATTGAAGTTTAGCTTATATAGTCATCACAAAATTGTTTTCAATCCTTGAAACTGTTGAAATGCTAGGGAAACATTGTGAGCTTTTTAGCTGAATTCGGAGAAACTGGGTTATCGAATTATGGTGTGTTCTTAGCTCAAACTGCAAATATATTAGAACAAACTGCCCACGCCTGGTTTAAACACGGTTAAGGGTTTTTCCATTGCAACTCACTCACCATATGTCCTTTAAACTTCTTCTTCTGTTTGACTCTGAATCTTCCATGAACATCAAATATCATAATTTGATTATCAAGAGACTGACAACCCAACCATTTTCCGTTGGGTGATAAAGTAACAGAAGGCATTGAATGCATCCCAGGATCAGCAATATATTTGAAATCAACTGGAATATCCCTAAAAAAAAAATACAGTCAATTTCACTGGTCTTAACTCCTAAATGATAAACTCTCACAGTATGCCAATGCAAATAGGTTTCAGCAATGTGTCAAAGCCAACAAACCAAAGTTATACTTCCCTCGACAATCATATTTTAACTATGTTACAGTCACTTTGTGTTATATGTAAAAAGATTCTATTCTTAAAACATAGAAAAAATGACGGATAATTAGACCTGCCAGATCACTAGTAAGCACCAATTACAAATTCCCATCCATTCAAAAACAACTATAACTCTGGGTGGTATTTAAACTCCAATCAGGCATTCGATTCAAGTTGAAGACAATTTTTACTTCTCCTCACTTTACTACCTCAGCTCAAAAAACCAGATTTTGATAACAAAACTTTGTCATACGCAAGACTTCCTTCCTTGTCTGTTGAGAATGCTTAGTCAGAAGAGAATGCTTCTTGAGTGTGAGTGAGTTAGAATTTTTTAATAACTCGATAATACGACTACAGCTCTGACTTTATTACAAAGAAATGCATACTAAAATCCGACTTCCCAGACCTAACAAATACTATCATAATAAACTTGAGTATAAGACATACCAACTTCTACACTTAACATGATCAATTGAATAAAATATTAATATATCAAACTAAAGGGATCATTGTTCTTGAAAATGTTCCACTCAAACCATTCTTGAGATAAGCAACTATATAAACAGATAAACGTAGGCTTACCAATAGTTACCATATATATCAACCAAAAAACCGGGACAGTGTATATGGACAAACCTTGGTTCGATTTTGAGGCTTAGTAATATTCAAATTATTGAAAAACATGCACTTTATTTTCTGTACTTTGAATATTTTAACTGTAGATGTTAAATTAACTTATTAAACATATAATAATTATGACATAACAATATGGTACTTCTCTCTCTCTTTCTCACTGGAATATCAAGATTACCAAGCTCGGGTGCCGGGACAACTTATCAAATCGAGACTGTCCTGGCTAAACCGGGACGTATGGCAAGCCTAGATAAAGGTAGCCTACTGTTTGTTATGTAAACATACCGTATTTCCCGGCGAATTAGTTGCTTTTCTAGACCCAAATTTTTGGCCTGATTTTAGAGGGGTCGTCTTATTGGGCGAGTATGATAATTTTCATTTTTTTGGCGTTGCTTTATTATTCAATTCGAACCATAAAATACCTTCGGCGATGATGGCGTGATGTCTTATTTGAGCCGTAAAACTCTTTCATATTATCGCTGACTTGAGGTTTTTTCGTACCGTAAAATCCTCAAAATAATGAGTGGCAGCATTGCGATAAAGCGGAATAATTGTTGCAGCAACAGGGCAGATATGTTTTAAATTGCAAAAATACGAATCGAAACAACATATAATCGTACATGTTTATGTCCACGGATTGCATTGGTAATTTGAGAGCAGTGATACTATTAATATTGTTGCAATCGCAGATTAAATTGATTGTGGAGTGAATTGATTAAACTGATTGTGATTTGTGGAGATTTCGAGGTGATAAATATATATATATGTTTCAGATATACACTATTATTCACATTATTATGTCCATAGATTGCCGTGTTATTTTAGATCGGTAATGTTCTTATATGGTGGACGCAATCGCGAGTTACGTTGAACACAATTAGATTGAAATTGAACGTAGTTGTTATGGATTGGATATTATGCTACAAAAAATGTCATCATAGGCTATTTTTACCAATGAGAAAACGCAGCGACTGCTCAAAAGCCTTTGCATGGGTATATTTGAGATTACGACGTTGATGCGATTATACTACCCGTCTTATTGGTAAGTTATGTGCAAAAACCCATTTTTTCAGGCTTAAAAACGGGCCTTGTCTTATTTGCCAGGTAGACTTGGAACGACAGGAAATACGATATATAAATTTGCTCACCATTCCCAAACTCTCAAACTTTTATCATCAGATGTTGAAACAAATCTTTTGTTATCATCGACGAATGTAATGGTATTTACTGCTCCAAGATGACGATCATATTCTTGAACAATTTCACCAGATCTCGTATCCCACTTGAAAATAAAGAGATTGCTAGATTGCAGAAATATTTAAACGTGTATAATATTGTCTTTAGGTCTTACCAATGTTTTGATAGGGATTCTAAATGATTTGAACAAATTTCGAATAATATTTTAGAATAATAATTTCAGAATCATCCAAAACTCAATGTTAGTTTAAGATATGGTATAGTTTAGTATAATTAAAATGTATTTAATGGAAATTTTTTTTGATTATAGTAATGGCAAACTTACAGCGACTATTTTTTTATCTGAAGTTCCAGCAACAAAAATATTTTGCTTATCTTCATCTGGATTAAATTTGACACAATATGGAACTTTATTGCTCGTGAATTTAGCTTTGCATTCACCTATAAAAATGAATTCCGTGATTAATAACAACAAAAGTACGACTTAGATAAGTCATTATAGAAGGATTAAATCTTATAATCTGTAAATGAACATCCAAGGCCGTGTTCATCCGGTATTGGTTTTACAAAATCTGAAAATGAAGGAATGAATGCTCTTTCTAATATGAAAATTATTTTAAAATAGTTGAGGTTAAAGCTAACATAATTTGCAACCAACGATTAGACTGAATTATTTGAAAAACAAAATAGCTATCTATTAAATTATGGATATCCACTTTTAAGCCAAACTAACTTATCAATGGATGGATGACAAACCTGTTTCTGTATCCCATAACTTAATATATCGATCATAAGCGGCTGTTAAAAATTCTGATCCATCATTTGAAAAACAAGCATCTCTCACTGCTTTTGCATGACCGTGATAAGTTCGCAGTAATCGTCTTTTATTATAAACTTCCCAAATCTAAAGATATTATGCATAATATTAGATATGAATTCCAAGAGACATTTATTAAATAAGTAAAATTGACGATTGTTTGACTGAGTGAAAATCTTTTTTGATCCAGTTTAAAGTCAAACCACAAGAGCCTGATGAGGATCCATGTAACTGCTGGTCAGTCATGGTTGCCGGTTGCCGCCACCATTAAGTCTATGTATCTGAAACAAACAACCGTGGTTGGCCATATGATTGATCCATCTTATCAACATTCCTCTCCCTTGAAATAAATATACAAATCCCATGGCAGGTTGTTCAGTGAATGCATCTTGTTTTTTTACAAAAGTAGGAATTTAAAGTCTGACTAAAAACATGCCTCCTGGGGCAGGCTGGGCCATGATTTAAATTTCTAGAAGTCAGTCAAGTCCCTAACTGAACCTGGAAAAAGCTGGCGAATATCCCAGTTTCACTATCCCAGAGTCAGACGTCAAATATTTAGAGTCTAATTTAGAGATTAGAGTCTAAACCGGACATACTACGCCTGCGGGCCAAATCCGGCCCGCTGAGTAATTCAATCTGGCCTGCCTGATGCTGCCACAACCAACTAAAACCCATTCTTGAAAATTCATTTTTTTTTTTTTCAGATTGCGATTAAATTTAGTTTTAGCACAAGGCTTATTTGTTTTCCACTTTTGCTTTTGTAACACTAACTATTGTTCATAAAATGTAATTTTTTACATCAGACTTACATGGCCCGCCATTCTAGGCGGGAAATTTTTTTGGCCCCTACTCCCTAGTCCAAAAACCTTTCCCACTCCTGGTCTAAACTGTTGTCAACTCAAAGTCAAGCAAAATTCTTTCGATAGAAAAAGGATAACATATGGCATTGATCAGATCCCACAGTCTCTTGATCATTGACATATCCACAGATATCCCAACAGACTATTAAGATGTCTATGCTTTACTTACTTTAACTTTGCAGTCCATTGATGTGGAGAGCAACAAATGACCAGATTTTGGAAATAAACGAATTGCTGAAACTGCTTTTGTGTGACCACTCCATGTATGGATAAGTTTTTTTGGCAGAAAACATCTGTCTGGAGGAGTATCTGATTTTAAATTCACACCAACATCTTGAGGTATATGGAGGTAAGATCGACCCTGAAAATAGAAATACCATGTTAGCCTAAAATCCAACTCATTTTAAAGCTAAGAACTTCCTAATTGGCGGCCATCTTTAATAAGATATGCGAGGCACACATGGGCAAGATAAAGCATGACATCAGAACAAGTTAAAAAGGCATGAGAGATTTTTTAGGTTCAAACAGCATCACTTTACTAGAGGTAATAAAACATGCATTCAAATTTCAGGCCACTTTCTTCAAGCCCGATCCAGTATTATGCCCGGTCATTTTCATTGATCAACAACTGCATCCCTTCATTGGCTATATTTCACTGTAATATATTGTGATACACTTACCTGATAATCATTTGGATTTTTGACATGTAACGTTGTCTTTTCTTCGATGGTTGCTTCCTCTGCTTTCTTCCCTCTCTTTTTACGTTTTGCAAGCAGTTCATCGATTTCTATTTGTTCTTCCTGAAATCCATATACAATTACACATTCGTAATTTCACTGTTTTTTTTAATACAAGGATATTAATAATATATTACTTGAGATGACTTATTGAAACTCACCAAACCCCATTCAATGTCCTAGTGATATACACCATGCCAAAATAAATGTAAACACGTCATTTTTTTTTCAGGCCAATAGCGTAGTGGTAGCACATTGGCTTAGCAAGTTAGTGACCGCAAGATAAAAAAACTCAAGTTCAAACCCCATGTTCATCTCAACCAGCATGTAAAATAAATAAATTGGGTAGGCAATGTAGCGTCGAAAACAATCTGATCTTTCATATAATGCTCAATATCTATCAATTCACTGCATATTCAAAGCCAATGCTAGGCAATTGAAAGTTACCTCAGAAGGTTTGGAAATTTTAACATCGTCAACAAATCCACCCCAAGGTCCAAGAAATCCGTCAATATCCTCAGGATTATCACATTTCTGTCTCTTTCTTTTATCAGCTTCTCTTGTTTTGATTTTTTCAAAAACAGTTCTCTCTTTTTCATTGTTTTTGGCCATCAGTTCCTCACCAACATCAGCTGGAAAAAATAATATCCGATTGAGGAATGACGAAAAAATTAGTTAAAAACAAAACTGAAAAAAATTATTCGAACAAAATTATGTTATCAGATTCTGTATCGGGAATCACTGTTTTCCTTTCGATATAGTTGGAATTTGGATATTGAAAATTTGAATGGCCTAGTTTCGAATATGACATAAATTTAAATTTGCTGCAAGATGGACTTATTAAAATGATTCAAAAGTAATGACATGGGAGTATTTAAAATACAGGGTGGCCCAGAAAAAAAAGAACTATAAATTTATGAATTACTTCAACGTAAATGAAGAAAATATATTTAATACTTTTGTTTGTGTATGATTGCACCCAAAAGTTTCAGTAATCATAGAAGTTATAAAAAAAACATAAAAACATACCAATCACTGTTTTGTTTCCTGCTGTTTCATCAATTCCAGATTCATCAATGGAAGGATCGACTGCATAGCCTGAAGAAAAATTGTAATATTCAGATATATTTAGAAAATTTAGTGAGAACATAATAAGAATAGAAAGTTATTAGCAATAAAAATTGACTTATCAACAGGTATTTTATATACTCTTTATGAGCAAGTTAATAAATGAGAAAGCACTCATAATTTGGAACAGATAGATACAGCTGGTATTTAGATTTTTATGAAACAATGTTTCTGTTTTGACTTATTGAAAACTATTAACAGGGTTGGGTTGTGTGCTCGAATGGCTTCATAATAAAAATTTGTTATGCGAGTAGCTTGATCACCAAAAGTCTGCAATCTCTGATGCATGAATAAGGTAATTCCACATAACCCGATGCAGCGTTACCCAGGGAGGTGAAAGAATTAAAAAAGTTTCAAAGGAAGTAAAGTGTTGAATTTATAAAAAAGGTGGTTGGGCACCACTGACCTAATGTGACTGATTTTTCTCCAATGTTAGTATATAGAACAGTAGTGTATTACCATACCATAACTATAAAATGTCTTTCTCTGATTTTCAAACTGGAATTTATCGACATGAGCTTCTTGCACAAAGCCTGCTAATGTGTTCTTTTGTGCCAATTGTTGCCTTGTTTTGAATGGATTTGCTGGTCCCTGTAAACAAAATTAATCACATGTTCAACACGAACAAGGAAAGAAGGCTTCAACAATGGAATCTTTAAAGAAATAAAACCTGTTCTGGTGCAAACATCTGTTGATATGTTGGATTGAACATAACCTCCTTATTCGTGACATGATCAATGGCTTTTGTTCCTTGTACATCCTCCTGTGTAGATTAAAGAAGAAGATGCAGTTCTATATTTTAGGATAGGATAGGATTTACATATTTATCCTGGGGGAGAGGAAAGCCGATAAGACGGCTTATCCATATGGCACACCACGGCCTCTCGTCCGGCTACCATTCCAAGTCGGGTATGGGATTAGTTATATTGTTTGTTTTCTGAAGCATGGACTTGGTGGTGGAGGAAGCCATAACCGACCAGCAGTTACGTGAACCACCCAACGACGGCGAGGAGTCCAGCAATCCTCTCGCACATAACCATCCCTGCATGGGATTCGAACCTGCGAACCCACGCAGAGTAATTAGAGGTGCGGTGGCGAGCGTATTCCTAACGCTTAGCCCGTTGAGCCACACCGCCGCGCCAATAATATAATATATAATTATTAATAATTTTAATAATATAACTTGTACATGACCATGAGTTTTGAAGAATAACTGAATAATGAAACAAAAGGTTCCAGAAGCTCAGGTTGCCCTGACTAGAGGTGGGCCTAGGGGCAGCCTGTTGTAGGGGACAGCAGAACCAAGCTAGTTCATCTAATTACACATGTTTTTCTCAATGTGCTTGAATTTAATTAAAAGCTGAAATTACGTTATGTAATACGGTACAGTAATAATTGCAGAATTGACTTGTATCTTACCTTAGTTATAACTTCAGGAGCCGCAACAACCAATTGCATTTTTGAACTCGATGAAGGACCATCTGTGGATTTTAAGTGAAGCGTTGACTCTTCAGAAATAACTTTGCCTGCCGCGATCTCACCATCCGCTGACCCATCACTATCATCTGAATCTGCATATGCAGTTTTCAAAGCGAATATAGCAGCCATTTATCTTTTAAACTGTTAGAAATGTTGTATATCTCAATATCTGTATATATGGGCTTTGGTCTACTAACCCAAAGTGAACATAATTCTGAAACACTAGAAATCTAACCAAAACAACCACAGCTGCATGGACGTTCTCCCGACCTTTGACCCAAGAAAAGTTCTCCCTACACTTCGCCATTGCAAAATTTTAGACGCTTATTTTGAGAGATCGCGCCTACAAATTGTTTGAAGTTTTAAAAGTTTGAAACTATCATTTTCATATAAGAAAGAATTTTGGCGAGATGGGATGCATGCCCGATCATGACTGCAAATCTTCGGCTTATATGTAAATATTTTATTAATTTTATTCTATGTAAATATTTTATTAATTTTCTTTCTTTCCATGAAAACTTAATGTTATTTTTGGACACACCTAAAATATGTTAAAACATATTTGAAGCATTTTTTATTCATGTTTATTGATATTAATGTTGGGTGGTAACAGACTCCGATGACCGCATGGTCGTATCGTTGCCACCCAGTCTATACCGAGAACTGTTTCGCTTTTTATTAATTATGTTTTTGTTGTGTATATGTTTTCTGGTGGACAAAGCAAATAAACTCTCTCTCTCTCTTCATATAGCAATATGTCGGGAAATGAGATACTTTGTGGAGTAGGCGAATGCCACGGTTAACGGAACACAAGTTTGCATCTGGGATTACAAAGGCGATGACAGGATGGTGTAGAGTAGACTGTCTTGCTGGTATAATTTTTGTGGCGATCTTCACTATCATAGGCATTGTATTGGGTTTTCTTGGTGACAGATATAACCGAATCAGAATACTCTTCATAATCACATGTGTACTTATTTGCTCTACAATGACTTTGATGACAGGCTAAATGAGAATTCGAACTGATATAATCTGATATAAACGGGCCAATTCATAACGTTTTACACATTCATTTCATGGCGTATTATTGTTTTTGTTTTGTGTATCTACTGTTTTTAGGAACATTGGCTTCATTAATTATATGGGCCTACATGTTTACGCGCGTTATTAGTCAGTTAGTGTTTTCCTGATAATTGTTTTTATAATTGTCTGAGCGCAGAATTCACAAGCATTGTTTTGATTTGTTTGTACGTGTCTTGATTTACTGTATCACATTTAATTAAATGCTTCTGGGATGTATTGTCATTATATAGCGATGGTTAGATCTATGATTACATTATGCTTGAGACAGAGGAGAATTTGTCACACCATGCAAAAACACCACAAATTTGATCACTATATATTCCTTGGCCATCAATTCAATTCCACACCAATACCATGCCTAAACATAAAATGCGTGAATACATAAACGAGAATATCGGTCAGAGACCGAAGACTTATCGATCGAAAGTTAGGGTATCCCCAAAACCGCGCTCTTACTCCATATTGACACCTTGTGTCCCATCACTAATTAATTAATAACTCGCTAATTATACGACATAATTCACCCAAAATCAATAGTTGAAGGATAGAATTCAACATAGCTCTTCTGCTCGCCTAGTTGCAATAATTAGTAACCTTGCAGTAACTATATTATACTATCTACAACCCTTATACCCCCAATCAAACATAAAACCATGCATCTATGTTAAGAATGACCTCACATGAAGAAAAACGTGAGAGACATGCGCATTAGGGTTATAAAGCGAACAGCTATTCAAAGAAAATACTTCCAGCTACCTTGTTAAAAAAGAGAAAAAACAGCACGCATGTCACAGTACCATTTCTTGTGTGCCAGACTAGGTCAGGCTAAGCTACGGTAACATATAACAATTTTAATATAGCTGTCCAACATTCTCATAAAAACAATACAATGTGCAAGTGTGGAGTGAACGAACATCACCAGATGTTGGTTTCCAAATAGTAATTTTTAACATTTGGAAACTAAATGAAACTTAACTTGTTTTTGAAAAGATTCTTTGGACTTAACGTCTTCAAGTTTAAGGGAAGAGTATTTCATTTAAGGGGAGAGAATTCCAGTAAGTGCTAGGCCTTGTGTTACTTAATATACCCGCTTGCTCCATTAAGTAGGCTAGGTTATAGCTTCTTTACCCTTTTAAAACAATACGCGTTGATGCTTGTCATTTGCTTTTGTCTGCTACTCGTGTACTGCTCTTGTTTTATCATTTTCAACCAAGCCATGAATTTTGCAAAACTTACTCTTCATTCTGTACTATTTTGATGAGCCAGTAATAATCCCTTTCAACAAGAGATATTCGTCGAATATCAACTCTCCCACCCGAACGCTTGACTCTAGGCACACCATCTTGGCGTACATCGTATGCTTGTAATAATATGTCATATTTACACTGTTTTGTTGTGTTCCGTTCTCATTGAGCTCATGATGTCCTATTTACAAGTTTCGCAGTTGCTCTATAGTATCCAATAACTCATAATTGTGGGTTTCTGGCATCTCATAGTTTAATTCGATTTTTTTTGTTCTTCCTCTGTTTTCTTTGATTGTTTTAACCGAGTAAATGTTTAATATTCCATTGTCAATGTGGTACTCCGTAGTTTATTTCAAATTTTTTTTGTTTCGTCTTGTACGATTATGTTCAATTTAGTAATTTTTATTATTGACATGTTCTATCGATATATTTGTTGCCTGAATTCGGATGCAAGCTGTCGACTAGATGACTCATTTAATCTTTCGCGAATAGCCGATATCCGTTTATGTAATTTGTGACATTATTGATTTCTCTTCCTTATAGAATATTGGTTTTGCACAACAAAAAATAATTGTTTTCATTTAGGGGCGAGGCCAGCTCAAATCATTAGGTAAAAAAGTCCTTTACATACATGACTTGCAATACACATTTTGTGTAGCTGATCAATAAATCAAACCATCTTTCTTTCAGCAATATAAAAAGGAAAACAACTTGCATGCAAATACATTTATAATACAATTAAGTAGAAAAAAGGCCATATATCGTAGCTATGTCATCCCACTTTCAAGTGGTCATATGACGTTTGCGTTTTGGCAAAATGCTCATTTATTTACAAGTTGCGAATTTGACTGTGATGTTTCATGCTGTTGTGGTTACAGTGCTCCGTCTCCGTCCAAATCTAAGAAAGCTACGGGCGACAGTACTTGTACTGCTCGTTCTACGTCTTCCGTTGTCGACAGCATATTTCATATTTCGTTTTTCCAGTCTTCTATGAATCGCTCTTCTCACCTAATCACAAAAAACACTTCAAGCATAAAAGGCAACAAACAAATAATAAAGCGGTTTCTTAATAAATCAGATTACCTCTCCGTTGAAAAGGCAATATACTATGAATATTGCAATGCCTTGCGTTGAATTGAGAATTATGAAAAGCATTGTGAACACTTGAGAGAAATGAGCAAGAAATCCACACACCCACGGAACGCCCAGTATGGGAAGAAGTACTAGAGCGCCTGTAAATAATAAAAAAGTAAAATAAAAACAAGTCAAATTTCATTGCTGTGGTAGAACAGGCCTACAATCCTAAATGCGCCAATCAACTCTGCGAGATCGGAATTAAGTTCTGTCGATCGCAGTAGAAACGCATCAACATTCCATATAGATATATATCGGTGTATAAATACTGTGAAAGTAATCTTACCTTTGACCGCTGTTTTAGCATCCTGAAAGAAATGATACTTGTCTGTAGATTCCAATGGGGCATTTTTGTTGTTAAACGATGGTGATCGCACTTTTACTTTAGGAGAACAGCTAACTGAGTTTCTGTACATCACCGATGTTCGGCTATTGTAAAGCCTGAAAAAAAAGAATCAATGTTGCTTGATACAAAATAGATCAGTTTAACTAAAAACGTATCAGGCTGCTTTAAAATATACCTTGTCGAATCTCCGCTTACAGTTTGGAATCTTGGTGCTGAAACCTCTTTGTTATCGTTGCTGTGTGGATGCAGTGATTCTGTTTTGAACGCAACAGCTAAGCTTTCCGTTGAAGAGACAGAGTCGTCTTCTTTGATATCTAAAATATGTCGATATGCAATTGGTATACGTTTGCTGTCACTAAACAGCTTTTATTGGACACGTAGTGGACATAACGATCGTTTCAATATTATGTTGTTGTTGTTCTTGTTCTTTGACACGTTTTTAAAAAGTCGCTTTTCTCTTTGATTACTGGACTAATTGCTTCGAAATTTTCAGTGGTTGAAGATGAAATTTTTCTCCAGAAGGCTATTACTTTTATTTATTTCAAATATTTCTGTTAGCTCTGTAAGATTTGTTTTTGTTTGCTATGACGTCATTAAACGTTCTGCGGATATCGGACGCCATTTTGTGTCCAACGGACCATCTTGCAATTTCAATTCACGCTGTCACAAAACAGGACCTTCTAAAGATAGAGAAGTTCTGGTACCGTAACACAGCGCGGTGACACTGAACCAACTCGTAGCTGTCAAAAGCTTGAAAATCCATACAAATATGAGAAATAAAAAGATGAAACTTGGCAGGTGGGTAGAGTTGTGTTTCTTTTAACCATATTTGAAAGTTTCGCGTTTCTACATTTGAAGGAGGGGGAATAGGGGGTGTGCATTTCCGATACGTCGATAATATCTTTATCAACCAATTTGCGGCCACCGTGTTTTCGTCTGTTTGATTGCTGTGATGGGGTGCTTTGTTTATAATTTAACGAGTTTTGTTCGAAATAACCGTGTTCTTGAAATATATGAAGGTCAGAAATGCAATTAGAAGCCCAATGTTTTCACGCTGTCACAATACCAACAATTGTCAACCAATTTGCGACCACCGTGTTTTGTCTGTTTGATTGTATGGCTGCGTATGCGATAGTCTCGACGCAACAGAAACGATGATCAAGGCTTGAAATCCGTGGTCGCACACTGGTCGTTCGGTCGCAAATACGTCTTTCGAGTGCCGTACTTTGGGGATTTGTATAGCTTTAACCCTTTGTCGTAGAAAGTTAATACGAGGTTTAGCGTGTAGAATAAATGCCGCCAATGCACCCACGGTGAAAAAATTAACGGGTTAGATATATTGGTTTTTGTTTTATAGCGGTTTGAATGAAATTGTCCGCAGACTGGCTACACCACCCTAGGCCTGGTGAGTTGTCCGTGTAGTCGAATTGTCCATCAGCCCTAAACGGCTATGACAGTCACTGTACCAAAAATTGTACCCCGATTCGGCTGGTGTTAAGTTGACGCATGTTATTTAGCAGTGTTCCCTCTAAGGTGTGCGCGTGTGCGCGCGCACACAGCTTTCAGAGGCTGCGCACACGCATTGATTTACTGCGCACAGGCGTATTTTGATGTAATGTAACAATGTGCTCGGTTGGCAGGTTGAGAAAGTTTGTTGTTGGCCCACTTATCACCCGGTTAGAACGCCAAAATTTTTTTCATTGGTTTTTGCACAAATATTAGTCATTTACCAAAAAGTGCGCACACACAAAAATTTCTGCGCACACATACTACAAAAAAATTAGAGCGAACATTGTTATTTAGTAACGTTTTTATGTGAAATGTTTGACTGTGGTTCGGTACCTGATCCGATAATACGGTACATAATTGACTCATATCACGAGATATTTCAACTGATGTTTCAATTGTCACAGGACCTAAAATATCTATGACAGTCCCTGTACCGTCACGGTACCCCCGATACAGGTACTGGTAAGTCACCGCCGGTATGTTAGTCGTTGGTCACCGCATATGATTTTTGGGGAATTGTTCTGCGTGTCCATATATTTGAGCATTGCTCTCTTTTACTAATGAGTGACATTTTGTCGATCGGTATCAGTGTCCCAGAAATTTTCTGACTTTGATTCTTGTTTGGTTTTGAGTCCTATTAATGATCAGTAGGTATAATCAGTGACATTCGGTATGATCTAAAAATACTCACCGTTAATTCCCTGCTTACACTCTTCCTCCTCTGTTGTTACCTGTAAAAGACAAGGAGATGTAGATACAACAATAGGCACTCTTGTAGGCGTTGTCTTTCCGTTACCGGCTTGGCCGTGTAATCGATCATATGTTCCAAAATGTTGTTGTTCTTCAATCGATGATGCTTGACCAGAAGCATACCTCGAAGATGAAGATGAACGTGGAGGGCTGGACTTCGAACCATTGTTGTACATTTTATTTCTTGATCGTATTTTTGAAGAAGTTTTCAAACTCGTTACACAAATCTAAAAGCGAGAGATTGTTTTCTAATGTATTTAACTGTTGAACCATCAAAATTTCATGCATATTGTGCTACTTACATGAAGAGTCTTGCACATTATAATGCTATTGAAAACCAAAACTAATATTGCTGGTATCAAGAAGCTCCAAATCATCCAATTTGAAGTGCTCAACCAGCACCTCTCATATTTCTGCTCACCTGAAAATGAATGGATACCAACAAAAATTATTTTACTAAAATTGAGATTAAGTACTAATCTGCTTCAATGGCGCAAAATTGATTATCAAAAATAGTACATAAACCTACCAGAGTCCCTGATTGTAACTTTCCCTTCGTTTCTTGGTGGAAAAGGCATTGTGCCTTCTGGACATTGGGGTGTAATTTCTACCTCACTTCTCTTCTCGGCAATCTCCATAACATACAAGTCATGTGGAATTCCATAACCGGCTGCAATTGCCACAATCAGTACTGGAATTAACCATCCTACGGCATACATCCAATTGTAGCTTGCAATTTTTGATCGCATAAAGACCTTAAAAAAGTAGGAGAAGAAATAGGTATATACAGTATTACTGTTTGCACGTAGCACTCAAGCACTCAATAGAATAAAAATCTTAAAATGTTGTACCTGGACTACGTATAAGTATAAAAATATTCCTTCTACTAGCATCCACATAAACGAGGCTAGAAGAAAGTAATGTGTCAACACTGTAGAAATCACGCAAACTGTATTGTTCTTTAGAAAAATATCACCCATCAACTACAAGAAAACATGTAAATAATATGTTACAAAAATGTTACATTGCTTTCAACTAATTACAACACATGAATGTCTTACAAATAAGATATGAACTCCCAGAAGAGCCAATGAAAGGTTAGTGTGTGCTTTGAATCGTTCATTCCGGACAAGATGTCGGACCAAGTAAAAAATGGTAAGAGAGGCCAATAATCCAACCACAGAAAGTGCTGATCCGATGATTGAAATGGTATCAAATATCTAAAATACAATATTTTATTATTTTGAATGTCATGTTATTTCGCAATTTATAAACGACTATAGTATGAAAATGTACCAATGATTCTTGTTCTGTCATATCAAACATCGTTTCGGCTGGCATCATAAAAGCTGCGAAGTTTGTTGTGTGATTACATTTACATGTAACTCCTTGTTTATCAGCGGATACCACGTGACAACCTTTCGATTTCCATGAAATTGTTTCTGCTTCAAGATATTCACATGATAGGCAGACTTGTGAATTTGATTTATCAGATGAATCCGTTAAATTTAAAAATGTTTCTTCATCAAATCTGATCCTGAAATTTAAATGTTTAAATTGTTTTTATGACAACGGATATCTACCAACGTGGGTTCCAAATAAAATAAAAATTAAAGTAATGGTGAGAGCAATTTTCATATAATTACTGAATTATGTTGATATTTATGTTAATACATATAATACTTAAAAAACTACATAACTGCTCAAAAAATGATGCCACCGTTATGTATTATTCAAAATATATTACGTTGCCGTCGTACACCGATAAAATCGGATTCGTTCTCGGGCAATCTCCTAACGAAGAGCTTTTTAAGCAAGCTATGCTAAACCAGAAATTTTTAGATTTGAGCTTCATATATCTGTATGTATAAAAGGCTCATTGTGTGCAATATGCAATTTCTATAAAGAGCTAACCTACCAATATGTTACTGGCACTGATCGTTTAACTCCGTTTTGCTTAGTCGATAACGAAACCACGCCTCCTTCACCGATAAACGATTTATTTTGTGTCATTTCTCCAGTAGAAGGTTCAACACTTCTTGTATGACGAGAATGGTTTTCTATATCCACTTCATCCAACACTGAAGAGTTTGTTGTCAATTCCGATTGCTTTATCAATATTTCTCGAATCATATGAGACCATGATTTATATCGCAAAGCATACACTGAAAACAAGTAATTAAATTGAAATAATAGATGATTTAAACTAGTTAAACGTTGGCATCGCATTTTAAAGATATTTCGCTCTAATCCTATGACTTCTACGTCATCATTGGTGAGATGGATTGAGACGTCTGCGACGAATTAAGTCTTTTTGAAAATACAATAGCATATATACGTATTGGCTCTCGTTATCTTGATCCTTGTTTAATGCGAAAGTGAAACACTTGATCACACGGAAGGGTCCCAAATGCAGGTTACAAGCGTGTTAATTTGATTATGTACGGGTTTTCGGAGTTTTCTTTCCATCTATAATTAGCATTACCTTTCAGATCCTCTCCTTCCGAACGATTGAGAGTACCAATATCATCTGTCCAAATGAATGTGTCATCGTATTTAAACTGAGCAATTGTCTCTGAGTTTTCTGTTGGAAAAATAATTCATACAAAATAAGCCTATTGTACTGTAGCGTACTACGTCGTCAAATCATATAAGGTGGTTGAAAAAATATTGGCAAATATGTGCATTGGCAAAAATGAGCTTCAACTCACGCTGAAATTCTACACGAGATATGCTAACAGAAAGAGAATCTTTTTCTAAAGTGTAATTTTTTTCGTTTGCATTCGCTTTCTCGCTGAGGATGACGTCTGATACAGTTCCGACATAGCGTTCATTAGTCAACAACATTTGATGCAATTTCTCACTGACTTCATCCAAGGACATCTAAATATTGTGATATAAAATGACTCTCGTATGATGAATGTGCGTGTATTTACTTTGTACCGTATTATAAATTTACCAAGCTACGAATAGTTCTTATTGTATAGCATATATATAGTATCGAAATCTGAACTGAAGAGGGGAGTCCATTGAAATGTATATACATCCATTTACGCGTTTGACCTGTGACCTGATCTGGAAGGCAGTACAGCTCAAGTCTATTGATAATTGATATACGAAATATTAAATTATAATATTTGAACTCTTCGATTTTTCGACTTCAGTCCATGTAAAAAGCTTGCCAAATCGTAAGAACATCTTGAATTCTCCTACCTGGGCCCATATGGCACTTGAATTGATGTTAACCGCATTGTTTACTAAGTCCATGTAAAGATTCAATATATGTTGGCCCAACAGAGAAGGTGCTGCTCTAAAAAACGCTGCCTGCATCGTTATAAATGCTGTGACATCTTTGTTACATCTCCAAGCGTAGTTTGAATATCAAACAAGTGTTAACATATCGTCGGTATTTGAGATCATAGTTCCAAATGGAGATTGGGTGGATCCGTTGGCGGGTTGATTTGGTCAACTTTTTAAGAACAGTTTTCCACAACTTGGCAACCTGTATATCAGAATTAATTTGCTAAATTGGGAACTTTTTTTGGTACTCCCGTAGTGCGTGTACCAGGTTAGGATTATGCTATTATTTTGTTCACATTTTCCTTATTTTAGTTCTGTTACGAGTTCAGGGACTGTCTGTGTTAGCCAAGTGAATATACCCCCTGCTCATAGGCTTCAGTCCCTTTACACAACTTGCTGTAAAGTAGGCGAACAAAATCAGTCAACAATACCTCCATATTGGTACACACACTTCTGGAGCGCCCTTTTTTAAATTAAGACTAATTTTTGAACATGTTTGTATACTCTAAACAGGAGTTATTCACTGAGCTAGGTGATTCCAATCAGATAGGCCTACTCGATTAGGTTCGAGTTACAAATTCATCGAAATGGCGTATATAAGGACATCAGGAAATACGACCTTCTTTGTGTGTCTATGTTATAATTTAGAGTTGTTGAAAATATTTTAAAAGTGGTTTATTTGATCATGATTATGACCACGATTCAAAAGTGATTAGGAGTTGCACAGACCCTTTACTCACGTTAGTTCTTTGCACATAATATCTTCGATCAAATCTTCTAATTCTTGAACGCTTCCAATTATTTTTGTAGCGTATTGTCTGTTTTTATTTTGCGACAGCATGTATATAAGGCGGAATTTATTTCTTGCAAATACCTTCTCAGGATCAACAAAAAATCCGCGATGGATCGTAACATTTTCAAGAGCCTGAGAAAAAAGTCATTAAAAATTTACTAATATACTTCTTTTAATACAACGGTTTTTATTGTAGTAAATGATTTGATAAGGAACTTGCCATCACAATGTTGACAACTCCTTCAATTGCGGTATGAAGGTCGTCATCATTGCATTGATTTTGTAAATCGCAATCACTTCTGTGTGTGTCCACAACGTCTTTCCATAATCGCACTAGATATCCAATGTTACACCTCCATTCTCCATCAATTACTTTGGACAATATTTCATTCAAATCCCGGTAAACTTGCTTGGAAGACAAAACTGCATTCAGCCGATCCCTATCAATGAAGAACAAAATTTCATCAATTCTAATTTCTCCATGCAGCCATTTAGAGTCTCGTCATTAATTTATTTGGTGTGTTTTCCTCGTCGTCCTATTTATGACTGTTCAAATGAATTCTCGTTCAATGTACGGTTGATGGAATAGTGCATTGAAGTAATGAAATAAATCGATACTCTTGAATATTTTTGACATATACAACAAAGCATCACTATATTACTTACCCTTCTTCTGCCATTGTTTTTGTAAGCCATGATTGTGGAACGACACTCTCAAGTTCTGACATTCGTTGGTTAAGAATATCTATCACCTGCTCAAGTTCCTCAACCTGCGTTGAACTGAGTTCTGACGCTGGAAAAAGAATAGTGTCAGGTTTTCATCAATAAAGTGCCCTCAATTGACTCAAATTTTGTTAAAAAAAATAAATTTCGTAAAATCTCACCACTTAATCAAATACTGATTGGAATATAATGCTTCTATGGCCGCAAAATTAAATTTTCTAATACAGAAACAAACAAATAAAATCGTTTATACATGACATTTATTTCCTTATTGATATATCATTATTTCAATGTTAATATTTATTTTCCAACAGCGATTTGTTGAAACTTGCTTGAGCAAAAAAGATGCTTCCAAGTTTTTACGCTCTGGTATCACTACATATACAATTATTATCGAGCAACATTTCATTACCGAATACAAATTGAACGATAAGATTTACTGGAAAATAAAATCAATATCCTTTGGGGTTTTTGTTGAAAAAACACCCAAAAAACCCAACGAACCCAAACATTTTCAGGCGAACCATCTTTGGATCGCGACCTATAGGTTGGGAGAACCGATATAAATTTCAACAAATCGGCGACGTTGATATTCGGAAACAATTTGCGTAAATATGGATTGTACCAATTGATCAGTATTTTATTTAAATAACATTGAATAAATGCCATTTCTCCTTCAAATATTATGTAAATTCGTACTTACATTTTGAAGGGTCATTCAAAGTTTCTTTGATGTTTAGTTTGACCTTGTACAATTTCAAGTAATCGGGATTACGAAGATTGCGATAAACAAACGAAAATACAGATTCCTCAGAACCATAAAGAGCAATCAATGCATCATGATGTTGATGTACTTTGTTGATGGTTTTGTTTTCGTTGTCTGTAAATTGAGGATACAGTATGAGGATTACACAATATGTGGATGTAAAATGCAATTAAATTGCGTGGGACACAATTTGAATAGAATCATAGACAGAAAAAGTACCGTTGAGAGTTTGTAATCGTATTTTGTGAACATTCACTATATGCGGGATTAAGCCTACTACGAATTTTACTCATTTGTGTGTACGAAGGTTCATACGAAATAAATTTCAAACAGTAGAAGGTATTATTAGATCAATTCGAAGCTGTAATGTGGGCGTTCGTTCTGAAGATTTATAACCTTGAGTGCCAGTAGTTGCTGTTTGTTGTAGGGCATGGTTCTATTTGAGTCATAAAAACTACTTGCTCTTATTAAAGAACATAATAAACCAAATATTACATGGATGCAACATAAATTCTATCACAGTATAGAGCAAGGGGTGGGCAATTTTTTTTTAACCAGGGCCACCCTGCCCACCTTGTATGGCGGGCCATGTAAGTGTGACGTAAAAAGTTACATTTTATTAACAATATTTACAGTGTCAAATAGCAAAGGTGGAAAACAATAAGCCTCGTGCCAAAACTAAATTTAACCCCAATCTCAACAGATTCATTGAGCTACTTTTTAGCTAAAACATAAAAATTTGGTTTCAGTTTGGTTGTGGTGGCATCAGGCGGACCAGATTGAATTACACAAGGGGCCGGATTTGGCCCGCGGGCCGTACTTTGCCCATGTCTCATAGGGTCATGATCAAAAACTCTGTTTATCTAATCAGATATTCATCAAATAAAATATTAAGGATTCAATAGTCTTAGATATATACTTCACATGATTGCCGACAATCTAACGATTTGAATGTGTAACGTATTTTACATTTTCTTTTTCTAGATAGTTTTATTTCTGTAGACACTCGTTTTAACCATCTCAGCAGCATGACCTGTATTTGTTCGTAACCTGCACAATATAGTAAACTACTTTTCTTATGTTTGAGATGGTTCATGAAGCTTTGTACGAATTTAACCACATTGAAATTCTAAGCCCATCTGCTCAAGATCTTGGTTAATTAGCATAACATTGTGACTTGTTTTCTCTTAGAGTCAGTAAAGCCTAAATTGTTTATCTGATTGTCATTATAATCTTATATAACATTGTTAAAGTATTACCTGATAAATAATATTTTTTTATGTACTTTTAAACTTCGCTTCATTGGTTCACTCAACTATTAGACTACGGTACTTGACTCTTCTTAGTTTTGCTGTTTCATGTCTTGTAGTCTATCTAGTTTCCCACTGTGAATGTTGATACTAGGTTACATTCGTTTTGAATGACTGTTATGGAATATCTTTCACATTTTGATATTTCATGTCTTCCCTGATTTTATATTTCCTGTAACGTTATGTGGGGTCTCATGTACTTTCTTACCTGAATAACTTCTAGTGGGCGTGGCGTAACAATTTTTGGATATATGATTCCTGACCCCCACCTGATGACGTCATCCAAAAATTACGTCACTGCTGCGTCACAATAACGAAATACAGCTTGCCAAAGTTTAGCGGGTCTCATGTACTTTCTTACCTGAATAACTTCTAGTGGGCGTGGCGTAACAATTTTTGGATATATGATTCCTGACCCCCACCTGATGACGTCATCCAAAAATTACGTCACTGCTGCGTCACAATAACGAAATACAGCTTGCCAAAGTTTAGCGACGGTCACCCGTAATGGCGCCTACGAGTATGTCAACAAATTCAATACGTCAGCGACCTCTCTCTTATCAGGGTCGTTGTGCAGAGCTCAAAATAAACAAGTGTCGCCGAGGAACGTTCACGATATCCCATTCTGACCAATTTCTGTCCAGAAATAGAGCGTTATACGATACAGCTCTAACCAAGGCTTTAGACAAGCAGAAAACACATGTTATTTTACGCTATGGTTGAAGTTGGGTACCACACACATAAAGACTTGTTATTTTTTGTCCAGCTCCAGCAATAGCTCATGTATTGTGCTACGATCTATTAATAGGGGGGTATACGATACCGCTCTAAGCAAGGCTTTAGACAAACAGAAAGAACATTTAATTCACGCAATGATTGAGGTTGGGTACCGCAGACATAAAGACTTGTTATTTATTATCCAGAGACTGATCATGTATTGTGCCACATTTTATTAATAGGACGTGGAACGCTTTCACCCTATGCACGGCTTTAGACAAGCAGAAACCGACATATTAATTTGCCTTAGCGCAATGGATGTAGTTTCCTACCTCAATAACTTGTACTACTTATCTTAGCTTAACAATTATTGCATATAATAGTCCTGACCCTCACCTGACTTCATGTTCCAAAAATTACGTCAATGCGACTTCACAATAACGAAATAGTGCTTGCCTAATAATAGCGACCATAATGCAATCGTGATAAATACGTCTGTGTGTTCGCTATGGATGTAGTTTCTTACCTCAATAACTTCTAGTTAACTTAGCGTAACAATTTTTGCATATAATATTCATGACCTTCACCTGACTTCGTCATCCAAAAATTACGTCACGGCAACGTCACAATAACGAAATAGAGCTTGCTCAATAATAGCGACGATTACTATTAATGCCACCTATGGATGTAGTTTCTTACCTCAATAACTTATACTTATCTTAGCGTAACAATTTTTGCATATATCATTCCTGACCCTGCCCTGACTTCGTCATCCAAAAATTACGTCAATGCGAATTCACAATAACGAAATAGAGCTTGCCTAATAATAGCGACCATAATGCAATCGTGATAAATACGCCTGTGTGTCCGCTATGGGTGTAGTTTCTTACCTCAATAACTTCTAGTTAACTTAGCGTAACAATTTTTGCATATATCATTCCTGACCCTCACCTGACTTCGTCATCCAAAAATTACGCCACTGCAACGTCACAATCACGAAATAACGCTTGCCCAATAATAGCGACGATTACTAGTAATGGCACATATGGATGTAGTTTCGTACCTCAATTACTTCTATTTAACTTAGCGTAACAAGTTTTATATATAATATTCCTGACCCTCACCTGACTTCGTCATCAAAAAATTACGTCAATGCGAATTCACAATAACGAAATAGAGCTTGCCTAATAATAGCGACGATTACTATTAATGCCACCTATGGATGTAGTTTCTTACCTCAATAACTTCTAGTTAACTTAGCGTAACAATTTTTGCATATACCATTCCTGACCCTCACCTGACTTCGTCATCCAAAAATTACGTCACTGCAACGTCACAATCACGAAATAACGCTTGCCCAATAATAGCGACGATCACTAGTAATGACACCTATGGATGTAGTTTCGTACCTCAATAACTTCTAGTTAACTTAGCGTAACAGTTTTCGCATATAATATTCCTGACACTCACCAGATTTCGTCATCAAAAAATTTCGTCAATGCGAATTCACAATAACGAAATAGAGCTTGCCCAATAATAGCGACGATATTCGTAATGACTTTATAAGTGGATTTAAAGTATTCGGCCCAAGATGACGCACATCCTGAACCCTAACCAGGTAACCATACAGTGTTCAGGTTGTGCGCCATCTTGGTACAAATACTTCAAGAGCGCCTTTTTGTTAAAAACAATTATTTCATAACTACATGGTTTAGGTTTGCATACATAGTAACATTGAATCTCCTTACAATGTCAGAAATTCAATTTTAGTAGAATAAATGGTAGTTTATTTCACTAATACAAGCCAAGATCCATCGACAGCATCTAGCCACTTTCTATTGCGCTCTTCAAACTACATCTGGCATTTCGTTTTCCTAGTTTAAGCTTAGGGACTTGGGAAATATTTTATTAGTTGAATTGGATTGGAATATTTGACCTCGTCTTTCACTCCGAACAAGGCCATGTAATACCATCCACTGGTATCTAAAGATGTGTAACGTGTTTTCTTTTGGAAGAACCGCAACCTTTCAGTGCTGCATTGACTTTGGCAAAATTAATATATCCTTGTGGAGATAGAAGGTATGCGTATGCGAAACCGAGATGTGCACCTGTTATGCCAACATAGTTGAGTCAAACGTTTTGAATACTAGTACATCACACGCATTTCCTGCGTGCTTCGGTTGTACGTGGTAACGCGCACATTTTTGCGCACATGCATCAAATTCCATTTGATTATTGAGCTATAGGTTTTTGACGAGCTTTTGTGTATGATTTCATTCCATAGAATTTGTATGCTGTTCTAAAGAATACTAGTTTCAGCTTTTTCATTCATTCAAACCGCGTGTTGAAAGTAAGTTTTGTAATATTGCGGTTGGTTTCCAACATCCTTAAATCGGTGATGCCAGTAAATCTTTAATACAAAAAGATCAGTAACATCTGCAATAAAAACAGCAGTACCCACTCAAATGACAGCTGGGGGATGGATACTCTTAGTATCTGCTCCATCGCGTGCCTCTTACAGTCTTACCAGTTTACATGAGTGCCAATTGGTATCTAAGCTCAGCCAGAGACAAAAAGTTTCGGACTGCAGTTGGCGTGACGAAATGTTTTTAAATATATATTCTACAATAAGATTATTTGATTGCATACTACTGAAAGTTCCGCCTTATATGTCTTTTCCCATTGCACTATTCCTTTACTGATATTCGATAATATGACGCTCATCTGACATAGTTCTTAAAGTGTGTAGATGGGTACAATCTTTTCCACGCTGTTCAGATGGGAATGCGCGAATATATATAAGAATTGCTAATATTGGTTTGTAATGCGATGAAATCCCATCTTAGCATTTCTGCCTCTCGCAATTGCTGCGTATACTTATCGGGGAAGTTCTGTGGCGTGGTTATCAAATGAAAAAAAAACATGGGAGTATTTTTTCTACTTCTCTACTACTATCAAACCTTGACATTTTGTGAAAACTTTTTTCCATGCAACCTTTTTTAAAACATCCCCAACAACCACAATTACTTCTGTTATTAAACTTCCGAAACAAACACATAAAATCATCAACAGATGAATATCACCAAG